AAAACAAATGAACTTGCTACAAAAATACTTCGCGACGACATTGCCAAATTGGGCGAAATAGTAAAGAATATAAATTCGGATAATAGAACAGCCAGTCCATCACCAACCAGGACAGTCCAGCAACAACCTCCACCCTCCAAAGGTAAGTTGGCAGAACCCAAGAATGTGAAAAATAAAACATCGAATTCATTAGCTATTCCAGATCGGTGTCCGCAAATCCCAAATGAAACTATGATCCTTCAAGAAATCCAAATTCCAGGTTCAGATCCGTTTAAAGTGGTCTGTTTCTCAAATAAGTGGATTGGATCTGGTTGGATGATTGTTTATAACCATCTGGGTAAAACAAATTATTTTAATCGCACGTATGAGGAATTTGAAAGAGGAATCGGAGATGTCGGGACGCAGGGGGACGATAAATACTTTATCGGACTTGAACGATTGCACCTCCTGACATCTAAAAACTCCTATGAGTTAAGAATAGGTCCTTACAAATGCGACAACTTTGTCGTTGGGAATCGAAGCGAAGGCTATATGGTGAAAGCTAACCAAAGGGTGTACAGGACCCTTATTTCCGAAACTTAGGCAAGTCAAGTTTTCCACCTGGGATCGAGATGAGGATGGAGATCCCGATCGTAATTGGGCAAAGAGAATGGACTTTGGATTCTGGTTCAAGCATGGGTATGTACTCTAGTTTAACCTTACTTTTATCCCCAAATGGAAACATTTTAAATAACTAATAACAAAATGACTTATTTTAATTATATTTTCATTTGATAGAAATTGGCTCTTTAATTCGTTTTCTGTAATGATCCGAAGAAAGGATTAAAAAAGAAAAGAGCGATTCTAAGACGACTTTGACGATATGCGTGTATGTGTGTATATGCGTTTAATAGAACAAAATAAATTAAAAAGTTTTTTAAATTAAAAAGAAAATAAAATATATATAAAACATAAAAATTAATAAAGAATACATAAAAAATAGTAGGAGATAAAGAAAATATATTATTTATAACAATAGGGAGGGAGATGTGTTCCACATTTTTAAAAATTTAAAAATCTAAAAAAATCTTTAAAATCATATTCAAATGAGAGAATAAAATAAAATAAATAATAAATAAAATATATTGTAGTTTTAATAGCTATTTTTGTAGCTAGGTTGTCTTATTTTTCTGGAACATTTTTGGCGGTCTTTTCAGGACGAAAGTGCACAAAAGATACAGATACAGATACAGATACAGAAACAGATACAGTACATACATGGACGTATAATGCGAAATTCTGGTCACTGGCCGAGCGCGATTCCAATTCGAAATTGACACCGCCGGCAGTGCCTTCTGGCGCTGAGCAAACAAGCCTCGACCCACTAATTAGATGATGACATGCGGCAGCGCCGACCACTTAAAACACGCAACAAAAAATAAAATAATAAAACAAAAAACCTACTAATAATATGGGCAGTATAATGCATTGGAGCCGCAGTTGCGTTGCATTGTCAGCAGTGCAGCAGCGTGACCATACCACGGGTTCGGTTTATTCGGGGTCATTGCATGCGATGCGTTCATGCGGCAACAATTTCACGAATATACACAATTCACGAATCTGCCCACAAAAAACGGGAGACACTTGTCAGATTCGGAAACGGGAGAGAAAGTATGTGTTTTTTAATTAAAAACTAAGTAAATAAAATATTTCAAACCATGGGGTGTAGAGCTCGAGTATTAATTTTGCAGAAATATCCATAGAAATAAAAATCAAATATTATTAAATCTTAAATAAGAATTATTAATGAATGTTTTTATTTTATTTTAGAAAAAAAATTTATAAATAAATAAAATATTTCACACCATGGGAAGTCGAACTCGAGTCATTCCTTGGAATACGCCAAAGAGAAGAGATAGACTCTGAACTAGAGGTTAGGACTAGAGGATTAGGATTAGATCAAAAATATATCTTATATGTACATATATATATATATACATATATCCTTGCCCTGCCCTGAGTACCTTTAAAATAAAACCATAGGTAGTTAAACCTCTAACTTTCCTGACTTCTTATGACATCCATCTAGTGTGTTCAGGCTATAAAAAGTACTCACCCTTTGAGCTCTGTTCATGATTCCCGATTCTGAATCCAAAACCGAATCTTTTACCCCCGCATACACCCCGATAGCAATAGAATCGTATTACAAAATGCAGAGACCATGAATTTCCTGTCTGTAATGGACAGAAAATCCATACCTTGGAAATCAAAAATGACAATCCTGGATCATCATCCATCCATCCGAGGATTGTGTGTCGAATGGAGGAGGAGGAGGAGGAGGAGGAGGGGGATTGGTTTGGCAAGGTGTAAAGGGAATAATGGACAACGACGACGACTCCTCTGGCTGCGTCGTCGTCGTCGTCGTCGTCGTCTTTATTTTTATTACATCCCCCTCGGGCAGGTTGTGGTGGTATCCTTGAAAAGGTTCTTTGACACAACAACCCAAACGAGGCCCATGCCATGGCGGGATGATGACGACAAAGAACAAGACGATAAAGTAGGAGAAGCAGCAGCTGAAGAACAAGTAGAAGAAGCAGAAGACGAGGCTACGCGCTGCGTTTTGAGGCTATAGTTATATAGTTTTTGTTGTTGTTTCGGTTATTATGTCTCTCGAGCATGAAAATGCAGCTGGCATTGGTTTTAGGAATTACACACACACACACACACACCACTTACACACACCTAGAGCTGGTGTTGTCATTTCAGCTGTTTTTCATGACGATTTCCCAGCCAACACCTCCTCAGATGTATCTTTAAGCGAGAATTATCTTATAGATTAATAGTTAGTGGTAGTGAATAAAAGATATTATTTCACAAAACCCTAAAATTATAATATTAAAAATAAATAATATTAAATTAAAAGTTAAAAGACTGAAATGTATCTCGCCCAAAAAATCTATCTTATAGATCAGAGGTCGGCACCCCAATACATTGATATGATTTTACCGCATTAGTGTTAGTAACGAATAGCAGAAAGTAGGCTTTGAGCATGACGTTTCACACATTTATACTGTGTGTGTGTGGCAGAGCTCGGGCAGAGAAATTTCCTATGCCCCCGAGATAGGGCCGTGCCGACCTCTGTTATAGATTGAGATCTAGCAGAAGTAACTAAAATATATCACTTTCGAATATCCTTAGAACTAGAATAGTACAAAAAAAGAAATACCAAAAATACCAGAATGTATCTTAAACCAAAAATTTATCTTATAGATTGAAAAATAGTGAAAAAATTACAAGATACTTTTTCAAAAACACTAGAAACAATATCTTGAAATTTAATTAACAGCTATAACGTCTAGATATCACAGGACTCTTATCTATCGATATCATTTCTAACCCTGACAACCCTATAACTAAATTAAAATAACGGTAACTAAAAGATGAAGAACCATAATAGATAAGAATACTATGAAAAATAGATGGAAAATCTGAAAGATATGACTTTGAAAATCCTAAAACATAACGGTAAATAACAGCTGAAGAGGCAGGATATGAAAGAAAAAGGACATAGACCAGGACGCAGACAGGTAATACAACCAAGTACTATTAGTTTCTTAAATAAAAACGAGAAAATATTTATGGTGTTCTTTAAGGTCATAGCTCCTTATTCTTGCTCTCATTCTCCCTCTCCCTCTCTCTCTCTCTCTCTTGTCTTCTCTTCACGAGAAAGGGAACAAAGGAACTCGGCCAGGCAAGGGCGAACGAGTGGAAGAGATATGTACATATGTAAGTGCAATGAGAATCCAAGGATAAGGAGAAGAAGAAGTAAAAAAGAAAGAGGACTAGGCTGCGCAGTCGCAGCCAGATTACATGATAATGCAGCTGAGCAGCACAGGATACCGGAGGCATCGACGACTGCTACGTGTTCCCACCAGGTACCCAAAAACAATGCCCTCGCACCAAGTACCACGAATGGGGATACACAGCACATACAGAAATATGTAATAGGCCACAAAAAAAAAAAAAGAAAAGACAAAGGAGAAGCAAAACATAAAAAAAAGGAGACAACAAAAAAAAAAAGAGAGAACTTGGCCACCACGTAAAGTCGTGATTTTGACTTTAGCGATAAGCGGAGGACATCAAGGAGTAGAGAGGAGAGAGGAGGGGGGAAACAAAAGACAATTGCAGACCAGGCACAGTCGCAATTACAGCCCGCTTGTTGTTGTTGTTGTTGGTGTTGGTGTTATTGCACATAAGCCAATTTTACAGAATTTACAAACAGCGAAAGGTCACGCGTGCAATTTCAGGCCACATACAGGGTTGCCACATCGATCGTTGGTATTTTGAGTATTAATGGATATACCACTACTATAACTTTTGTGTTTGACTTTATCTTTTCTAAGATAACAAAAATTAATTAATTTTTATATTATTTCATCAAAATAACGGTCTTAACCTAGCTTTTACCTAACGGTATCTATTATCATTCTTGTCTTAAAACATGTAAGAACCTGTTCCAAGATGAAATTCTTTGTCTATCCACTGAAATGATTAAAATCATTTTCATTTTGATTGATTTTTCATTAAAAATGTTCAAATAACGGTCTTAACCTCACTCTCATTTAAGATTATCCATTAAATCATGAACATTCTTGTCTCAAAACAAGCCACAAAATATCCTTTGAGGCTAATATTATACTAAACTCTTTGTCTATCAACAGAGATGATTTAATTTTCATAAAAATTTAAAATATCGTACTTAACCTCTTTCTGTTGTAACGGTATCAACCCAATCAAGACCATTCTTGTCTCAAGGTATTATACTATATTCTGAGAAGGTATTATTCTATTGATACCTTTGTCAACCTACTAGTATTATTAATTTTGAACATTTTCTCTAAAAAATTATTCAAGTAGCGGTCTTAACCTCACTCTAGTATAACGGTATCAAACCAATCAAGACCATTCCTGTCCCAAAGCACTAAATGAAAATATGCATAATGGTTATTAAAGCCACTCACCACAATATCGACCGCAGGTGGATACCGAGGACATTGCCGCCGAACTGCCATTGGCACCGCCCACGCCGCCCGGGGTGCATGAACCATTAGCTCCGGATCCGGGTACACCGTTGCCGCCCGTTGAACCGTAGGATGGACCACCGCCAGCACCGCCAATGCCCAGGCCGTTGGCGCCACCTAGACCGCCGCCGGAGGCACTGCCTGCGCCGCTGCCAGCAGCGTTGCTGGGCTTCTTCCAGCCGCGCCAGTTGTTGCACAGCGACTCCGGCTCAGAGCTCCAGCTGCACAGTGAATCCTCCTCGAACCGAATGGAGTCGTCAAAGCTGAAGCGATCCATTTCTTCGGGATTCCATTCGTTGCCGCCACCGCCGCCACCTCCTGCATTGCCACCGTTGCCATTTCCATTTCCATTACCTCCTGCAGCTCCTTCGGCGCCAGCGCCGACTGCAGCCGCTCCTCCGGCTCCGGCTCCTCCATTGTTGTTTCGAGCAGAGGCGGCTACTGCACCGCCACCGCCACCGCCGGCTCCTGATCCAGCATTAGCTCCAGCTCCACCAGCGCCACCTGCGTCGCCTCCTCTGCCGTTTCGATTCGCCAGCGTGTCTGTGTGAGTGAGTATGCGCGTATGTGTGTGTGTATGATTGTGTGTTTACTGTTATTCCTTCAGCTGCTACTGATAATGCTTCCTCTTTCTATATCCACCTCGGTGTGTTTTGTTTATTTTCCTCACTCGTCGTAGCGTTTGCTTCTCTCCGTCCGATTTCTTTTCGGATTTCTCGGATCCTGGATTTCTGAATATCTGGATGGATGTTTTATGCTATTTATTTATTTGTATCTTTATTTTGGGGTCTCTTTGCTGGATGTGCCAAACCGCTCAATTGAAAAATCGTGTAAAAGGCGAATTTTGCTGAGCGTTCCGTTCCCTCTCTCTCACTGCGTCTCCTCTCTTTCGTCGCGTTGTTCTCTCCAGCCGTCGCGATGCTCTCTCGTATCGAATTAGTGTTAATTAGTTATTATTACTTTTATTTACGTTTATATATATTGTATATTTATGCTTAAAGATTTCTTTTAAATTTATTTAAAAACTACGTTGTTTTTTTTATTTTTTGTAATTTTTATTTATAATTTTGTGGTATTCTTCGTTTTCTTTATTTTATGTACAAAACATTTAGTGCGTCGACGGCTCTGCCGCTGCTGCTGTCGCTGCCGTTGCTTCTGCCACTGCCTCTACCTCTGTCCGCGTCGACGGCGGCGCTGCTGCAGCACACAACATCAATATATTGGATATATATTAACACTTTTTTCCCCCTATTCCGTTAAAATTTCTATTTTTCACTTTTTGGGTTATTAATGAACGGCTAGCAACGGCAGAATGAAAGATGTAAAATGTAAAAATGTTAAATGTAAAAATGGCTTTTTGCCTTCTTTCTTTGTGTATATGTGCCTTTGCCTTTTTTTCTTTTTGTTTTGTCGCTTCGATCTCGATCTCGCTCCGTTACCCGTTATCGTTACGAAATTGATCCGCATTCGCATCCGCACTCGACGCCCAAGCTCCCTAGCCGTCGATTGGGGCCCCGAAATTACGATTTGTTTGATTTTAAACACGCTTTTCGAACACTTTTGCAGGGGGCTTTGTTTTTACCCATCGTTGTCGCGCAGTCCACTTTGCTTCCTATATTCCACAGCTGTCTGTGTGGCCGTTTGTCAGTTGGCACTAGGGTTGTTGATAATGTATCAAAATACCAATGTATCGATATATCGATATTCTTTGTATAACAAAACAATATTCTTATCGTTATGTGGATTTTGTTTAAATATCGAAAATACGATATATTTTTTATATTTTTATGATATTTTTAAGATAAATAAATTACGTTTGTTCTATAAAATGTATTATTTAGATCCTAAGACAGTTACAGAGTGTGCCCAGCAGCGATTTGAAACTTGATCTGCCTTCAGGTACCTACGCCTGGTCACACTCCATCCAAGTTGCATTTTAGCTTTAAAACCAAACACAACGAATATCCTGATCGTGTATCCAGGAATCCCAGGAAAGGACTGTCCACAGGGGTACGAGGATGCCGCTGGAGGGGCTGTGCATCGAGCTGCGCCCGAACCTGCGCAGTGGCGTGGTATTCCTGCAATTCGACCATGACATTGGCACCTGTAACCAGACGCGCCTCGTCATAAGGGAGCACAATGTTTACATTTCTGAGGGCTCCGTCACGACGTCCACGCCCAGAAACGACAGCGACAGTGAGGAGGAGCACCAGGAGGAGGATGACGGGGACTCGTTGGTGATCAGGCACGACTGCTTCGGCATGGACATTGGCTGCATCTCGGTGTTCGTAGTCACGGGGAACCACATCAGCTTTCGCTTCAATTATTCCCAGATAGACCTCGACGCTCTGGATGCTGGCTCCGTCCAAGTGGCCATGGAGCCTCTGCTCCTCTCCTGTCGGGAAGACGACCCCTTCGCCCTCGTCTGTCGCAATTGCAGCGCAGAGTTGGTGGATAATCGCGGTTACCGAAGGCTCCGGGAGTTTCCCAGCTGTGTGGTGGATCCCGGGGAATTCTTCTGCCACAATCATGGATCTGGATGTGACAGCAAGCCGCCCAGCCTGGTCCCGGCGGAGACAGATCTCTTCTACGGTCTGAACTATGTGGTGGTGAGTCTGAACCAGACCAATCCCAACATCCTGATACGCGAAGATCATCTGTACTGTCGACGCTGCATGCGGTTTCTAGGCCTGGCCATGTTCAACGGAGTTGCTGCCCGTCTATGGGCGGATGCTGTGAGTTGGCTGCCATCCGGAGGAGGAAGTACATCCCCGCCCAGACACTTCTTTAAGAGCTCTTCACTGACGCAGCTGGTAAAGCGACTGCTCTACTCCCTGTGGCCCCAGCCGTTGCCGCAGCTCTGCCTGAGCACGAGTCGAGCGGCGCTGGTCACCTCGTTGCCTAACCGCTGCCACCGCTACATGCTCATCCACGTGGTGGAGTCCCAGCTGCGAGTGCTGCGTCGGGTCCAGCCGCATTCGAACAAGCTGCGCTGCTATCGCGCCTGCAAGCTGTACTTTGGGCTCTTTGGATCCTCCAGCCAGGAGCAGCCGGAACTAATGCAGCAGTGGCAGACGGAGCAGACGCTGCCCCAAATGGAGATATCGCCGGACATGTTCCAGGCCCTGCTGGAGCGGCTCGAGGCGAATAGCCAACTCATACCCTTGGCCTGGCGCTCCAACGCGTCCGACCAGCAACTGCAATTGTCGTACTTCTTCTATGAGAACGAGGAGGATCGGACGGAGAGGCTGGAAGTGGACTTGATGGCCTTGGCCAAAATGAAGCTCGAGGATCAGTACGAGACTGATGCGGGGCATGCCAGTGAGAGCGATGATGAGCACTCGGACACGGACTCGGATGCCGGGCACTCGGAGGTGAACAGAAAGCGTCCCTTCAAACGCTACCCGCCCACTCCGCCCCGCCTCAGTCTCAATCTGTCGCAGTGCTCCTCCACCTCGTCCTCGTCGGCCTTCTCGGAGGGGAAGTAGTCACCCCTCTGAAGTCTAGAATAATTTATTTTCTATTTTTTGTTTGGTTTGGTTGTACATAGTTATCAAGATTATCAAGAAGACCCCCAACTATTCTTTAGGTTTCTTAGTTTAAGAGATATTCTTAGAGATGTTTCTTAGTTTAAGAAGAAAGTTTTGATTTTATTACTCGATACATTATATAATTTTTGTCTAATATAGTTTAACAAACGTGTGGCAACAAGTATTAGCTGGAAAAACACTTTCAAGGTGACTGTGTAGGGCCGTCCTTACAGCCCTGAAACGCACTGCTTATGATCGAAAAATATTGCTTCCCTTGTTTGTACCCTCCCTCCCCCATCCCAACATACCAATAATATCCAAAAGGAAGAATTATTTTTTCGAAAAACGAACTGAAATATGTTTTCCAAAATGTGACTTAAAAGGTGGTTAGCTTCAAAAAAATGTAAATTTTGAAAATACTGGGAAGGGAAAGTCAGAATTGAAAACTTTCCAAAGGGGGCAAAGCCTCATCGGGATTAGGAAGAAATTATATATATATATATATATATATATGTATATATATTTGTATCATAAATACGAAACTATTATTGTCAAAAGTTATAGAACCGGGATACTTTTTTGAAAACTCTGATCTAAACTATATATATATATAGTACATGTATGCTAACTATGTCGAGGGGATGAATTGTGATTGAAGACGCTTTGGGTTATCCCTCCCTCCACTTGTGTTTAGTTTTAAGCGAATCTCATGTGTTCATCCAAAACAAGGAAGAGAATGGAGAGACGGAGACGGCTGGCCGGGATTACCTGGCGGGTAACGATTATGTCAATAAAGTCGGATTCATGCAATCATGGTAGAAACCCCAACTAGAAACTGGTGCTCTATTATTCACCTTTACTTGGCCAGGCGACGCATCTGCTGGGTCTGCTCGCTCATGGCGATCTGGGCATTGTCCGCCTGGTTGATGAGCGCGTCCAGCTTGTCCAGCTGCGAGTCCATGCGCTTCGCCTTGGCTGCCTTGGCGGCGGCCACCTCAGCAGCCGTTGGCGGTGGCTTGGCCATCGGCTGCTCCCGCACCGGTGGTGGCTGCTGCTCCGTAGCCGGGTTAGGGACTCCACTGCCTCCAGCCCCGGCTGTCAGATCCACCGAACCCGAACTGGCCCGGGCAAAGATGTTCGTCAGGCTGCCGCAGGCTGTCTGCTTGAAGCGATTCAACTTCTGCTGAGTGCTGGACAGGATGCTGTTGAGCTCGCCCAGCTTGCCGCCCACGTTGCCCAGGGATTCGTCCTGTTGCTCCAGCAGCTAGGTATACAGAATGCTTGACTGGCTGGCTTCGGAAGGGGACCGACACTCACCACCGCCTCGGCGGCTTCCTGCTCGGCCATTTCGTGCTCCATCCTTGCCTGGCGCTTCCGCTCAAAGTCCGCCTTGTCTGGCGGCTGGAGGCCCAGGAGCTCCGCCCGCTGGCACTCCTGCTCGTAGCTGTTGATCTCTGTGGGCTCCGACATGCTTCCTGGCCCTCAAACGCCCAACGACTAACGATGCCATCGATTTTTTTGGCCCCGTTTCCAGAGCCACTTGGCGCATGCGCTCCCCCATCTGGGACTCCCCCACACAGCTGACACACCATTCTCCTTTCGAACCCAAACAACCCACAACCAATTGTCCAAAAGAATCGAAAATTGTATTAAAGGGCTTTCTATTGTCGCTGGACTCGACTAACACGTTCCTCTCAGGGATTTTTACAAATGAAACACATGGGGATGAGGCGGATCACGACGAGTCGGGACTGCGCTCGTAGATTTGGATGTAGGACTCGGTGAGCGTGATCATCTGCGGCAGGATCTCTGTGACGTGGAGGTCCTGCATCTCGTACCACTGGCCGTTGGCCTTGTGCAGAATATGGGCGCGATAGGTGCCCTTCTTGGGGTCGCCGTCGTGGACAATGTTGGCCACCAGATTGTATTTGGTGTCCTTGACATTCTTGTCCCTCTGCCGCATGCCCAGTATGTCGCCAAAGTCAACATTTCTGCAAGAGATTTGATGGTAAAATGAATCCAAGAGATTCATGAAATGGTCACTTACTTGATGGGAAAGTTGACAATGGTGGGATTCTTCTCCAGGAAGAAGGTGTTCTTCGTGAAGCGCTTGATGTACAGTATGATGAACTGCGGCAAGCGGGTGATCTCGAAGCGCTTCATAAAGTTGTCCTTGTACGTCTTGTACTCCTTCTCCGCACTGCCGTTGAACTTGCCCAGCAGCTGGTAGAGATTCACCTGCGGAATGATGTTCTCGCGGAACTCGTCCGTGAAGAGCGGCGGCGGTGGCAGATCGCAGGTCAGATAGATGAAGTTCGTCTGCTCCACTTGGTCCTTGTATTCGTCGGTGGCCAGCAGCTGCTGCTTGGCCGCGTCGTCCAGTTCCACAGGGGGAATCTTTCTCGTGTAGATCTGCATTTCCCCGAGAAAGATCTTGTAGAGAATGGACGAGTTCGGTTGCTTGTTGCCCTTCATGGCGCGATGCAGGGTGTTGAGGAACCAGGAGAGAAAGTCAATGGGGTCTCCCTGCTCGGTGATCTGGAACCGTTTGCTGGACCACAGCACCACCGCCTGCAGCATTTCGTGCGGCGACACGTGGGCCTTGAAGTTGCGCGGATTCCACATCTTTCGCATCAGCTCACCGAAACGCTGCACCAGCGTGAACATGGAGTCGCCGGGCGGACGCTTGATGTGGGCGTAGTTCTGCTCGCGCAGGAAGTAGTCCCGCAGCGGACCCACATGGGACAGGGCGTGCAGCACCACGTTGCAGTAGTCGTTCGCCTTGATGTTGTTCAGGCCCACCACTCCGGGCAAATACAGCACGCCGTCCACCGTGCGCGAGTGCTTGGGCAGCACCTTGTCCAGCTTGGCGATCTCCTGCCGCGTAAACGTCGGATTCAGTACGTACTTGATGTCGTCTAGCGAGGAATCGATGATCTCGTAGTTGTCCGGCAGGCAGTAGAACCGTAGCGTGTGCAGGTTGAGGAACACGTGGTGGGCCTCGCCCACGGAATGCGTGTAGGCGTGGGTGTTGGTGCCGCGTCCCTGGAAGTACTTCCCGCACACCAGACACGCGTACACATTGATCCTCGTCAGCGAAATGGAGCACAGCTTCTCAAAGTCAAAGTCCAACAGATTGCGGTTGATGGTGTCCAGGTAGGGGCATACCCTGTACTTGGGATTGAAGACCGAGGGTGTTTCTACGAAGTTAAATGAACTTAATATCCTGAAATCACTCCATTTTTATTTATATTTACCATCATCCTCGAGCAGATTTGCCGGTTTGTTCTCCAGCTTGACGCGTTTGGCGGCTAAAAAGGGGTAATATATTATTCACACAACTTTTGAACAATATTGACTAGTAACTCGTACCTGGGGCTTGGTTTTGAGCCATTTTTTGTCTAGGTTTCATTCAGAAACTCATTTAAACAAAACAATTTGTTGATTTTCGGCTTGTTTTGGTCGCTACAGTGTTGGAAGGTGAAGTTATCTGAAGTCATGAGTGTTGTAAAACACTATCGGTTAACTATCGATAACAAAAATAAGGTGTATGAGATATTTTTTAAAGTTTTTATTTATTTTGAATATTTTTAAAATATTACTTTATGGTTAATTAAAAGTATTATTATTTTTTGGGCCGATTAAAATATATTCTACGAGAAGCGTGTTGAAATAGACTTAATTTTTGTATAATTCAATAGATTTTTAATGATTTTGTATATTTAATAAATCAATATATTAATATAATTTTAACTACATAATTATTAATTATATTTCTATTCTTATTTATTCTCTTGTTATTTTTTAAACTAGAACTTATGAAAATTCCTTTTTTTTATTTTAGAAAAATCGAGGGATATAATAAGTGCCTTATAAAATTACCATAATATATGTATATCTAAATATGTATGTTTTATAAAATTATTTTTATAAAATTAATTTTTATTACATGATCATTTAAGAACCTATGCATAAAACAAGCTTATTAATTTTATTTGTTAACTAGCATACTTTTTTTTACAATTATGTAGTAAAAATTTATATATTTTCAGTTAAATTTTATAGAACTATAAAAATACTTAAAGATAAATAATCTCTTTTTAGAAATAGTACTTAGTTTACAAGCAAAGCAGGCTTTCTCTTCAAAATTTTCAAGTTTCTTATTTTAAAATTTAAACTATTACAAGTTAAAATTTAAACTAGCCCCGAGGCCTAATTAAAAAACAAGTTGGGCTTGAAATAGTATCACATCGTATCCGGAATCTTTGGCTTATCACCGGCGCCTCTAATAACTGTATTTTGTTTATCAGATAGGTGGGGGCCTCAGACCGTCCTTCCCCCGTCAAGCTTCGCCTCCTCCTTTGTCCCCAGCCACCTGCTGGGAAGAGACGACCTTGAACGCCCTAGCCCAGAGAGAGCTCAAAGCTTTCGCTCGACATTCTCCCATCTTCCCGCTCCATTCTCCGATCTCCGTTCTCCGTTCTCCGCTCTTAGAAGAAAGCTTCCTCCGAAGATTAATGGCCCGATAAGGGGCGTAAACACAATTTGTTTCCATCAGTTTGGAGAGCGATCCCAATCAGCTTGGAACGGAATCTTCCACGGACGCGCAACAAATAAACCGAATTGAACCATGTGGGGCGATCTGAAGGGTAAGGTGATCCTGGTGACCGGCGCCGGAGCCGGCATTGGGCAGGCTCTGGTCAAGCAGCTGGCTTCCATTGGGGCGACGGTGATCGCGGTGGCCCGGAAGGAGGCCCAGCTGGCGGAGCTGGTCAGCTTCGACCCGCAGCACATTAAGCCGCTGCTCCTGGATCTCTCCTCCTGGCAGAAGGTGCGCGAAGCGGTGGCGAAAGGACCCCAGCTGGATGGTCTGGTCAACAATGCGGGCGTGGCCATTATTAAGCCTTTCGAGGAGCTCACCGAGGAGGATTTTGATACGTGAGTGTGGGGAATATTTAAGGAAATATTTAAAGAATAAGAAATAGGTTTAAATATTTGGAAAGCCTATTTTTAATTTTTACCCTTACTTTTCCTTATAAGGGACCCTCCTTATAAGCACGGTTTTGATATTTTATAAACTTTATTTGATTTTTTTTTTTAATAAAAAAAGATACTATCACATAGTTTTTATGAAGAATACTTAAGAAACTATTCAAGGTATTAAAAATAATGCATTTTTTTCTGGGAAATAGTTTTCTAAAATGGTATTTTCGTTTTTCAATCAGAAGCCATTTTTAACTCAAGCCTCAACCTTCATTTTATAGGTTTATTTCAAACTATAACTCAGTTATTATTTAAGTTAAAAAAAATTGTATTATAATATATTTTTGCTAAAAATACCTAAGTAACTAATAAAGTAGCTTTTTAGAAAAATGGTATGAATATTTGGAATAGTTTTTAAAAGTTTCAAGATTTATCTTTTCTATCAGAACCGGATTTCGAATTTTTATAAACTTGAATCTTGATAATTATACATACGTGTTAAAAGAAAAGAACATTTAAAAAAAAAAAATATTTCTTTTAAACTATATATTATACAGAAACTATATTTTTAATAGTTTGTATTGATATTCGGAAATATTATTTCCAATTTAGGAATATAAATATTTTGCAAAGTTTTTCACACCGCTTTTCTATCAGAACTTATAGTATGTGTAGTGGAACGTCTACCTTTTAAACCGGATCTCGAATTTATTATGAACTTGAATCTTAATTATAATACATTTTTATTAAATTAAAAATCAAATTTTTTGTAAATACCTAAGAAACTATTCAGGTAATAAGAAGCTTGGTAAAAATACTTGGAATATTCTCTAAAACTATGCACTTAGGTTTTCTATCAGAAATTATTTTTATGACCGAATATATTTAAACCGAAGGCCGACTTTCTTAGAAACCTTAATTAAGATACGTTTTTTTAAAAGCTCAGAATCTATTAAAGTTATAAGACAAAATTAGAAAAATAATATTGAATACTTAAACAAATTGTAAAGCTTTTCTTTCCTTTTTTATAAATCAAACCCTACCTTGATTTATAAAAGAAATAGGGATTTATAAACCGTATTATCAATTATTAATATTATTAATTATAGCTTATTATCATTATTATTATAGGGATAAATATTTTGAATATTTTCTAAAAATAAGCATTAAGGTTTTCTTTCAAAGCCTATTTTTGTAGTGAAGCCTTAACATCTTAAACTGGATGTAGACTTTATTAAAAACTATAAGCTTAATTTTAAAACAAGTCTAAATACCTAAAAAACTATTTAAGTAATAAGGAAAAATAATATAAATATATATGGAATACTTAATAGAAATTATTCTCCAGATTTTCAAACTATTTTTATTAAAAGACCCCCACCTCATTTAAATGATAGTCTATTTTATTTATAATCTCGTTGATTATTTTTTAATTTATTAAGTGTTTGGAAATATCAAGTTTCGAATACGATCCCCATAACTTTTATGGAATGCCATAGTGATAAGGACTATCGCCGGGAGATTATTGGAAAGGGCAAACATAAACAAACTTCCACTGACCTCTAAAAAGAGCGAATCACTTTGTAAAAAATGAAAACAATTAAGCAATAAATTTTAGAAAACAAAAATTAGTTCCAAGACGTAATTAAATTAATTTTTCATATTAATATTTAATATTTCAAAATACCGGATGTCGAGTATTAATTTGTAATTCCTTCTTCCAACAGCCACTTTAATGTCAACATCAAGGCCGTCTTCAATGTGACCCAGGCCCTGCTGCCCCGCCTCAAGGACGGCGCCTCCATTGTGAACGTCTCCTCCATCGCCTCCAGCCGCTCCTTTGGCGGCCACACCGCCTACAGCGCCACCAAGGCGGCCGTCGACTCGCTGACCAAGTCCCTGGCCCTGGAGCTGGGTCCGCGCAAGATCCGCGTCAACTCCATCAATCCCACCGTGGTCCTGACCAAAATGGGCGCCGACAACTGGTCGGACCCGAAGAAGTCCGGCCCCCTGCTGGCCCACATCCCGCTGAATCGGTTCTGCGAGGTGCAGGAGGTGGTCGATGCCACCGGCTACCTGCTGAGCAGCAAGTCCACCTTCGTCAACGGCCACCACATCCTCCTCGAGGGCGGCTACTCTGTGTCATAGGATCTTTCCTTTAAAAAAAAAACTCTTAAATAAAAACACAATTTTCTTTTTTAAATTACACGCACATACATCTTATGAAATGTATTTCTGTTTTTTTTTTTTACAAACCTCTTGTGGTTCAAATATGATTATTTTTAAAATTAGTTCATTAATCTACACACTAGATATCGAAAAAAAAAAAATCATCCAACCAAGGGCTTATACTATCTGATCATTACTCTGAGTTGGGGTCTGGAACTGGGAAGGATTAGGCACAGATCTTGCCCTGCTGCTGGCTCTGCAACTGATGCTGCTTCTTTTCCCGCTCCCGCCGACGCAGCTTCTTCCGCCGCCGATCGATGACGGTGAGCTCCGCCTTGATGGTGTTGTAGGCCTTCCGCAGGTCCTGGATCTGCTTGCGCAGAATGGTGATGCACTCGTCGGAGCTAAGGGCGGGATCTGCAGGAAACGGAATAAGGATAAGAGATGCTTTATCCAAGAAGAGAAAACCCCTAGACTCACCTAGCTCCACGAGGAAGTTGTAGGGACAAGGACGCACTCCCGACTGGCTGGTAGCCAGTGAGGCCTGCAGCGCCGCCTGCTGCTGAGCCAGGTGCTGGGCCTGGGCCTGCTGCTGTTGCTGCTGCAGGGGATTGGCCTGCGGCATCAGCTGCTGGCGGGCACTCTGCCGCTGCTGCGTCTGCCCGGAGCTGGGCGCCAGGTTGTCCGAATTGTCATCCGTATCCGAGCCAGCTGTAAGAATACGGATGTAAGAATGTATGCCGTGGGTCGGAGGAGGCAACTTACCTGCGGCCGTGGTGGTCTTCAGGTTGCGCATGCCGGACACTTGGCGGCGTCGCTTGCTCAGCGACTGCAGCTGGGCGGCCACCGCCTGGCTGAGAGGAACCTGTTTGCGGGTGCGCTTCCGCTTGTTGAGAACCCCCAGTCCTCCCGCCTCCAGGTCGTGCTCCATTTCCGTGTGCTTCTTGGTCTCCTCCCCGCTCTCGTCCTGGCTGGCCGAGTCCGGCGAACTGGTGACAGCCGAGGGAATCACCTCCGATTCCGCCGCGCGGCCGGAATCATTCGCCGCCCCGGGCTGTTGGGGATGGGTGGTCTGGATCTGGATCTGCTGCTGGAGGGCGGGCACGGCGCCCGGCGGCGGAGTGTCTGGCGGTAGTGGTCCTATGCCCGAGAGTCCGGCCAGCGCCGGATTGGTCAGCTGGTCGTCCTTGCCGCCGTACAGGGGCGCTGGGCTACCCGGAATCGTCTCCTCGCAGAGCAGGTTGATGGACTCGTTATGGGGATCGCCAATGAGCGGCGAACTGGCCGCCGGCGCCACCACATTGCCGAAGATCTCCTTGCCCACGGCGTGCATCACGAATGGCCGCGCCACCACCGGGGAGCTGGTGCTGGACGTCTCTCCGGCATCCTGATCGGCTATGTAGCTGGTGGGGATCTCGGCGGGCGCCGGTGCATCTTGTTGGAAGTTCGCCGCGGCTGCAGGTGCTCCGGTTGGCACTCCTGAAACTCCAGCAACCAGGCTTGTTCCCATGGGAGTGGAGTAGGTTTTCAGGAGCAGGCCGCCCGCTGCGGACTCGGCCAGTTTCGGGGATGGCTGGAAGCCCTTGGGCGAGGCCAAGGCCTGAGCCGGAGATCCGGGACTGTGTCGCATCACGGTGGCCATCTCCGCCGGCATGACTGCCTCGGAGGTCTCTGCCGCCGCCGCGGATGCCACCATTAGGGCTGGGGTGAGCACCACCACGGAGGCGGGAATCTCGGGCAGCACTATGGGTATGCCAAAGGAGCTCAGGCTGCCCTTGGCTTTGCCCTCCGCCTCGGCCGCCTGGAGCTTGGCCAGCGGGGGAGGCTGTTGGGTCACCGCCGTCAGCTTGCCGGCAAAGGAGCTCTCTGTGAGCTTGACCGGAATGGGAGCCTGAATGCCGGGCTGTGCCTTGCCGCCCACGTCCAGTTTCACGGGAGCCGGATCGCTGCTGCTGGTGGCTTCCGTCTCCGCCGTTAGGGTTGAAACATTGAGGCCGTCCTCCTGGCCGGAGCCGGGACTCTTCTGCTCGCCGGTCGTCGTCGTCGTTGTCTGCTCCTCGGCAATCACATCCTCTATGACCAGCCTCTGCTCCGAGTCGGTGCTGTCCATGGACTCGTCCGAGAAGCCCCCGGCGCCGGCAGTCACTGTCGAGTTGGGGGTGTGGGCTGCCGGAGGCGTGCCCGCCGTGGAGCTGGCCAGGGAGAGGGCTCCGCCCACCGGGGTCTTGCGCTGCTGTATGGCGCACTCCAGCTTCTGGATGGTCTCACTCAGTTCGCTGTTCTTCGCCGGCAGCGAGGACTCCAGAATGGACTTGGTCTCGGGACTGCTGGTGGCCGGGCCGGGTCGGTAGATCTCGCCCAGAAGCGGACCGGCTGTCTGGATCTTCAGTGGCAGCATCATGGTCTCCCACGGCACCACCACTGCGGCTGTCGGTGGCGCCGACTGCCCATCAGATCCTCCAGCTGGTAAGCCTGCTGCTCCTACCGTTCCGGTGCCTCCTGCCGCTGTTCCACCCGCTGCTGCGGTAATCTTCGCCGGCAACTCCACCACCGGCACCGGCACTGCCACTGGTGGCTTGCTCTTGTTCTGCTCCACTTCCTCCTTCTTCTGGCTGATCGCCTTCAGCACCTTGTCCGCTATGGAGGTGGTCTTCTGCTTGCCCGCATCCAGGCCGAACACCGCCGTCGCTCCCGCCAGCAGGATCTTCACGTTCTCCAGCTGCTCCAGCTTGTTGTCCTTGGAGCCCTCGCCGGAACTGTAGCCGCTGCCCTCGTTCGAGGTGCTCAGCTCGAAGACGTTGCGGGTCTCGACGAAGGGACTGCCCACGATGTGCGGTGCGGGTGCCGGCTTGACGGGATTGGGCGGTGTGCTCAGTTTGGGTGCGACAGTGGCTCCTCCGGCGGGCGGCGTACTGGGACAAGTCGGACCGGAGGACGTGGCCAGAGGCGTGGGAATCACTGGTGGGGCCACTGGTGACATCGGTGGTACATTGCTGCTGCCACTGGCTTGTGGCGTTGCAGGTGGCGGTGGTCCCGGCGGCTGCAGGGCATCCGTAAGGGCCCTTGTGGTTTCCTGGACTGTCTGGGCCAGTTCCTCGTTCAGGGCCAGGATATTCAGGTTAAAGCTGGGCGACTTGCGGAGGGCATCGAAGGGCGTGGCATGATGTGGCGGCGCCAGTTGGGCGGGACTAGATGCAGACGGGATTCCTCCTCCTCCTCCTCCGATTCCCGGCGGCGTGGTGTGTATCTTGATTTGGGTTCCCACTTGTCCAGCTGGCTGGTTTACCTTCAGATTTGGCGGCGACTGCTGCTGCTGCTGTGGTTGTGGCTGCTGCACTTGCTCCTTGTCCAGCTTGTAGATCTTGGGCTTCTCCAGGCCTGGCGGCGGCTCCTTCAGCGGAGAGCCTCGTTTCTTGGCCTTCGAGGGGGCCTGGCCGCCGGAGAGTCCACTGTATCCGGCGGCGGGTGGCAGCTGGTGCGGCTCCTGGCTCTGTTGAATCGACTTGAGGGCCTGCTTCCTGGCCGGGCCACCACCGACCACCACGGGGGCTGTGGTCATTATGGTGGTGAACACCGAGGGCGCCACCACCGGCCCAGTGGGCATGAGCACCGATCCTGCACCGCCGGTTGCTCCCGCCATGGGCGAGATGCGCTTCTCGAACTCGAACGGTTCCGTGTCCTTGAACTCGTACACGTCCGACGAGAGCGATTTGCTCATGCCCAGGCCGGACGAGCCGGCGGAGGTGGTGGCGGCGCTGCTGCTGTACTTGGTCTCCTTGGAGCTGGAGGCCGGTGGGTTCGGGGGCTGGGACGGTGCGCCGGGCGGAGCACCTGCTGAAGCAGCGGCCGTGCCACTGCTGATCTCCAGCTTGCTCATGTCCGGCAGAGATCGGGTGGCCGAGCTGGAACTGCCGCCGGAGGCGCTCGAGCAGAACGAGCTGGACGACGAGGACGAGGAGGAGGGCGAGCAGGCCGCCGGCAGCTCCACCTTTAGACTGGCCACCGGTTCGGCGAACTTCTTGGCCTCCAGGGCGGCGGCACTGGCTCCGGCTCCCGCCGGCTTCTTCAGCAGCTCGGCCTTCTTCGCGGAATGCTGCTCCCCGGACTTCTTGCCGCCCACGGTCAGCGGCTTCTCCACTATCACCGACGTGTACTTGGCCGATACGGATGGGCCGGCGCCGCTGTTGCTGCCACTGGTCCCCGACCCGCCGGCTCCCAAGTTGGTTCCGAATCTGGCCGGGGCTATCAGGCTGGAGGTGGTGGGCTTTATGTCCGGACCGGACAGGAAGGGCTTCCCCGGCTTGGTCGTCTCCTCTGCCTCTTGCTTCGGTTCCACTTTGGGCTCCGCTTTGATGCCCGGATGGGGCTGATCCTCCCGTTTGGATACCTGCTGCTCCGAGTGGTGGGAGAGCTTCCGTGGCGGCTCCTTCTTGGCCCCCGTCTTGGGTTGCTTGCGATAGTCGGAGGACTGCGAGTCATCGTCCAGATAGGACTCCGTTTCCGAGGACAGTTCGGTCGAGCTGCTCTTCGCCGAAGACTCCACTTTGGGCTCCTTCTTAACCGTCGCCTGTCCAGGGTCAGTGCTGGGTTCGCTCTTCACCACCACGTCCTTGCGCTCCTCGCCTGTCAGCAGCTGCGGCTGGAAGCCCTTCAGTTCCGAGCGAATCTCGCTGAGATCATAGTCGCGGCCTTTGGTGGAGGCGGCGCCACTGCTCATAGCACGGTTGCCGCCGGCCCGGGATCCCCGCGGTTGCTTGGCCGGCTCTGGCGTAGGTCCACTTGCTCCTGCCGTGTCCTCCTCCTCGTCGGCGTCGGAATCGTCGCTGGCATTTGGCGGCGGCGCTGTCACGGTCGTCATGCGCCCAGCTTTTCCAGACGACTGGGCCGCCTGAGCCTTGCTCCCGGCCGTGGGCTTCTCCTTGGCACTCTGCCGCTTGGGACGCCGCACCGGCTCATCGGAGTCCGAGTCCGATTCGGTGGCCATGGACGCGTCCGACGGTCTGCGCGGATTCGCCGCACCCGGAGGGACGCGGGTGGGCCGTTTCTTCTGCTGCTGCAGGTGTTGCTGGGAGGCGGCTGGGGATTTGGTGCGACTGGCACCGGAGACCACCGAGGACGGGGTCGTGGAACGCGGCGGCATAGAGTCACTGCGTCCGCGGCCCCGCTTGGCTCCGCTGGCGGTGCTGCTAGTGCCGGAACTGGTACTGTGCGGCGTTTTCAGAGCTCCGCCGGAGATCGAGTTGGGCATGGAGATGACTCCGCCCATATTGGGTGCTCCTGTTCCGCTGGCGCCTCCACCAGAGGCGGAAACTCCAGGTGATGGTGGAATCTTTGAACTGCCATCCTTCCCTCCCAGGTGTTTGTCCCCAGGTCCCGGCGGCTGTTGCCCCGAATGCGAGCCAGTGCCGCTGCCTCCTCCTCCGTTGCCACTAGAACCGCCGCCGCCTCCTCCTCCAGAACCGCCACCGGATCCGCCGCCTCCTCCGCTACCACTGTTGGCCGAGGAGGTGCTCACTGTGCGCGTCTTCTGCTTGGAGCCCTTGGTGAGATTCTCGGCGATGCGCTCGCGGGGCACCCACTCGTCGTACCGATTGTTCCAGCCGGTGTAGTGGACCAGGTACATGGGGACGCCGCGCTGGACACTGATCTCGATGACCTTCGCCTCGTAGGTGCTGCCATGGGAGCTGGGAGACTTCTTCTCGTGGTAGTTGACCTTCAGCTTGTCCCCGATGCCCACGACGAAGTCACCGGTATCGATCTTCTCCACGCTGATCTTCTCCTTCTTGCGCTTGCCGCTGCCCGACGCCTGCTTCTCCTCCTTGTCCTTCTCCTTATCCTTATCCTTGTCCTTGTCCTTGTCTTTCTCCTTGTCCTTGTCTTTATCTTTGTCGGCCTGCTTGGTCCTCTGGTGTTTCTCCTTCTTGGTTGAGGTGGGTTGGGATGTGGCCGAACCGGTTGAGGCTGAAGGGGCTCCAGGAACTGTAAACAAAGGTATATGATGAAATAATTTGTCATCAAAATCGATTTTGTTATCAAAATTTTCTTGGGGGTTTCCCTTAAATGGATTCTGATAAGAATTCTACAAAGATTTCCTTAATTTGGACAAAATTTGGGTAGCAAGGTCACATTGATTTGAAAAGTGTTATAACGGGAGTTAAATAAGCATTATTATTAATGTTATTTGACGGGTTAGGCCTTTTAAAATTAACAATTTAAAATTAACAATTATTTAAAAATTTACCTAAAATCATGTTGGAGCATGATGATGTGATTTTCAATCCATTAGTCTCATTATATATTACATTGTATATATTTTTACTGTTATTTATTAATTAAAAAACAGCTATTACTATAAATCTTAAAAAAAAAATTAAGCTAAACTGATAGCAAAAAAAAGTAAGTTTTCTTCTATCACTATTCTTCAGTTTCCTGGGGTTTCCCTTAAATCTTCTCTGATAAGAATTCTAGAAAGATTTCCCTAATTTAGACGAAATTTTAGTGCCAAGGTCACACTGTTTTGAATAATGTGATAACGGGAGTTGAGAGAGTTCACTACTGATTCGACTGCTTTAACTTAAAAAAATTAATAAAAATTCCAAATTTTGCCTAAAATTGGAACATTATTTTCATGTGATTTTTAAATAATATCTTATAAAATATTAAATGACTTGACAAACAACTTGGCTTATATCCTTTTGTTAAAAACAAATTATAGAACTATTATCCTTAAAAAAAAGTAACAAATTTTAACAAATTTTAGACAGACTTTATGAGATATATAGTACAATATAGACACATTAATTAGCTCTCTGCTCCCAGACAAATAAAATCACACAATGAAAGGGTACATATAGAACATAAAATCATAATCAGCATATATTAGCATCAGATAATTATATATATCCACCTAATATATGTGATTTATTTATTTTTTTTTACCGAAGAAGCTTATCCAGTTAGAGGGAGAGGGCCATACAGTTGATTAATGGAAGTTTCGCCTTCCAATAAACAAAATTCGAGCTAATAAAATAAACAAAAGTGCTTAAACAAAGGCACAATTGATGCTTTAACTCTTTATAATCCCCATATAACCCATCATTGTTTACAAAAACAATTTTTCACAAAAAATTATGAATCGGAGCGAGAGGGAAGATGATAACTATAGTTCCGTTATCCCAAATACACACAACAAAAACGCACAGCACTTGTTGCTCGGTTTTCCGGTCATTTGTTGACTATTTTTGTGAATTTTTTGTTTTTTTTTTTCTGCAATCTACCCACTTGTGCGAATTCAGAAGCCTATAGCGTTCAACTTGCATTTTCCTATTTATTTCTTTTTTTATTAATTGCTTTTCGCCGACTCGATGCTTGTGACTGGTTATCGGTTATACGATAGCCAAGCGATAGCTGTTATCGATGGCACGGCAAACAGGTGTGCTGGCGTGAGTGCGTGCGTGTACTGCGTGCCGCGATAAGAAGAAAACAAACAGAATCAACAAAAAATTAGCGTTGCCTTAGATTGCTTATCAATTGACTGGTGGCCGGGGGGTTTTGGGGTCACCGAGAACCACATCATTAGCTGGAGGAATAGCCAAGAGTCCAGCTGTGCATAGCCAGAGACGGTGGTAGCGACGGCAGTTGCTCAGAAGGAGACGAGGGGGGCGCGACACCGGATAAGCTTGGAATCAAATTTCGGAAGATTATTGCCAAGCCACTGGGGAGGGGATCTTCCCGGGTTACATAATCATGCGCTTGCTTTGGCGCAGCTTTCGGGGATTGGCCAACTCCAGAAATCGTCGTCTTGTGGCCACGACATCCACTAGGTGGAGCAACCGCAACGAGGAGGAGAGGGAGCAACGACAGGATTACCAATGGAGCTACCCGAACAGCCGGCTGGAGCAGCTCCTGTACGCCACCTACTGGGCTGGAGGTCTGGCTCTGGCCTATCATTGGTTGGACCCCAAGAAGACAGACCTGCTGGCCAAAGAGAAGGACGATCCCGAGGAGGTGGCCCGCTTGTGGCACGTTACCGTTAGAAACGACCTGCCCACCTACAAGCCAGCCCAGGTGGAGAGCCACAACTCGGCGGAGTCCCGCATCTGGGTCAGCTACGGCCTGGGGGTCTATGATGTGACCGATTTTGCGGAGAATCATCCGGGCGGAGACAAGATTATGATGGCCGCCGGCAGTGCCATCGATCCCTTCTGGGCCATCTACCAGCAGCACAACACCCAGGAGGTGCTGGAGCTGCTGGAGGGCTTTCGGGTGGGCAACCTCGAGGGTGGCCTGGCCGAGAGCAATGTGGAGACGGAGCTGGGCTCACCCTGGGCCCAGGAGCCCCAGCGGCACGCCCTGCTGAAGCCCGCCTCCAAGCGCCCCTTCAACGCGGAGCCGCCCATCGGCATGCTGGCGGAGAACTTCCTGACGCCCAACGAACTGTTCTACGTGCGCAACCACCTGCCCGTCCCAGTCATCAAGGAGGAGGAGTACGAGCTGGAGATTGAAACGGGCGCCGCCAAGCCGCCTCTGACTCTGAACCTGGCGGGGATCAGGGCCCTGCCCAAGCACTCGGTCACCGCGGCCATCATGTGTGGTGGCAATCGGCGATCGGAGATGACCAAGTTCAAGGCAGTCAAGGGTGAGTGACGACACAGGGATGATCTTCTCTTATTTAAACCCAATCCGCAGGTCTGTCGTGGGGCGCCGGAGCCGTGGGCAATGCCAAGTGGTCGGGAGCCAGGCTCTGCGATGTCCTGGCCCAGCAAGGCGTCCAGCCGGACGAGTCCAGGCACGTTATCTTCGAGGGAGCCGACCTGGATCCCACTTCCCATCCCTACGGAGCCTCTATTCCCCTGGCCAAGGCTATGGATCCGCGCGGGGATGTCCTGCTCGCCTACGAAATGAACGACGAGCCCTTGAGCCGGGACCATGGCTATCCCATACGGGTGATAGTGCCCGGCACGGTGGGGGCTCGCAATGTCAAGTGGCTGACCCGGATTGTGGTGGCAGACGTGGAGTCGGACTCGCATTGGCAGCAAAACGACTACAAGGGCTTCAGTCCGAGCACGGACTGGGACACCGTGGACTTTAGCAAGTCGGACGCCATCCAGGCTATGCCTGTCACCTCGGCTATATGCACGCCGCAGCCGGGATCCCGGGTGAAGGTGGACGAGGATGGGGACGGGAGACACATCACAGTGCGGGGCTATGCGTGGAGCGGAGGCGGACGGAAGATAGTGCGCGTGGACCTCACCAACGACGAGGGCCAGAGCTGGCATGTGGCCGAGCTGGAGCAGGAGGACAAGCCCGATGGCCGGCACTACGGCTGGTCCTTGTGGACGGCCAGGTTGCCAGTGACGGACGCCCAGCGGCAGCACGGCGACCTGGAGATCTGGGCCAAGGCCGTGGACTCAGCCTACAATGTCCAGCCGGAGAAGTTCGAGTACATCTGGAACTTGCGCGGCGTCCTGGCCAATGCCTACCACAAGGTCAAAGTGAAGCTAGTCTAGGACGCGGGACAATACTCGGAAAACCATTGAAGATATTTTTGAAATTCATGAAGATGTGACCCAAAATAAATAGAAACTATTGAAGGTATCTCTGGACTTACCCGACGGTGAGGCGTCTCGGCTTCGCTGCAGCTCCGCGGAGTTGGCCTTGCTGGAAGCGGAGGCGCTGCTCCCAGAACTGATGTTGGTCTCCTTCTCGGCACTGTGCCTGGTGGCAGCGGCGGCTGCTGCAGCTGCCTTGATCTTGGCCAGCGGCAGATCGGCCTCCGTGTCCTTACTGGACGATCCAGTAGTGGCTCCGCTTGCAGAGGAAGCTCCTCCAACTGCAGGAGCCGAGGTTGTGGAAGCAGGAGCAGTGGCTGCCTGGACTGTGGCCGCGGCTGGTGATGCTCCCCGGACAGCAGCTGCTCCGGAACCTGGTCCGCTGGAGGACTTCTCCTCGTACTTCTCCACCAGACTCTTCACCTTGCCCTGCTGGCTGCTGGCCGCCGAGCCCTTGCGCTGCTTCTTGGTGGTGGGCTCCACCACCACGCTGGATTCGCTCGTGTTCTCCGACTCCTCGGCGGCCGACTGGGATGCCGTGGAGGCAGCCCTGGCCGGGGTGGATGCTGCTGCCGCTGCGGTGGAGCTGGAAGTGCTGGCCAACTGATTCGGTTGCGCCAGCTTGCTGATGGTTTCGGTTTTGGTCGTTTCCGTGGGCTTCGGAGAGGCCACCGAGTTGGCACGCACCAGGCTGCGACCCTTGCTGCGATTGGAGTTCCGGGAGGTCATCAGCATGGAGCAGCCCAGCTTGCGGTGGAAGTCGCCGTAGGGCTGCAGGAATTTCTTGTACGCCTGCTTCACGAGATTCATGACGCTGACGGTGCAGGGCGTGAATCCCAGCCGGACAGCGATCAGTTTCCATTGATTCTGCGAGGTGACGCGGTTGTAGCCACCGCGCTTCTGCACCGCCCGGAAGAGACGGTATAGATCCACGTCCCGGCTTTGGATGGAGGGCACCTTGTTCAGCGGAGTGCCCCGATCATCCATGTACTTGTACAGTTGGGCCACAAAGCGATCCTTCTCCTCGTGCGGCTCGTCGTCGGAGGAGTCGGAATCGATCTCGCCCTCATCGTCGCTGGAGAGATTCGAGAGGCCGAATAGGGAGTCGCGATCCCAGTGCGGCGGCAAGATGCTACTGTCGAGGAACTCCAAGGCCGCCTGCACTGCAGGCACATCCTGTTTGCTGGCCACCTCGCGCGTGAACTCGGTGGCCTCCTTCTTGGGCACCGTGTAGTAGCGTCCATCCTTGAACGATCGCACCAGGTACTCGTCCTTCACCCGAATCCTTACAGTGGCCTGGGTGGTAAGTCCAGAGATAAGTCACCAAAGCAATGAGAACCAAAGATGTAAGCTTACCTGAGCTGTGGGTGCCACCACGAGGGCGGGAAACCACTTCTCCTTGTCCTTCTTCTTCGATTCTGTTTCCACGCACACCACCTTGCCGATGTTCTCCTCCTTCTCGTTGACCACCTCCTTGGCGTCGCTCTCGTCATCGTCGTCCGAGCTGTCCTCGTTCAGCTGGCCACGTCTTCGGCCTCTGCGGCCGCCCACCACCGGATTCCCAAAGTGCTCCGGATGGGTGAGTGGCAGCTGGTCCAGCGTTTCGCTTTCATTAAAGTGACGCCCGCTCTTCAGGCACAACGCCGTGCGCCTCAGTGTGGTGATGTCACCGTCATCGAAGACCACCGTGTACTGGGAGCAGTCCTGGATTTTGGTTATAGTCGCCTCCACGGTCTCCTTGCGATCCGGATGCCGGACTTCGACAACGGCGCCGACACGCAGCTGTCCTGTGGGTGCCTTGATGGCGTCATCCGAGACTATTCCCGATCCCAGTCCCTGCTTGTAGGCCACCTTCACCTTGATGTTGCGCACCACCTTGCTGACCTTGGCTTCGCAAAAGGCTCCCTTGTACTTGGCACTCACTTCCGTGCCCACGGGCAGCGATGGCGGATCGTCCACTTGCTGGAAGGGAAACTCATTAGTTTTCTGTCAAGATTCGCATGAAAAGTACACATTTCTAGACACGTCTTCTAGAACACACCATTTGCCCCCCCCCAAAGAAGTCTCTGGAGTGTGGGTGCAGTTCCCACAGCGCCCATCCGATGAGTTTGTTTTGATTTTTCGCCCCTTACCTGCATCTTTTGTTGATTATTTCGTGCGTAGCTTCGATTATCCGGTTCTAATGCGGACTCTAAACGTCCCAGTTGACCATTTCAACTATTTTCTTTTCACTTAATTCCCTTTATTGTTTATAATTTTTTTTTCCAGTTGCAGCGTTGTCGCTCTTCTTCTTTCTCTTCTGCGCCAACCCCCTATGCGGAGACGATTCTTTAGTTCCAGGGCGATTTTTTACTGACAATTCACAGTCCTTCGAGGTATTCTAACAGCTGGAATAATAATCCATTAATTTGAAATATATTCCACTGTTGAGAGACTTAAAGAACGCTCTAATTTGACAAAATTTACTTTAGTTTATGTTTTTGGCGCATGAAATTTTCTCTAGAGGTGAACCAATGTCGATAAAAGGAACGCTGTTATCGGTTTGGCCAATGTTTTGTACAGTGCACCCTGTGCAGTTATAGATGATGCTATTTAACAGTAGTTTGTAACATAATGTTACACATAACAGAAGATATTACACTGTTCTTTAAGAATAACATTTCAAATATATATTTAAATAATTTAATGTTACCCTTATTCTTTAAACAAAACAATTATTTTTAATATAATAGTTTTATAATTGGACTTTATTTTCATTTCAAAAAATTATACTAAACTTAAATGTAACATTTTCATACAAGAATTATTAGAAATCATGTGTGGAGGATTACACTAGTCAACATAAGTACACTTTTGATTTGTGCCAATTTATATAATTTTCTAATTTTGTGATACACATATAGATTATTTTGATTAATTTTAACATTTTTAATATTAATATTACCATCAAAATATTACAATGATTTGATGTAATAATATTAACATATAATCTTAGTACTTTGGGTTGATAATTAACCATTTTTACAATTTAAAACTCAAACATGAAACAATACTATGCAAGGTCGCGACAATGGGGAACGCCCTTAAAATTTATGCAAATTATTTAAAAAAAAATTATTATAATTTTTCGAATGGGAAGAAAATACTGAAAACGATCGGAATTGTAGGGGGAATGTTTTGTTTTGTTTCGTAAATAGCCTATAATTAATCAATAACTATAAATAATAATAAAGTATATGTGGTTGGTTTCTTGGTTGGTTTTCTTCTCAGTACTCGGGCATGCCCCTCCAGGAAGTGGTCGTTCCTTCTCCATCGTACTTCTCGTACTCCTTAATCCTAGAACTATGCTCTTAAACGCTGTACAGGGTAGTATTATCGGCTTCCACCGGTATGGCCTGGACGATAAAGCGTTTTCGATCCAACACATCCACGGGTGCCATCGGCTAAGGGTTAAAAAACAAGAGCATAAATAAAATAAGCGTATCAAAGGATAAGGATATTTAATAAAGGGTATCGACCACACTAGCATTCAAGTGTGACCAGCAAGCTAAAAGGTTCAGGAACCTTTTATGCAGAGGATCTTGGAGTGGAATCAAGCCGAGTAAGGAGGAACTGTTAGGCGCATGCATTAAAATAGTAAAAAATAGGATTTAGGGGGATATTATTTAAACATTTAAGCAAGACAAGTACTCACATCACAATCTGTGCCTCAACTCAGCTACATAAGTTACGTATTTCATCCTACTCCCTAATTCCTAATTTTAGTTAGTTATTGTTATTTTAACAATATCACAAATGGTTTAAGTTTAACAGAATTCTTAAAAAAATGTTTACAAAATTGATCTTAACGAGAGTAAGTAGGTAGATAGTAAGTGTGTAGTGTAGTTTCTAAGTGTAATACTGGACATTTTTGATCTAAAATGAAACACAAAAGAAACAAGAGTAAAAACATTTTAAAAGTGGACACATTTTTAAATTCAAAATTAAAGGAAAGGTGTGCGTTATGTTTTTTTTTTTTTTAAACAGTTGAAAAAACAAATGAAATAAGTTCTGACAAAAGTTCTGAATAAATACAAATAAAATATTAGTTCATAGAAGGTGGTAGAAAGTAAAAGATTTTTCAAGAAAATAATATTTTTTACTGCAAAATACTTTGAATAAATAATAAAAAAATAATAAAAAGAAGCCTCAAAAATTATAGAGAGACCAGCCTCAAAAATGTATAGAAAACTATATCCTTTTCACGGGTGAACCTTATCGAAGTGGATGTGGAAGGAAGCAGTCTTAAGATAGATAACCACCACCATTAACCAACCGCAAACCAACCAAGTACAGCACACCCGACCAGACCACATCCCAGACCAGTACTAGGAGGAGTAGAAGGAGCCTCAGGGTATCGCCTCGCCTAACGGGTTGGGGGGGCACTCACGTCGGTGCACTTGCACTGCGTCTCATCGAAGACGGTGCCGGTGGTGCAGCTCTGATTGTAGCGGCACGCACAGGTGCAGTTGGCATCGTCCCAGTACTTGGTGTCCGGCTGCTCCAGGCACTTGTCCTTGGCGTCCGTGTTGTGGCACTCGCACCGGCACAGCTCCTGGCGATACGACTGGTAGGCGTTGCAGTCGCCCTCCTTGATCCGGCAGTCGCAGCGGCACGCCAGGTGCTGTTCCACGTCCACGATGGCCGTCAGACGGCGCGGTCCGGCCCCACTGCGGTCCACCTTCCGTACTCGCAGCTGCACGATCTCGGTTTCCGTCGGCTGGCAGGATATCAGCGTCGATCCGCAACAGCCGCTGCAGCGGTTGATCCTGGTGCAGGACGGGAAGTAGTAGAAGTTGACGCTCTCGGTGCCCGGCGGCTTCAGTTCCACGATCGTCGGTTGGGGGGAGCAGCTCGCTGGTGTGGCGTTCCTGATGGCAGCTGGGGAATGCAAAGTGGGGGTCTATTAGAAAAATTTTACCCATTTCGATACTGAATTTGAAAATATTGAAAAAATGGGTGTTTTCTTAAATATATTAAATTTTAGAAAATAAAAATGTCCAGTTCTATAAATAGACTATATTCTCTAATTATTATTCGGACTTTATTGGAATTTGCTATTTTTAAAATTATTATTTCTGAGATAGGAATTATTTTTGGAAAAAACAGCTTATCTGAAAAAAATAATGTCTTTTCTTCAAAAATTGTAATGTTAAAAATTATTATCTGTATTAAAATTATTATTATTAAAAAAAAAAACTCATTAAATAATGATGTTTTGTTTCTCAGAAAAATTAAATCATAAAATGCCAAATTTTATTTAAACTTAAAAATGATTATTGTTTTTGGAGAAAGTTATATTTATTTTAAGAAAATTGTGTAGTTATATCTTCTTAAAAAAAAATTATTTCATGACCTTTCTTTATATTATAAATATTAAAAAGAGTATCGGATCAGAATTGGGGAAGATAAAGCCATCACTGGGGACCTTCTAGGGCAAAACCCCGTTTTCAAGGGGTTTGGAAAAAAAAAATGGACAAAAAATCTAAAAAATATTTTGTCTCTGGATTTTGATGCAGAATGGTGGAGAATCGACCCAGAAATCGTTTAAGGTACTCCGCTTGAGAATCGGATCAGAATTGGAGAAGATATAGACATCGCAGTGGGCCCTATAGGGAAAAACCCCATTTTCAAGGGATCCCCTCACGAAAAATGGACAAAAAATCTAAAAAATATTTTGTCTCAGGATTTAGATGCAGAATGGTGGAGAATCGACCCAGAAATCGTTGAAGGTACTCCGCTTGAGAATCGGATACGAATTGGAGAAGCTATAGACATGGCAGTGGGCCCTATAGCGAAAAAACCCCATTTTCAAGGGATCCCCTCACGAAAAATGGACAAAAAATCTAAAAAATATTTTGGGTCAGGATTTAGATGCAGAATGGTAGAGACTCGACACAGAAATCGTTTAAGGTACTCCGCTGAAGAATCGGATCAGAATTGGAGAAGATATAGACATGGCAGTGAGCCATATAGGGCAAAACACCATATTCAAGGGATCCCCTCACGAAAAATGGACAAAAAATCTAAAAAATATTTTGTCTCAGGATTTAGATGCAGAATGGTGGAGAATCGACCCAGAAATCGTTAAAGGTACTCCTCTTGAGAATCGGATCAGAATTGGAGAAGATATAGACATGGCAGTGGGCACTATAGGGCAAAACACCATATTCAAGGGATCCCCTCACGAAAAATGGACAAAAAATCTAAAAAATATTTTGTCTCAGTATTTTGATGCAGAATGGTGGAGAATCGACCCAGAAATCGTTTAAGGTACTCCGCTTGAGAATCGGATCAGAATTGGAGAAGATATAGACATGGCAGTGGGCACTATAGGGCAAAACACCATATTCAAGGGATCCCCTCACGAAAAATGGACAAAAAATCTAAAAAATATTTTGTTTCAGTATTTTGATGCAGAATGGTGGAGAATCGACCCAGAAATCGTTTAAGGTACTCCGCTTGAGAATCAGATCAGAATTGGAGAAGATATAGACATGGCAGTGGGCACTATAGGGCAAAACACCATATTCAAGGGATCCCCTCACGAAAAAATGGACAAAAAATCTAAAAAATATTTTGTTTCAGTATTTTGATGCAGAATGGTGGAGAATCGACCCAGAAATCGTTTAAGGTACTCCGCTTGAGAATCGGATCAGAATTGGAGAAGATATAGACATCGCAGTGGGCCCTATAGGGAAAAACCCCATTTTCAAGGGATCCCCTCACGAAAAATGGACAAAAAATCTAAAAAATATTTTGTCTCAGGATTTAGATGCAGAATGGTGGAGAATCGACCCAGAAATCGTTGAAGGTACTCCGCTTGAGAATCGGATACGAATTGGAGAAGCTATAGACATGGCAGTGGGCCCTATAGCGAAAAAAACCCCATTTTCAAGGGATCCCCTCACGAAAAATGGACAAAAATCTAAAAAATATTTTGGGTCAGGATTTAGATGCAGAATGATAGAGACTCGACACAGAAATCGTTTAAGGTACTCCGCTGAAGAATCGGATCAGAATTGGAGAAGATATAGACATGGCAGTGAGCCATATAGGGCAAAACACCATATTCAAGGGATCCCCTCACGAAAAATGGACAAAAAATCTAAAAAATATTTTGTCTCAGGATTTAGATGCAGAATGGTGGAGAATCGACCCAGAAATCGTTAAAGGTACTCCTCTTGAGAATCGGATCAGAATTGGAGAAGATATAGACATGGCAGTGGGCACTATAGGGCAAAACACCATATTCAAGGGATCCCCTCACGAAAAATGGACAAAAAATCTAAAAAATATTTTGTCTCAGTATTTTGATGCAGAATGGTGGAGAATCGACCCAGAAATCGTTTAAGGTACTCCGCTTGAGAATCGGATCAGAATTGGAGAAGATATAGACATGGCAGTGGGCACTATAGGGCAAAACACCATATTCAAGGGATCCCCTCACGAAAAATGGACAAAAAATCTAAAAAATATTTTGTTTCAGTATTTTGATGCAGAATGGTGGAGAATCGACCCAGAAATCGTTTAAGGTACTCCGCTTGAGAATCGGATCAGAATTGGAGAAGATATAGACATGGCAGTGGGCACTATAGGGCAAAACACCATATTCAAGGGATCCCCTCACGAAAAATGGACAAAAAATCTAAAAAATATTTTGTTTCAGTATTTTGATGCAGAATGGTGGAGAATCGACCCAGAAATCGTTTAAGGTACTCCGCTTGAGAATCAGATCAGAATTGGAGAAGATATAGACATGGCAGTGGGCACTATAGGGCAAAACACCATATTCAAGGGATCCCCTCACGAAAAAATGGACAAAAAATCTAAAAAATATTTTGTTTCAGTATTTTGATGCAGAATGGTGGAGAATCGACCCAGAAATCGTTTAAGGTACTCCGCTTGAGAATCGGATCAGAATTGGAGAAGATATAGACATGGCAGTGGGCACTATAGGGCAAAACACCATATTCAAGGGATCCCCTCACGAAAAATGGACAAAAAATCTAAAAAATATTTTGTTTCAGTATTTTGATGCAGTATGGTGGAGAATCGACCCTGAAATCGTTTAAGGTACTCCGCTTGAAAATCGGATCAGAATTGGAGAAGATATAGACATGGCAGTGGGCCCTATAGGGCAAAACCCCATTTTCAAGGGATCCCCTCACGAAAAATGGACAAAAAATCTAAAAAATATTTTGTCTCAGGATTTAGATGCAGAATGGTGGAGAATCGACCCAGAAATCGTTAAAGGTACTCCTCTTGAGAATCGGATCAGAATTGGAGAAGATATAGACATGGCAGTGGGCACTATAGGGCAAAACACCATATTCAAGGGATCCCCTCACGAAAAATGGACAAAAAATCTAAAAAATATTTTGTCTCAGGATTTAGATGCAGAATGGTGGAGAATCGACCCAGAAATCGTTTAAGGTACTCTGCTTGAGAATCGGATCAGAATTGGAGAAGATATAGACATGGCAGTGGGCCCTATAGGGCAAAACCCCATTTTCAAGGGATCCCCTCACGAAAAATGGACAAAAAATCTAAAAAATATTTTGTCTCAGGATTTAGATGCAGAATGGTGGAGAATCGACCCAGAAATCGTTAAAGGTACTCCTCTTGAGAATCGGATCAGAATTGGAGAAGATATAGACATGGCAGTGGGCCCTATAGGGCAAAAACCCATTTTCAAGGGATCCCCTCACGAAAAATGGACAAAAAATCTAAAAAATATTTTGTTTCAGTATTTTGATGCAGAATGGTGGAGAATCGACCCAGAAATCGTTTAAGGTACTCTGCTTGAGAATCGGATCAGAATTGGAGAAGATATAGACATGGCAGTGGGCCCTATAGGGCAAAACCCCATTTTCAAGGGATCCCCTCACGAAAAATGGACAAAAAATCTAAAAAATATTTTGTCTCAGGATTTAGATGCAGAATGGTGGAGAATCGACCCAGAAATCGTTAAAGGTACTCCTCTTGAGAATCGGATCAGAATTGGAGAAGATATAGACATGGCAGTGGGCCCTATAGGGCAAAAACCCATTTTCAAGGGATCCCCTCACGAAAAATGGACAAAAAATCTAAAAAATATTTTGTTTCAGTATTTTAATGCAGAATGGTGGAGAATCGACCCAGAAATCGTTTAAGGTACTCTGCTTGAGAATCGGATCAGAATTGGAGAAGATATACATGGCAATGGGCCCTATAGGGCAAAACACCATATTCAAGGGATCCCCTCACGAAAAATGGACAAAAAATCTAAAAAATATTTTGTCTCAGGATTTAGATGCAGAATGGTGGAGAATCGACCCAGAAATCGTTAAAGGTACTCCTCTTGAGAATCGGATCAGAATTGGAGAAGATATAGACATGGCAGTGGGCCCTATAGGGCAAAACCCCATTTTCAAGGGATCCCCTCACGAAAAATGGACAAAAATCTAAAAAATATTTTGTTTCAGTATTTTGATGCAGAATGGTGGAGAATCGACCCAGAAATCGTTTAAGGTACTCTGCTTGAGAATCGGATCAGAATTGGAGAAGATATAGACATGGCAGTGGGCCCTATAGGGCAAAACCCCATTTTCAAGGGATCCCCTCACGAAAAATGGACAAAAAATCTAAAAAATATTTTGTCTCAGGATTTAGATGCAGAATGGTGGAGAATCGACCCAGAAATCGTTAAAGGTACTCCTCTTGAGAATCGGATCAGAATTGGAGAAGATATAGACATGGCAGTGGGCACTATAGGGCAAAACACCATATTAAAGGGATCCCCTCACGAAAAATGGACAAAAAATCTAAAAAATATTTTGTCTCAGGATTTAGATGCAGAATGGTGGAGAATCGACCCAGAAATCGTTAAAGGTACTCCTCTTGAGAATCGGATCAGAATTGGAGAAGATATAGACATGGCAGTGGGCCCTATAGGGCAAAAACCCATTTTCAAGGGATCCCCTCACGAAAAATGGACAAAAAATCTAAAAAATATTTTGTCTCAGGATTTAGATGCAGAATGGTGGAGAATCGACCCAGAAATCGTTAAAGGTACTCCTCTTGAGAATCGGATCAGAATTGGAGAAGATATAGACATGGCAGTGGGCACTATAGGGCAAAAACCCATTTTCAAGGGATCCCCTCACGAAAAATGGACAAAAAATCTAAAAAATATTTTGTTTCAGTATTTTGATGCAGAATGGTGGAGAATCGACCCAGAAATCGTTTAAGGTACTCCGCTTGAGAATCGGATCAGAATTGGAGAAGATATAGACATGGCAGTGGGCCCTATAGGGAAAAACCCCATTTTCAAGGGATCCCCTCACGAAAAATGGACAAAAATCTAAAAAATATTTTGTCTCAGGATTTAGATGCAGAATGGTGGAGAATCGACCCAGAAATCGTTAAAGGTACTCCTCTTGAGAATCGGATCAGAATTGGAGAAGATATAGACATGGCAGTGGGCACTATAGGGCAAAAACCCATTTTCAAGGGATCCCCTCACGAAAAATGGACAAAAAATCTAAAAAATATTTTGTCTCAGGATTTAGATGCAGAATGGTGGAGAATCGACCCAGAAATCGTTAAAGGTACTCCTCTTGAGAATCGGATCAGAATTGGAGAAGATATAGACATGGCAGTGGGCACTATAGGGCAAAACACCATATTAAAGGGATCCCCTCACGAAAAATGGACAAAAAATCTAAAAAATATTTTGTCTCAGGATTTAGATGCAGAATGGTGGAGAATCGACCCAGAAATCGTTTAAGGTACTCCGCTTGAGAATCGGATCAGAATTGGAGAAGATATAGACATGGCAGTGGGCCCTATAGGGCAAAACCCCATTTTCAAGGGATCCCCTCACGAAAAATGGACAAAAAATCTAAAAAATATTTTGTCTCAGGATTTAGATGCAGAATGGTGGAGAATCGACCCAGAAATCGTTAAAGGTACTCCTCTTGAGAATCGGATCAGAATTGGAGAAGATATAGACATGGCAGTGGGCACTATAGGGCAAAAACCCATTTTCAAGGGATCCCCTCACGAAAAATGGACAAAAAATCTAAAAAATATTTTGTTTCAGTATTTTGATGCAGAATGGTGGAGAATCGACCCAGAAATCGTTTAAGGTACTCCGCTTGAGAATCGGATCAGAATTGGAGAAGATATAGACATGGCAGTGGGCCCTATAGGGAAAAACCCCATTTTCAAGGGATCCCCTCACGAAAAATGGACAAAAAATCTAAAAAATATTTTGTCTCAGGATTTAGATGCAGAATGGTGGAGAATCGACCCAGAAATCGTTTAAGGTACTCCGCTTGAAAATCGGATCAGAATTGGAGAAGATATAGACATGGCAGTGGGCCCTATAGGGCAAAACCCCATTTTCAAGGGATCCCCTCACGAAAAATGGACAAAAAATCTAAAAAATATTTTGTTTCAGTATTTTGATGCAGAATGGTGGAGAATCGACCCAGAAATCGTTTAAAGTACTCCGCTTGAGAATCGGATCAGAATTGGAGAAGATATAGACATGGCAGTGGGCACTATAGGGCAAAACACCATATTCAAGGGATCCCCTCACGAAAAATGGACAAAAAATCTAAAAAATATTTTGTTTCAGTATTTTGATGCAGAATGGTGGAGAATCGACCCAGAAATCGTTTAAGGTACTCCGCTTGAGAATCGGATCAGAATTGGAGAAGATATAGACATGGCAGTGGGCACTATAGGGCAAAACACCATATTCAAGGGATCCCCTCACGAAAAATGGACAAAAAATCTAAAAAATATTTTGTTTCAGTATTTTGATGCAGAATGGTGGAGAATCGACCCAGAAATCGTTTAAGGTACTCCGCTTGAGAATCGGATCAGAATTGGAGAAGATATAGACATGGCAGTGGGCCATATAGGGGACTATATCCTATAGCTGCCATATAACTGTCGGAAAATCATACAGATTCTATTTTGGAGCATATGATTTGACCTTCCAAATTCTTAAGGATCGGTCGAATATAACCTATAGCTGCCATATAACTGAACATCTGAAAAAGTATTTGGTAAATGGTAAAAATACCAACATAATATCGGATCTTAACCGCAAAAGTATATCAACTTCGGCTCTCTCCAAAGTTAGCTTTCTTTCTTGTTTTTAATTTAAAATTTTTAAGAAAATACATATTCCGTAGGTTTCGATTTTGATGGAACTAAAATAACTAAAATATAAAAACTGTTATACAATTTTGTATTTTATTTTTAATTAATCTACTTAAAAACTTGAATAAGATTTAAAATCTCTAGAGATATATTTTCAAATAAAAACAAAATCCTTTCTTAACGAAATGTTACTAGAATATCTCACCTCTGGTGACATGGCGTTTGAAATTTTCTGCAAAAAGAAAGTGAATAAATCAATTAATATTAAGTATTATATTATCAGGTTGGAGAAAAGAATCATTTTATAGATAATAGATCATTTAATTCACTTACCCTTGGAAGAGGCTTCTCCGGAGACATCGTAGTCGACAGCAGTGGCGTTGCCCAGCTCCGAGCTGGAGACTCCCTCCAGAGGCAGCAGCTGTGGAAGATCATTAGACGCTCGATTAAACCAAAAAAACAAAACAAAAAAAATAAAAACATTCATTCGGTGTTAGTCATGGGACATGGGGGTACTACGTTGACTCCACAGAGAGCAGTAGCCACCAACTACTGATTGCCGGATTGACGTAGATATTACGTGGAAAGGCGGACGTTGACTGAATAGAAATGTTGGCTTAAATAAATATCTATATCAGTTCAGATCTGAGGGCGTGAGTCATCTATTTATTACATTATAATATTGTTAAATATTATATATTTATTTAGTTTTTAGCCACGTGCCGGATATTTAGCGGCGTAGATTTTATTTTAGAATTCATGCTCTGGCCAATTTGCACGTCGCCGATTTCTGGCATATTTTTGTGGAAGCCATTTCAGTCATTTAGCCCAATACCTTGGCCATGATTCATTAGCGAAGCCAACTCGCTGGCTGCCATTTGCGATTTATGATTGTTAATTGCTGTTCAGGCGGAGAAAGTTCAAGGGCAGGTGACAAATGATCGGCTGAATAAATTCAGAAATCACCGATAAAACAACACACAGATAAGAAAAAGAAACAGGAAATGTTGTAAACAAATTTGAGAAGATTATAGAATATTCCTCGAAAGTTCTACCCCTTATTATTTTCATTCTGATAAACGTAATGCGATTCTTTAGGCAGGAAATGAATCGAAATCGTAATTAAAATCGGCTTCAATTAAGCACTAATTGCAAACCGATATCGGTTATGTTATTGTTTAGACTTCTGTTTTGGCTATTTGCCGACTGGCCACAAAAGCTGATACCCGGCTGGGTAAACAAGTGCCCGGCTCCAGACGGGAATCCAGAGAACTCCACACGAAACCTGGAAACTGGTTACTGGATGGGGGAGAGTTCTCCTGTTCTTCTGTTTATCTTGGCATTAACGCAAACAGAAGAAAGCCACTGGGACACGGGGCGTATGAGCAACGGAGGGCCCAATTAAAAACGGCGGGCGAATTATTTGTCTTGGAATCAAGGCAAGTGTTGCGGGGCTATAAATGGCACAGACAGTGCAAGAATACAAGGCACTGGGAAAAATTTCTTCAGGTTTTAGTATAGGGGTTTCTGAATAAAAAAAAGGTCATAAAGGGGAGAGAGGAATAAGACAGGAATATTGCTTCCAAAATCTTTTAAAAAAATCTAGATATATGTCTAGATATAGACTAGATATATCTAGATATATATCTATATTAGACATATGTATATGTATATGTTTTTTAAAATTTTCAAATATTTTCTAATTTAAAACTATAAGTTTACCCTTCTTTGTAAGAATCTGAATCTGCATTCTCAACTGGTTTAAGCTACTGGTTTAAGACATTAAAGAGGGTATATTGCTTCCAAATATTTCTGTCTATTTTCAATTTCTAATCATTTTTTAATTTTAAACATGTTTACCCTATTTTCGGGGAAAAAAATCTCATAAATTATAGTTTTGAATAATTTTTCTTTTATTTCCTGATCTAATCCATAATCTAAAGATCATCATTGAAGTTTTATAGATTTAAGATGATCTAGCACCAAGTTCGAAACCTCACTAAAAATAAAACTATTTTCTTATGCGAATTTGGAAATATTTTTCCTTTTAATTGTGAACACTTATAAATATATTCTTTAAATGTTAAATGTTATTTCTTTTAAAAGCACAAAAAATATTCGTTTATGAAGAAAATCCTTTTAAAATAATTTTGAAAAAAATAATATTGAATCTCTAGTTTCTATTAAACTTTAAGCTTCTATTTTTTTTAAAGAATACCTGCTTTTAACCTCAAAATAAATTAAATATTTCCCTCAGTGTAAAGCAACCTGAAGCTACGGCGCCACTGTGCTTGCTTTTCTCTCAATTTAGGGTTGGGGTCTTCGAGGTTTGGGCTGCCAAGTCTGGGGTCTAGAATTGGGGGATGGGGCTGCGATTTGGGATTAGGAGCCGGTGAAGTCTCTGCTTTGGATGAGGCGTCTTATCAAAATGCAAACAGCAGTGAGATGACGCTGAGATGACGAGTCTGACCTAAAAATGCAGTGTCTCGGCCGGCATTGTGGCGCCATCTACATAGATACTGCCATTCGATGGACAGACGACTTGATTTAATAGATAGATTTGCTTTTAAAACAAAATAAATAAAGAAAACGGTTTTAAAAGTAGTTCAGTAAGTCGCAAAAAAAGTGTAATATGTGCTGTAGTTTATTACTTTAATGACGTAATTGTATCAAGACGTAAATTTTGAGTTTCCGGTAAAAAAAAAGTCACGTACTGCAAAAGCTACTAAATGTTTGTACTTCCACTTTATGAGATAAGTTTTATTATTTATAAATATTTATTAAATGCATTATATTCACCATAGAATCGGCGGAAGTAGAGGCTGACCCTTGGCAACAGCTACCCTCTTCCAGAGGGGCTGCATCGCCCACCTGTCGCAGCAGACGCACCTTTGTCTGTGTGGATTCAGCGGCGGCTGTGGATCCTGACCCTGAGGCATAGAAGAACCGCTGAGCGGGCAGGGCACTGTTGGTGTTAAGTAGCGCCACGCCCGCTGTCCTGCTGGCCATGGGCAGGATCACCAGGAGCAGCAGTGGGAGAAGTGTCAGAGGCTGATGGAAGGGTTCTCGATATCTGGTTTGTGTCATGGCTAGTTGACTGTTAGCTGGTCTGTTAACTTCTAATGGTTGCCGTTGGGCCTTAAATTAGGAGTTTCTGTAAAAAAAATAAAAGAATTAAGGTTTTAAAATATAAATAATTTTAAGAAAAAATAATATAAAAATAGATAATATGGTAAAGTAAATGTTTAAGATTGAATAAAAGTTTTTTTTAACACTAATCTTTCATACTAAAAAATGTATTTTTTTCAACTAAAATTCTAAAAAATCTAAAAAATTGTATACTGCTTATAATCATCTCTTCAAAAATGGGGGTTTAAAATGTTTTAAGAATCACCCAGTTAAAATAACATGTTTTTTATTAAAGGACCCAAGAAGGGTGTTTAGAACCCAATTTCTAACAATAATTTAAATAAAACGGCAGCTCTATTAAAAACTATAAGAGCGTAAAAACACATTACGTTGAAAAATAAATATATACATATGTATAACTTCCAGTCTCTCAGCTGTCTGAGAGATTTACGACTTGATTTATTATGTCAGAGACTCAGAGTCGGAGATTTGTTTTTATTTTCCTTGGGGTTTCTTCAGTTTGTTTTGGTCGGCAACTCGGAATTTACTTTTGCCGGCTTCTCCGATCTACAATGTCAAATCTGAATTCTTCTGAGGTGGGATGGAGGTGGCTGGCAACAGGTGAACAGGTAAACAGGTGGGCGGGCACGTTTACCGTTCGAATTGGGGTCAGATCGGTGGTGGTTATGAATGCGCCGTTAAATGTTGACCAACGACAAAATCTTTTTATGGCCAACTTGACATTGATACAAAACAATAAAAAACAAGAAACAAAAATAATAAAAATAAATAGATAATATAAAAGAAGTCTTATCAGAGGCACACACAACACTCGAATACTACATTGTGTGTGTACATAATCGTGCGTCAGGCATATCAATAAGACAATTCAGCCAACCGATTGCATGACAATGGCCATAAAGCCAGGAGTCAGGCGTCGGGGGTCCGAGGTGACTCAAAGTCAACTAATGAAATACCTCTTAATCACAAAACCAACTAATAGTAGAGGAAATGCAATAAATTGGGCAATAAAATGTCTAATTCTAAGTTGTTTCAAGACATTTTCAAAAAAACTAAAGACATTTAATGAGCGAGAGTCGAACTCTAGACTGTAATATAAGTACCTTTTCATTATAAGAGCTATTATTGGAAAAAGTTCTTTAAATAAACTATGTTTACATATATTGTTTGTATACATTTGTTTCCTAGCAAATCTTGTTAGTAATTCTTTTACCTATCACCACTATCCACACATATCATATAACCCGATGTCGAATTCTAGACTGTAATAAAAATAGATTCTCATTTTAAGAAACTATTATATGGAAAAAGTTCTTTAAATAAACTATGTTTATATTATTTGTTTCCTAAAAAATCATGTTAGTAATTCTTCCTGTTATACCACCATATTATACCACTATCTCTGTCATATAACCCTCAAGTAACTGAAAATCACAAGGTATCTTTAAGACAATGCACTGCCACATTTGGCTATGAATGAACCCCGATTGTTCGTGGCTTGTTTGTCCGTTTCTTTATTTTATTATATGTAAGTATGTATGGTATAGCCATCAGTTCCTGGGGACCTGACTCATAAGTCAGAAACACTCGAGGAACAGGTCAGAATTAAACCGGCAATACAACCGAAAGGATCTTGAGGGCTATTGAGAGCGTAGAATACAATTTCCTGTCTTTGAATGCGAATAGAATGTTAAGAAGTTAGTATTTCCTGTTTTAAAGTTTCAGAAATTTTACATCTTAAAGATATTCGTTTATTTTCAAAAATTAATTCTCTTTTTTCAAGTGTGGTTTCTTTTTTGCTGATCCATTAAAATTCATTTCATTATTTGTTTTTATTCCCATTCTTATTTATGATTTCTGATTTTTTTTTTGCGTACTGCTTAAATATGAAAATTCTTATTATAGGTCAGTTCGCGTTTCCCTTTCAGTTTATTGTTGTTTTTGTTGTTGGCCTGTCGATAAGGGAACGCACGCCTAAAGATAGTGGTATATTCCTATGGCATATGATTCCATATAGTGGCTGGTCAAGGCGCTTTATCAGCATAGCAAATGCCATAAAAAAAAGCTCTATAGTGATTTGCCATTCATTCATAAAAATGCAAAACGATACAAAAAAAAAATGAAATAGAAGACTGGGAAGCAGAGGAAATCCCGAAGAAGAATTATAAACATTCGCCGGAATTGGCACCCCCATGAAGAAATAATATAGAACCAATAATACGATGCAGATGATTGCAATACTCTGGTTTGCAAATATTAATAATAGAAATAAAAAAATTTTATAAAAATATTTTCAACATTTAAATCATTTTTTGTTAGTCATATCAAGACCTTCTTCTACTGAAGGTTCTCAGATTAATGTTTCTAAATTTTGGAATCCCAGTTTTTGGGGAAAATTGAATATATATACATATATATAAATTGAATATACATATATATTTATAACTTTGGGAATTAAATTCCAAATTTCTTAGAATTTGGCATTAAAAATGACTTATTTTACTTATGATTAAAGAATTATCTTTCTAATTCTTAGAATGTTTCATAAGACTGTCTTTGAAAACTGACTCATTGAAACATTTCCAATTAAACATCCTATTTCTCAATTTCTACTTTCTTTCCCTGAATCTTAGAAAACTATCTATATATACTTTTAAATTAAATCTTTAAAACTGATATTAAGCTAAAACTTTGAGTTTACTTATAAAGTATTTTAGTATAAACGGGTTACTATTAAAGGCAAAACATTAAATAAAAGTTAATTAAATCGAAAACACTGTATCTAAAGATACTTTTTCCATAGAACTAGTTGTTCTTATTATTATAAAGATAATAGTCCCAACAAAGAATTGTAAGAATAACTTAAATATTTACAAAATTGAATTTTAGGCTTTAATAGCCTACAATTTTTGTATTCTTGATCAAGATTTTCATTTTATTCAACTACAACTTAGGAATAATAGAGCCCTTTTATCAAAATTTTAAGGCAAATATTAAAAAAAACAACGGACTAAGTTTAATAAGTTCTTCCCATTTGACTTTATAATATTAAACAAATATTAAAAAAACAACTCCCTATATCCGTGTATCCACAAGTAATACCAAAAATAAACTCCATAAAGAGTATCTGGAGAAGACAGCCCAGCCAGAGTAAGTGTAAATAAGCACAAACAATAATACAGGAAAGGAGATAGCCGTGAAGGGAGCTGCGAGTGGGCGAGAGGAGCAAAGGAGACTGAAAGACAAGTGGGGAGATCAAATGATGTTTAAAAATAGCTTACAGCTCCCACACTCTCGTATAACAGTAAATTTTTGCTCCTTTTTCCTCAGCTTATGTTTGTTTATGATTTTGTTTTTGTTTTTAGTTTCATTTTTCGAGTAAGAGTTGTGGGTGTAAGGGGAGCTGAGACGGGACAAGTGTTTATTTGTTAACTGTAATCAAGAGACCCACGTATCAGCTCGCGCTGTGCCTTTCCATTGTTTTCCCCTCCCCTCCCCCACCTATTTCTGTTTTTCTTCTACATATTTCTCTGCTTTTCCTTAACAGTTAAGCAAATGCCGATTGATATGACAGCTGAAAAGTTGTTATTGTCACTTTTGTTGTATTTATTTGTTTTTTTTTTTTTCTACTCTGTTACTCTGTTTTTTTGCCGCTGTTACCGGGCGCCCGTTTCATTAACTTTATATTTCTTGCCGCTTGCACACACCTGTGTGATTCATCTTGACATTCCTTTGCCCCTTTTTTTGCTTTTGCTTTTGATATTTGCTTTTGATCTTTGCTTTTGGAATGCGTGCCTGTGTCTTTACCTTTGGCTGCTGCACAATTTGGAAACAAATGTCAACAAAGCCAATAATAATCGAGAATTATTTGGTTCGAATTTGGTCTAGATTCTTGAACCTGTCAAAGGTCTCCTTATCCTGCTTTAACAGTTAACTGTCTGGGCTACTCTTATCAGTTGTGTTTTGTGTTGTCACCAGAAAGAGATGCAACTATGTAGGCATATAAAGGCAGAGTCATTGGAGGCCTACTGATTACAAAATTTAGCACGTTTTTAATTATTAAATATAAATATAAACATGAATATTTATGGCGAAAGCAATGGGGTTATTGCTTTTTCATATCCAACAGGTTACTAGAGGGGTTTATTCCAATTACTCGATTTAGATTTAATAAGATAGATAATTTAATTTAGTGTTTGCGTAGTCGAACCTAAGATCTGCATATTCTAAAGACTTTCAAGAATATAATATCCTTTATTTTCATAAAAAAAAATAAAAAAAATGTCTTCTCCCCTTAGTCGAACCTGGGATCTTTTAGCCACAAAAGAAATATTATTTTTTTAAACAAACTCGAGAAAAAACTTAATATTTAATAACACTTTTTGCAGGTATCTTGAAATTATTCAACAGTGCGTCACACAATTATAAAACTGAAAGGAAGTCAGAGGCTTGGATTATGAGAGAAATCGAAAGGAATCATCAGTATCCTACCGACATGGGCGGTCTTTAAAGGGAGTGTATCTTCATTACTGAGGAATTTCAGAATAAAAAAAAAAAAACTCAAGCACTAATGATAAGGATGGGCGGAGGAGAGGAGAGGCGCTCGAGGGCGTGGCACCACCAGGGAAGAGTCACAGAGCTTGTCTCCTCCGGGTCTTTGGCTCAGGCAAATCAATTACAATATAGGAATGATAATAACTCCGCAGCATCCATGGGATGGGATGATGGGATGGATGGGATGATGGGTTGGATGGGGAAACATCATCAACAACAAACAATAATAAAGAAAAAGTAGAGAAGTGGGGAAGGAGGAGGAGGAGGCGGCTCAGGAGGAAAAGGGCCAGAAGGGTAACGGTTGCAACAAGATAAATTATGGATTTGATGACCCCCATATGGGGGTACAACTGGATCGGGATCTCTGGATCGCTGGCGCTGTCTGTGGAATGTGAATTGAAGATTAAACGATTTCAACTTTTCTAACTTGAAATGGAAAATTTATTAACTAATACCTCTTGTTTAAATTAGTAACATGAAAATCATATTGCATAAGTCTTATTAATTCCCATTCCAAAATGACAAATAATCCTTTCCGATTCGAAACAGTTTAGTCACCTTATTAGGTTTAGAGAAGCCTAAATAATTCATAATTATTTTTAGAAAACTTAAATAAATATGACTAGCTTGTTTAATAAAGTTTTTTTATTAGTAATTTGGATTTTTTAACGATTCGATTTTTTAAAGATATTATATCTTATAAAATAGGTAATCTTATTCTTATTTAATCATCCACTTTAATCAGCTGATTTATAAACCATTCACATCATTTCAGTCGCACACGCAATCGGCTTGACTTTTATTTTGAATATTGATTAAAGCCAGGCTTAGACTTTGTGGCTTAAACTATTTGTATTTTTTTTGTGGGCTGGGCTAGTCAAGCGAGACTATTTTCACAAGGGGGGTTTTCCACAAACACACACACACACACAGTCACACAAATTGGAATAATTACGAGAGTCGTATTAAAAAAAAAAACCTTAATTACGAATGTACTTTTCATGTTTTTTTTTTATTGTAACAACTTTGTTCTCGTTTTAGCCAAAAGCTGTTATATTTGTTTTAACAATAAAACGTCATACACTTAAAAAAAAGTTGTAATAAAAACACATTATTTTAAGTAAGTTAGAAAATTAATAATTTTCTTTCAATTTTCTTACTATTCTAAATTTATTTTAAAAGTTTTAGAATCAAAATTATTTTTCTCTCTGTACCAAAAGCTTGGTTTTCAGGCCCGGCTTCAATGAATTCAAAATGAAAAAAAATTTAAAAAAAAAACAACAAATCAACAAAAACAACAAACAATAACAAAAAGCGGTTTTTGTTTAAATGTTGAGGGTCGCTGGCTTGGATGTTTTTGATTTTAACTGTTTTGTTTCAGGTGCACAGTCTTAAATATTTTACCTTATAGTTTTGTTTGCTTCTTAGTTTTACTCACTTTTTTGGAAAACACTCGAAAAATTTTCAGTTGACAGAAATATCAAAAATATTGGCGGAGAACACAACAAAAAAAAAGGGAAATTATGAAAACAGAAAACAGTTAACACGGAAACCACGAAAAAATCGTATTTTTTTTCTCTGATAAACGAACGCGACTGTAGTGGAGGCGGGGGGGCGTGGCGTTCGTTAACAGCGAGCGGGGTTCACGCGGAGAAGCGGTTAAAAAATGGTTAAAAAAAAGTGCGATCGCCGTAGCAGAGAGTGTTGGAGCTTTTATACTAGGGTTGTTGATAACATATCAATTTATCGATATATCGATCTTCGTTATATCAAAATTATATGGTCATATCGTGATGGGCATTTGGCTATCGAATATACGATACTTTTCGAGTTTTATGGTTCGTGCCTTCGCTTGTCTACGCTACTGAACTTTAAAGTATTTTTGCGGAGTATAAATATGATAATTTTTTAATATTTTATTTTTAAAGAATAATGTATAATGTAAAAATAATATTAAAAAAAAAATCCAGTCCCAGTTGAGACCACTATTAGCTTGTGAAAGTTAACAGGCATCCTTACAGCGACCGCTGGTGTTATCTCTCTGTTAGTAAGCTGTTACAGTAGACATACGCGCGCTAAATACGAAAACTTGAATTTTTTAAATATTTAATATAATGAACTTAAAAACATGATTAAAAATAAGTAGTTTCCAGTTGCGGTATATATAAATATGTTTATGTTTATAAATTACACATACTTAAATTTATACATAAACAAGAATATAAGATTGTATCAAGTAACACTTATCTCTAATAACCTTTAACTTTCCATCCGCAAGCATTGTGCATGTGGTATTTTTTGACTTTTTAATAGATTTGCACTCATAGTTCCTATTCCGAAGACAGCACTCGTATGAAGACTGATCGCCTTATCAGAAAGTCTCAACTCAAGGTTTTAAAATCAATGAAGGATGATTTAAAAATCCCGAGCCATGAGGGTAGCAGCTTCAGTTTAAATTATTCAATGGTTCTTTCAGAAGAAAGTCAGACACACAAATAGAAAATGAAGATCCTTCCCGTGGTGCTCATCTCTGTGACTTTTTTTATTCCCGCCGCCCTGGCATCGGATGAAGTAATACCCGTTTCGAGTGATTTTATTTAGAAAATTAATTTAAATTAACTTCCACAGTCGTGTTATCTCACTGAGGACCAAGAGGACGAGTGCGCGGCGGTCTGTCATCCGATCGTGAAGCCTCTCCTGAGGTACTTTGAGAAGATTCAGGCCAAAGAATCCCAGCTCCAAAACGACTACTCAGAGTTGCAGAAAAAGTACACGGACTTGGAGAAAAAGGGTCAGGAACATAATGGCCAGATATCTCAGTTCCAGAAAAACTACTCCGATTTGCAGAAAAAGTATTCAGACTTTCAGGAAAGGGAACTAGAGAAATATGACCAAATATTGCAGTTTCAAAAGGATAAATGGGACTTTCAAGCTCAAATAGATGCAAAGAATGTGGAAATCAAATTTCTAAAAGATCAAATTAGTGAATTAAATAAAACAAATGAACTTGCTACAAAAATACTTCGCGACGACATTGCCAAATTGGGCGAAATAGTAAAGAATATAAATTCGGTTAATGGAGCAGCCAGTCCATCACCAACCAGGACAGTCCAGCAACTACCTCAACCCTCCAAAGGTAAGTTGGCCGAATCCAAGAATGTGAAAAATAAAACATCAAATACCTTAGCACTTTCAGATCGTTGCCCACAAAGCCAAAATGAAAGGAGGATCCTCCAAGAAATCCAAATTCCACGTTTAGATCCGTTTGTAGTGATCTGTTTCTCAACTAATCGGATTGGTTCTGGTTGGATGGTTGTTTATAGGAAAGTTAATGAGGACATTTCTTTTAATCGCACGTATGAGGAATATGTAAGAGGATTCGGAAATTCCAGAAATGGGTCGGAGGCTAATTACTTTATCGGACTCGAACGATTGCACCTCCTGACAAATAGAAACTCTTATGAGTTATTTATAGGTTTTGGGCACTCATGCGACAACATTGTTGTGGGCAATCGAAGCGAAAGCTATATGGTGAAAGATGCCAAAGGGTGTACTGGACACATATTGCAGAACTTTGGGCAAGTCATCCCATTTTCCACATGGGATCGAGATCAGGATGGATATCGCGATCGTAATTTGGCAAAGGAATACGGTTATGGCTTTTGGTTTAAAAATGAGTATGTATTATATTTTTACCTTACTTTTATTCCCCTTACTTTTTTTAAATTATATTTTTATTTAATAGAAGGAGTTTATACTCTTCGTTTTCTTTGATGATCCGAAGAAAGGATTAAAAAAGAAAAAGGCGATTCTAAGATGACTTTTACGATTTGTACGACTTTTACGACTGTATTTGCATTAATTAAAAAATATTTTTGTGTATATATGTTTAATATAACTAAATAAATTAAATAGTTTTAAATTAAAAAGAAAATAAAATATATATAAAACATACAAATTAATAAAGAATACATAATAGTAGGAGATCAAGAAAATATATTATTTATAAAGATAGGGTGGGAGATGTGTTTCACATCTTAAAAAATTTAAAAATATACAAAAATCTTTAAAAATCATATTAATATAAAAGAATATAATAAAATATGAAAAACTGAAAATGAAAAAATATTGTAGTTTTAATAACAAAACGGGAGCAAGCTAGGTTGTCTTATTTTTCAGGAACATTTTTTGGCGGGCTTTTCAGGAGGAAAGTGCACGAAAGATACAGATACAGAAGCAGATACAGATACAGTACATAAATGTACGTATAATGCGAAACTCTGGTCACTGGTGGAGCGCGATTTCAATTCTGAAGCTGGGCAAGCCTCACATTAAAGTTTAAATGCGGTGAAAACTCTTTGGTTGAAAAGAGAAACGGTGGATATTTGCTGAAAAGCTTCAGAAAGTGTTCATCACGTTTAGAGCTGTCAGACATGTATGGTTCGCCAAGGCAGGGCAATAAATTTTCGACCTTTGATCGAGATAAGGATGGAAATCCCGATCGTAATTGGGCAAAGGAGAGGGCTATGGCTGGTGGTTCAAATCTGTATGTATGTATGCTATTTTTGTTTTATCTCCATACATTTTTAAAATAACTTATATCAAATAATACAATAATAGGATTTTCATTTGATGGGAAATCATACATGGTTCCATAATCATAGATGATCCGAAGAAAGGATATAAGAAGAAAATATCGGATATATTTAAATCGTGTTAAATATATAAAATGTTGTGGTAGTTTCATTATTTATATTTATACTGTTCTCTTATTATAAAATTATTTTTATTTTTATAAAATTTCAACAGCGAAATTCCGCATAAATATATATTATTAGTTGGTAAAAAATAAAGTTGGCTTTCTTTATAAACACAGACACGAAAAGAAAAACCCAAAACCAAACCAAATATTTTGAATTTCAGTATAAGCCCCAAAAGTTTTATTTAAAATGAATAATCGAGTTTTGATTAATTTTGGAAACAATATAAAAACAGAAAGGAAAGCTACATGGATAAGGGCAAAACCGAAGTTGAATACCCTTTCAGATTACTTATTGCTTTATTTAAGTTGTGGGTAAAAGGTGACTTAAAGGTCGGTAAATGTGTATGCGAATTTCCAAAAATATTTTCTACCAGGACTGGATGAACTCGATTTTGTATTGGTGTATTTTAAAATTATAAGTATATGGTACATGATAGAGGTGATAGATTGATAATCAATCCGGTGATAGAGTCGTGGTTAACGTTTCATAATTTCTATTGAAAAATCGATGTAATACTAATTACAATAAAATGTTTGTGGATCCATCAATCTGACAATTGTTATGGTTAAAGGGGGTTTCTACCTTGTTGGGCCTTAGACCTGTTGTTTTTATACCCTTGCAGAGGGTATTCTAATTTTGTCCAAAATTTGGAGCAGATCCAAATCCAAATGTAACCGAGCTTGCAGAAGACTGCGTTCCTTGCAGTTCCTTCCAGGAGAGTTTCCACTTTTTGATGTTAAAAGATTGAAACTAAAAGGTGACGTTTTCAGCGATATTAGTTGTACATACATATATCGGATGTATTTTTATTTCAAAAGCTTTTACAGAGTGGTTTCTGGTAAACTAGTCCTAACGTGACTCCATTTCTCCAAGTATGTGGTTATCCTTTTCCTTGGATCAGGTGGAGCTCCTCCCGTTGCGCGAATTTCGCTTTAGCCGCTTCAAAACCCTTTCCTTCTGTTTTTCCACTATCGCAATGGCACTCCTTGAGATTAGGTCCTCCTTTGAACCAAAAAGTCGGTGCATGTCGTCGATATCGAAGACCCTGAAGAGAGCAACCAACTCCAAGGCCACTAGGATAAGGGACGCTGCATTATCCTTGACTCGCTTGAACACCCAGCCTCGTCCCCAGGGCCAATAAAGACATCCCATTTTAACGAGGTAGTGAACAGTTACGCTGAGGGGAAACCAGGCTACGACCAAAAGGACTTGGACCACTATGCAGAGGATCAGGACTTGCGCAATCTTCTCCCAAACAGTGTAATCCACATCTTGGCTAAGGATTTTATTCAAAGCCAGCACGGTGAGGAATATGAACACAATCGACTCCATGGTGCCTTCGATGGGATTGTAGAAGAGATTGTTCTTATGGCAAAAAAGGGAAATCATCCATGCAATAATATAGACTTCATCCATGCTGTCCAACTACAAATAACTACATGTATTATTATTATTATTTTTTGGTTATATTAACTTACTTACTTCTCGGTAGAATCTTAAGTTATTTGTAAAATTGTATGTGTTAGATATTTTTAAGAGCTAACTAAAATTTAGAGCACAACTGAGCAGTAGAAGCTCCTTTTAGAAATGGAGTTGTGTTTGGGGCGATTTTTTTTAAATTGTTTTCATCGCCTACTACTATTGTTTGGAATTTAAGGTCGATAACAAATAGGGTAATTTTTATAAAAGAAGTTTCAATTTTTAATGAAAACAGTACGGAGTTCAACTTCTTTTTTGGTGGGCTACCCGGTTCTGATCGGATTCGATTTGGGTTGAGATTACCGCAAACCGGAGGACTCTTAGGCGATTTTCGTGAAAGTCTGGGAATGGAACCCTTCATCAGACACACCTTTACCGAGAACTACAGCGACTGGAATGGTGGTTGCATTTCCAAAACACCACGACCACCACCTCTACCACTTGTAGCATTAATTACTAGTACTAGTGACTCTGGGCCGTAAAAATTTATTAAAATTCAAAAAAAAATTGAGAAATACAAAAGCTCCAGAAATATACATTTTAAAATCCTTGGAATTTATTTTGTATAACACATAAGTAAGTGTCATGCGGGACTGCGCCTATTTGTGCCACTTATTTGTGAAGATATAGAACTATAGATCTATACATCCCTGGATCTTACATCTCCCTGGAACTGACAATTCGCTGATATTTTCGATTCAGGATTAACTTCAACTTAACTTCCACACAACCATTAAAATTGCTTGAAAAGTACCGGGTATTATGCCACTTGACCTTGGCTAAAACTATTAATTATTCTCTTAAAAAAAATCTTGATAAATCGTAAACAGAAACAAATATAAAGGCTATTGTGAGCCAAAAAGTACCAAAATAAGACCACAAAAATTAAAAACAATACTCATCGAAAAGTACAGGGTATTAATATACACAGTACTTAAGAAACTAAAAAGCATTTGTGTTTTTGTAGATAGAAAGTTGGAACTACGTACTGATTACAATTTTGGTCTGTTGATCCGATTTCGTAACGATCGGCAGACTATATCTTATAGATGCCATATTACTGAACGATCGGAATCTGACACGGATATACTTACTGGTATTTGGTAACATTACCAACTTTGGTGTTTTTGATGATAGAAGCTTGGGACTTTCCTTTAGATTTTTTTTGTAATAAATATTATGATATTCTCATTATGGTCGACCAACTACATATAACCGAGGTTTGCGATATATGTCCGGTTTTAGCTGCAAGGGTATATCAACTTTGGCTCCGCCCGAAGTTAGCTTTCCCTTCTTGTTTCTAGTTTATTTTAAAATAAAAAATGTTCTTTCCTATTCTTTTATTTTATTATGTTTTTTTAAGGTTTTTTTACTTTTAAGAGGGTATTGTTATTGTGGAAAATACATCTTTATAATATATATATATTTTTGATACTGGACACTTTTTCTTTTTAATTAACAAAAATTATAGTTAATTATTAAATTTATAAATTTATATTAAATACGTATGTATTTATATACAAACATAAATTAATAATAACACTAGATATTCGATGTATTCTTTTATAATTTTTCCTTGTTCTAAATCCTTTTAGAATCGCCGTGTTCTTTTTTAATCCTTTCTTCGGATCATCATAATAAACGCAGTGTAGTGCACACCACTTCTATTAAATGAAAATTAGTAAAAAAAAGGTTTTTTTGAAATTAGTTAAATTAATTACAAGTTTCCTTTTGGAGATAAAAGAAAATATAAAGCGAAAACAGAATACATACCGAGGTTCGTGCCACCAGCCATAGCTCCTTATCTTTGCCAAATTACTATCGGGATCTCCATCCTCATCTCGATCCCAGGTGGAAAACTTGGCTTGCCTAAGGTTCGGCAATATGTCTCCAGTACACCCTTTGGTATCTTTCACCATGTAGCCTTCGCTTCGATTTCCAACGACAAAGTTGTCGCATTTGTAAGGATCTATTTTCAACTCATGAGAGTTTCTAGATGTCAGGAGGTGCAATCGTTCGAGTCCGATAAAGTATTTATCGTCCCACTGCGTCCCGACATCTCCGATTCCTCTTTCAAATTCCTCATACGTGCGATTAAAATAATTTGTTTCACCCCAATGGTTATAAACAATCATCCAACCAGAACCAATCTCCTCATCTGAGTAACAGACCACTTTAAACGGATCGGAACCTGGAATTTGGATTTCTTGGATGATCTCAGTTTCATTTTGGCTTTGCGGACACCGATCTGGAATAGCTAAGGTATTCGATGTTTTATATTTTGCCAATTATTGGGTTCTGCCAACTTACCTTTGGAGGGTGGAGCTTGTTGCTGGACTGTCCTGGTTGGTAATGGACTGGCTGCTCCATTATCCGATTTTTTATTCTTTACTATTTCGCCCAATTTGGCAATGTCGTCGCGAAGTATTTTTGTAGCAAGTTCATTTGTTTTATTTGATTCACTAATTTTATCTTTTAGTAATTTGATCTCCACATTTTTTGAATCTATTTGAGCCTGTAGATTTTCGACTTCAATCACCCTATTTTGCAAGTCCGATTTATCCTTTTGCAAGTCCGATATATCCTTTTGCATCTGTGATATAAGTTCCAGTTCTCTTCTCTGCAATTCCGAATGGCTTTCCTGCAAATCTGAATACTTTTTCTGCAAGTCGGAGTAGTTTCTCAGGGACTTCGATAGCTGGTCATAATTTTCCAGACTTTTTTGCTGCAAGTCCGTATACTTTTTCTGCAACTCTAAGTTTTCCTTTTGGAACTGGGATTCTTTGGCCTGAATCTTCTCAAAGTACCTCAGGAGGGGCTTCACGATCGGATGACAGACCGCCGCGCAGTCGTCCTCCTGCTCTTCAGTGAGATAACAAGACTGTGGAATTGAATTTAAATTAATTTTCAAAATAAAAACACTTGAAAAATGGGTATTACTTCCTCCGATCCCAGGGCGACGGTAATAAAACAAATCGCAGACAAGAGCACCACCGGCTGGACCATTTTCGTACTTTTAAGTTTAAGTTTAGTTTAAGTCTTTTAGGTTTCCTCTTGAATAGCCACCGGAATAATTTCAACTGATGCTGCGGGACTCTCGGCTCCGGCTTTTTAAATCCTCCTAGAGCTTGAGCTTGCCGATAAGAAGATCAGTCTTCATGCGTGTGCTTTCTTCGGAATTGGAGCGCTGAGTCCAAAAAAAAACCCACAGACAGAAGGTATACGGATGTGATGTCAAAGGTTGTGGGAGATTAGTGAAAGCTGATTAGCAGCAGGAACTTGTTTAGCAAGTACTTTCATATAGATTTCCATGACGTCATAGTCACGTTATCTCTGACAATTAAAAGTCTAGCTTAACTTATATTGAATATGTGTTTATTAATTAAATAAATAAATAAGCGATATACAATTGTAAAATATAATATCAAAACAAGAAAGGAAAGCTAACTTCGGGCGGAGCCGAACTTGATATACCCTTGCAGGTAAAACCGGATATATATCGCAAACATCGGATATAGTTGGCCGATCCTTATGAGAATATGATAATATAACCTAATTTATTATAATACAAAATCTAAAAAAAGTCCCAAACTTTTATCTTCAAAAATACCAAAGTTGGTATTTCCACCAAAAACCATTTCGATCGTTCAGATATATGGCAGCTATAAGATATAGTCAGCCGATCGTTATAAAATTTGGTAGGTTGGATCAACTGACCAAAAATAGAATCTGTACTAAGTTCCAGCTTTCTATTTTCAAAGACACAAAAGTTGGATCATTTCCGATCGTTCAGTTATATGGCAGCTATAGGATATAGTCGACCGATCCCGGCCGTTCCGACTTATATACTGCGTGCAAAGGAAAGTATAAAAATAAATTTATCGTTTTACCTATTTTACCAGTTACAGGTTATGCCTATAACCAGTTCTGGCTGAGGCTTTATAAAGAGGGCAAGTTGTTTGGAAAATTAAATTTTCTTTTAATTAGCAAAGATCTCGCACAGTCATTCCGGTTTTCGAAGCCCGAATTGGGTCGACGATACCCATCGGTATCCGAAGCTCTGGTCACGAGCCCCGTCGAAGTTTTGCTTATTTCTCGGATAGGGCTCCTGGCGCATCAAGTAGCGGAAGTTCTGCGGCGGCTCTTGTGGATAGATCCGCACCAGATCCATGTTTTCATTGTCATACTACATAATTTTAATTATTAAAGTTGCGGTACCCTTCGTGTGCATGGTGGGATTCGGATTACCAACCGGTCCCATCGGAGAGGCATTACGCCGAGGACTGGGACTATTCCATTCCAGATTTTGCGGCGGCGGCTGTAGGGTTCATGAAGGACGAATATCCTGCCCACCACCGTTACCGCCATTCCAATTGCGAGGCCTACCATTCCAGTCGCTGTAGTTCTCGGTAAAGGTGCGTCTGATGAAGGGTTCCATTCCCAGACTTTCACGAAAATCGGGTGAAAGTCCTCCGGCTTGCGGCAATCTCTACACAAATCGAATCCGATCTGAACCAGGTAGCCCACCAAAAAAGAAGTTGCACTCCGTACTGTTTTCATTAAAAATTGTAACTTCTTTTATAAAAATTACCCTATTTATTATCGACCTTAAATTCCAAACAATAGTAGTAGGCGATGAAAACAATTTAAAACAAATCGCCCCAAACACAACTCCATTTCTAAAAGGAGCTCCTACTGCTCAGTTGTGCTATAAATTTTAGTTAGCTCTTAAAAATATCTAACACATACAATTTTACAAATAACTTAAGATTCTACCGAGAAGTAAGTAACTTAATATAACCAAAAATAATAATAATAATACATGTAGTTATTTGTAGTTGGACAGCATGGATGAAGTCTACATTATTGCATGGATGATTTCCCTTTTTTGCCATAAGAACAATCTCTTCTACAATCCCATCGAAGGCACCATGGAGTCGATTGTGTTCATATTCCTCACCGTGCTGGCTTTGAATAAAATCCTTAGCCAAGATGTGGATTACACTGTTTGGGAGAAGATTGCGCAAGTCCTGATCCTCTGCATAGTGGTCCAAGTCCTTTTGGTCGTAGCCTGGTTTCCCCTCAGCGTAACTGTTCACTACCTCGTTAAAATGGGATGTCTTTATTGGCCCTGGGGACGAGGCTGGGTGTTCAAGCGAGTCAAGGATAATGCAGCGTCCCTTATCCTAGTGGCCTTGGAGTTGGTTGCTCTCTTCAGGGTCTTCGATATCGACGACATGCACCGACTTTTTGGTTCAAAGGAGGACCTAATCTCAAGGAGTGCCATTGCGATAGTGGAAAAACAGAAGGAAAGGGTTTTGAAGCGGCTAAAGCGAAATTCGCGCAACGGGAGGAGCTCCACCTGATCCAAGGAAAAGGATAACCACATACTTGGAGAAATGGAGTCACGTTAGGACTAGTTTACCAGAAACCACTCTGTAAAAGCTTTTGAAATAAAAATACATCCGATATATGTACAACTAATATCGCTGAAAACGTCACCTTTTATTTTCAATCTTTTAACATCAAAAAGTGGAAATTCTCCTGGAAGGAACTGCAAGGAACGCAGTCTTCTGCAAGCTCGGTTACATTTGGATTTGGATCTGCTCCAAATTTTGACAAAATAATAATAATAATACCCTCTGCAAGGGTATAAAAACAGCAGGTTTGAAGCCCAGCAAGGTAGAAACCCTGATGTCGATGTTGATCAAGAATATATATACATTATGGGGTCGGAGACGATATATTTTCTCTACGTTACATACATTCACATGGCTACATACCATATACAGTTCCTTTGTTTAAAATATAAAATATTTTACTTTACCTTAATATCTCATAATAGCTCATAAAATCATAATCACACAACAAAACCAAAACAATTTTTTTGTTTTCTATTAATTTGTTAATTTTTAATCAATTTTAAGCAAAAACAACGATGATACAGATGAATTCCAGGAGAAATAAATTAAAAACCAAAAAAAACCCACATAAACTCAGTTTTGGACGTTTCAAAGAGTTTTAATTTTCAAAATAATATTAATATTTTGTCCAAAGCAATTTATTTGAGATGACTTTCTGTACGATGTCAGGCATGCTCTCTACCAAAATTTCAATTATATCGTTAGGAATACGTATCCATTCAGCTACAACACGCTCCCCAAGGTTGCCCCTGTTTGATGGAGCTGTTTTGTACAGCCGTACTATTCAATAATAAAAGATGTCTCCTTCACTGCGTTGCACACTTTCGTCCAAAATTATAGTACCCTCTGCAAGGTTATAATGAACAATCTAGTTTGGTTTAGTTTTGGAAATAATATAAAACAAGATGGGAAGGCTACGTGGATAGGGGAAAAAGGAAAAACCGAAGTTAAATACCCTAGGAGATTATTTATTATCGATTTTCTATTTGTGTATTTTAAAAGAATAAGTATATATGTACATAAGTATATACATTAGTATTTTATATGTTTTTATACTTGTTATACTTTTTATTAGTTTAGTCTTTATACAAAATCTATATTGAATGTGCCAAAGAAGATACAAGCTAAGAAAGGAAAAAAATATGCGAAAAAAATGATTTAGTTGATTAAAATTATTGAATTTATTGAAATTTTGACTTTTCTGTGAATGCATTTAGTAATTATTCTCTAGTTTCATATGGCAGCTAAAAGTCAGCTATAAGAAATCGTCCAGTAATCTAAAAGTTACCATGTAGGGCATTTTTCAAAATTATTAAACAATCAGGGGCGCCACAGAAATTGTTGAGCTTAAAAACTCCTAATTTCATTCAGCTGCGAAACTGACTTTTCTGCCTACAATTTTTCAGCTCCATGATTCCACGAAAAGTCGTGGTTAACGTTTCATAATTTCTATTAAAATATCTAAAAATCCCCCTTTTTAAATTATTGTTAAAAAGCGTTTCTACCTTTTTGGGCCTAAAACCTTCTGTTATTTCTGAATTTTCTTCTTGGAAAATATGATAGGTATGAGAATGAAATTTCAGTCCGTTGTAGAGATAAGTTTATTGCAGCTATACAATTTTTTTGATGATCATAGTGATCAAAGTGAAGTGGGTTCTACCCCATGATGGCGCCAACTCGTCATCACGGTGGAAGTCGTAGAGTCGCAGTCGTGAAAAAAATCGCAAAAACGCAAAAGAGAAAAATCCAAATTTTGAAAATGCGAAAGTTATGAACGTTCATAAAAGTATTTCGTTACCTATAATTTTTAAAATAAAAATAATAAAATTTTGCATATAATTCGGAAAAACCTGTGTAACTTAATGACGATTGCTTAATTTTTGCGATCTGTAGGACTTCCACAAACACAAAAAACAAGGCACTTGACCCAGGTCCACCCAACGGCCTATAACTTTCGTAATTTAAGAGATTTGGACTCAAATTTTTGGAAGAGTAAAATTCAAACATGTATCTATGTAAATCTGTAAAGAAAAAATAATTTTAAATTTATACTTCACAAGGTGGAAAACCCCCCCCAAAATCTTTAAAAAGCTCATATCGTGTGCCACCACTGAAATTTTCGAGTGAAATGTATTCCGCTGGTGACTGATACGCAAGTTCGTTTCTAATCAAATGTTTTTCGGCCTTGGATATTACATCCGTCTGCGGAATATTTTGAAATTTCTACATACTTATATATGTGAATTGAAAGTGTTCCAATCGCCTATAAAAGCCGAAGCCCTAAGGCTCAAAGAATCAGTTGAAATTCTCGCAGTGACTTTTAAAGAAGAAAGTTTCTTTCAAACGAAAAAAAAAAATGATCCTTCGGGTAGTCTTACTTTTTGTGATTTTTTTTATTTCCGCTTCTGTGGGATCGGAAGAAATAGTATCACAGTGCCAGAAGGATCACTTAGTCTTGCTGATAAAGCATTCGGAAGTCCTGCATCAACTTAACGATGTTAGTGAAAGACATGAAAAGTTGAAATCAAAGCATCTGGAAGTCGACAGCCTTCAAGCGCTAATAAATCAAAAAAATGGGGAAATCTTGCGATTAAAAGATGAAGTTAGTTACTTAAGAAAATCAACTCAACTCCGCGAAGAAATTAAAATGATAGAGAGCACGGAAATGTTCGAAAATCAACAGGGTAATATTACCAACCATACAGGTAAGTTGACAGAAACCAACAATTTGGAAAATAAAACATGGAATTCATTAGCTCTTCCAGATCGGTGTCCGGATAGCCTAGATGAATACCTGATCGTCCAAGAACTTCAAATCCCAGGTTCTGATCCTTTTAAAGTGGTCTGTTACTCAGCTGACTGGATTGGATCTGGTTGGATGATTGTGTATAAGAAACGCCATGATGTAACTAATTTTAATCGCACCTATGAGGAATATGTAAGAGGATTCGGAGATGTCGGAACGCTGAGGGAGGAGAATTACTTTATCGGGCTCGAAAGATTGCACCTCCTGACAAATAGAAACTCTTATGAGTTACGCTTAGGTTCCCAAGAATGTGCCAAGTTTGTTGTTGGCAATCGAAGCGAAGGCTATGTGGTGAAAGATATCGAAGAGTGTTCTGGAGACGCATCGGAGAGCATTAAGCTATCAAAGTTTTCCACCTGGGATCGAGATCAGGATGGAAATCCCGATCGTAATTGGGCAAAGAAGGAGGGCTATGGCTGGTGGTTCAATTCTACGTATGTATTCTAGTATTATTTCATCCCCAACAGGATATTTTGTTAATAACTTATACTTTTTTTTTGTAATTGATAGAATGAATAGACTGTTTCACTCGGTTTCAATTATGATCAGAAGAAAGGATTAAAGAAGAAAGCGGCGGTTCTAAGAGGACTCTGGAAGAGGACAAATTATAAAAAAATTATATAAAATATATGATATATATTATAATACATAAGAATTATATAAAATAGCAATAGCAATAGTAAAAATAGCAATTGGTATTTTTGAATATAGAAGCCTGCGACGTTTTTTTTAGATTTTCTTTTACAATAAATTGGTTTTATTATGATATTCTCATATCATATCAAGGATCGGCCAACTATATCCGATGTTTGCGATATATATCCGGTTTTAGCTGCAAGGGTATATCAACTTCGGCTCCGCCCGAAGCTAGCTTTCCTTTCTTGTTTTAATATTATATTTTACAATTGTATATCGCCTATTTATTTATTTAATTAATAATCACACATTCCATATAAGTTAAGCTAGACTTTTAATTGTCAGAGATAAGGTGACTATGACGTCATGGAAATTTATATAAAAGTACTTGCTAAACAAGTTCCTGCTGCTAATCAGCTTTCACTAATCTCCCACAACCTTTGACATCACATCCGTATACCTTCTGTCTGTGGGTTTTTTTTGGACTCAGCGCCCCAATTCCGAAGAAAGCACACGCATGAAGACTGATCTTCTTATCGGCAAGCTCAAGCTCTAGGAGGATTTAAAAAGCCGGAGCCGAGATTCTCGCAGCATCAGTTGAAATTATTCCGGTGGCTATTCAAGAGGAAACCTAAAAGACTTAAACTAAACTTAAACTTAAAAGTACGAAAATGTTCCAGCCGGTGGTGCTCTTGTCTGCGATTTGTTTTATTACCGTCGCCCTGGGATCGGAGGAAGTAATACCAGCATCGAGTGTTTTTATTTTGAAAATTAATTTAAATTCTATTTCACAGTCTTGTTATCTCACTGAAGAGCAGGAGGACGACTGCGCGGCGGTCTGTCATCCGATCGTAAAGCCCCTCCTGAGGTACTTTGAGAAGATTCAGGCCAAAGAATCCCAGCTCCAAAACGACTACTCAGAGTTGCAGAAAAAGTACACGGACTTGGAGAAAAAGGGTCAGGAACATAATGGCCAGATATCTCAGTTCCAGAAAAACTACTCCGATTTGCAGAAAAAGTATTCAGACTTTCAGGAAAGGGAACTAGAGAAATATGACCAAATATTGCAGTTTCAAAAGGATAAATGGGACTTTCAAGCTCAAATAGATGCAAAGAATGTGGAAATCAAATTTCTAAAAGATAAAATTAGTGAATTAAATAAAACAAATGAAATTGCTACAAAAATACTCCGCGACGACATTGCCAAATTGGGCGAAATAGTAAAGAATATAAATTCGGTTAATAGAACAGCCAGTCCATCACCAACCAGGACAGTCCAGCAACTACCTCCACCCTCCAAAGGTAAGTTGGCAGAACCCAAGAATGTGAAAAATAAAACATCGAATTCATTAGCTATTCCAGATCGGTGTCCGCAAAGCCAAAATGAAACTGAGATCATCCAAGAAATCCAAATTCCAGGTTCCGATCCGTTTAAAGTGGTCTGTTACTCAGATGAGGAGATTGGTTCTGGTTGGATGATTGTTTATAACCATTGGGGTGAAACAAATTATTTTAATCGCACGTATGAGGAATTTGAAAGAGGATTCGGAGATGTCGGGACGCATTTGACCGATAAATACTTTATCGGACTCGAACGATTGCACCTCCTGACATCTAGAAATTCTTATGAGTTAAGAATGAATCCTTACAAATGCGACAGCTTTGTCGTTGGGAGTCGAAGCGAAAGCTACATGGTGAAAGCTAACAAAAGGTGTACAGGACGCAAATTGCCGTACCTTAGGCAAGTCAAGTTTTCCACCTGGGATCGAGATGAGGATGGATATCCCAGTAATTTGGCAAAGGAAATGGGCTATGGCTGGTGGCACGAACCTCGGTATGTATTCTGTTTTCGCTTTATATTTTCTTTTATCTCCAAAAGGAAACTTGTAATTAATTTAACTAATTTCAAAAAAACCTTTTTTATTTTTTACTAATTTTCATTTAATAGAAGTGGTGAGTACTACACTGAGTTAAGTATGACGATCCGAAGAAAGGATTAAAAAAGAACACGGCGATTCTAAGAGGACTTTGAAAAAGGAAAAATTATAAAAGAATACATCGAATATCTAGTGTTATTATTAATTTATGTTTGTATATAAATACATACGTATTTAATATAAATTTATAAATTTAATAATTAACTATAATTTTTGTTAATTAAAAAGAAAAAGTGTCCATTATCAAAAATATATATATTTTATTAAGATTTATTTTCCAAAATAATAATACCCTCTTAAATGTAAAAAAAACCTTAAAAAAACATAATAAAATAAAAGAATAGGAAAGAACATTTTTTATTTTAAAATAAACTAGAAACAAGAAGGGAAAGCTAACTTCGGGCGGAGCCAAAGTTGATATACCCTTGCAGCTAAAACCGGACATATATCGCAAACCTCGGTTATATGTAGTTGTTCGACCATAATGAGAATATCAAAATATTTATTACAAAAAAAAAATCGAAAGGAAAGTCCCAAGCTTCTATCATCAAAATACCAAAGTTGGTAATGTTACCAAATACCAGTAAGTATATCCGTGTCAGATTCCGACCGTTCAGTAATATGGCATCTATAAGATATAGTCTGCCGATCGTTATGAAATCGGATCAACAGACTAAAAATGTGATCTGTACGAAGTTCCAACTTTCTATCTACAAAAACACAAAAGTCGTTCAGTTTCTTATTAATGTGTATATTAATACCGTGTACCTTCAGATAATTTTTATACCCTTGCAGAGGGTATTATAATTTTGTCCAAAAGTGTGCAACGCAGTGAAGGAGACCTCTCCGACCCTATAAAGTATATATATTCTTAATCAGGATCACCTCCTGTATACCTCCAGTACCTTCTGTACCTCCAGTATATAAGTCGGAACGGCCGGAATCGGCCGACTATATCGATTAATAATTCAAAAAATAATTAACATATCCTTAAACTTAAATTATAGATCTTGAGTACATAATTTTGGTAATCCTGAGATCCTATAATTCTAGATAAGAACCTGTATATAGAACCTCGAAGAATTAAGCGAATACTCTTGTCCAGAACAAAGATTCTCATCTCCTAGGGATGCTTGTCGTTGACATGTCGCTCCAGATCGATGGCCCGGAAGAAGGGCCACTGGCACAGCTGGCAGACAAACTGGTTCCGGGAGTGGTCTCGGTCAGTCTTCAGGTGCTGGACGAGATGGCCGCGCTGGGCGAAGCACTTTCCGCATAGGATGCACTGATGCGGTCGGTGGTCCAAGTGCTGGCTGTTGACATGTTTGCGCAAGTGGTCGGCGGTGGCAAAGTCCGCATGGCAGACACCGCACACGTGCAGGCGCACCAGGATGTGGACTCGCTGCAAATGAGATCGCACCGCCTCCCGGGTGTTGTGCGTCCGGCCGCAGAAGCAGCACTCCAGGGGGTTGCGCTGGTGCGAACGCTCCAGGTGCCTGACGAGGCTTAGGCTGCCGGAAAAGCCGTTGGCGCAGACGGGGCACACAAACACGCTGGGCTTGGCATCTGAGATGCAGGCCTCCTTGTCCAGGTCCATCGGCCAGTCGAAGGCGAAGTCGTCGCCCCAGTCTACGTTGGGCAGCATGTCCTCAATGTTCTCCTCGAGCATCTCGAGGTCCTCGGTCTCGTCCAGCAGACTATCCGCTTCGCTGCCGCCCTCGTCGAGGGAGGCACTGCCCAGTTGGTGGACTTCGGCGGCGTGCTCCTGGAGCTCCCGCATTCCGCCAAAGGTCTTGGCGTCGTTGCAGTTGTCGGCACACATGGAGCAGTAGAAGAGCGCATGGTTGCCATGCCAGGAGACCACGTGCCGGTACAGGAACGTGGCAGAAGAGTATCGCTTACCGCACTGCAGGCAAAGGAACTGCCCGTCCGAATGCTTCCTTTCCCGGTGCCGCTCCAAACGGGTCTCGTCTCCATAGAGCGACAGGCAGTGCCGGCAGACATGCAGCTTCCTCAATTTGGCCTCACACTGCTGTTCGTGGCGCTTGGTGGCCAAATGGCGGGAAAATTCCGCCAAACAAACTCCGCACCTGTATGTCCGTGGTTGGGACTTCTTCTTCTGTGGCCCGGGCTTGGAACTGTTCTTTCCCTGGCCAGTTGGCTTAGGGAGGATGGCTCGGGGTAGCATCCTTCTTGTGTTATCTCAATTTTTGCCGGTCGTCCATGGTATCGAATGGATTGGCTCATTAGATTCCGTAGTTTCTGCGGAAGGCAGGGGTGGAGAATCATCTACGCCACCATCGATGACATCGATGTTTTTGAAACATCGGCAACATCCGAGGGCAATCCGTTAACCGGGGCAACATCGATGTTTTTCCATCTAATATTAAAGGTACATAAAGTAAGATTGGCACATTCTAATAACATACATATATCATTTAATCTCATTTTAAATTATTCCCACAATATTTCTATTTTAGTTATATTTAGTAAAGCTGGACAACTTATTAGTGAGCGCGGCTATCCTCGACCGTTGAAGATATGCCAATATTTTTAAACAAAAACCAACTTTTGAATAATATGTATAGTAGAGTTAGGGATAGTACAGTAAGGATAGTAAAGTAAGGATAGTGTAGTAGGGATAGTAAAATATCCAAAAAGAAGATTTATTTTATTTGTACCATGTATGTATATAATGAAAAATTTTGTTATGTTTTTCTTTTCGTTTTGATTTAAAATAATAAAATGGACAAATATTAGATTTTAAATTTATGGAAAATTATATTGTTATTTTTAAGCATTAAAAATTAAAAAATAGTACAACTAAACTAAAAATTAACTGCTCATATTTTTATTTAAAAACAGAAACTTTTACCAAAACTATCAAACAACATTGATGTCCGTTAATATCGATGTTTTTCCACCTCTAGTGGAAGGTTCGTCTTTTGTGGTAGTGTGGTCACACTTTTTTACATGAAGTGCTGCCAAGCATTTCACTTTTTTAAATATACGATATTTAGAATTTACACTCGTAACTAAAATAAATAAATTTATATAATTTTTTTCATTTTTAAATAAATGTTTTGTAAAACTATTATTTTATTTACAAAATTTTAAAGAATATTATTTTTTGAGGCCAAGTAGGCTGTGTATCATTTATCTATATGTATTCCGTTTCGAATCGGATTTATTTCATTATTACGGCTGACACCCAAGAAACAAAAGCTCCTGAAAGTGTAAAATATTGTTTATTTGGATTTTTCCACTCTATCTACGGGGGTCTACAAAACGGAAATATATTAAAACGGTTTAAAAATTTTTTGGTGTTAAAAAAATAATAATCCACTCGAGTAAGGTAACAAGTACAAGTTATAAAATAATTATTAACTTAAAATCAAAAAATCGTGCCTAATTTAATTTTTCTAAATAATATTTCAAGCTTTTAGTGTGGTTTTGTGTGACCGCGCGACTATCGGTGACCCGCCCCATTGGCGGTATTTTTGCGCGAAGCAGCATCTGGCCACTCTGATCCTACACTGTTGCATTTGCATTCGCCCCACAAACTTGAAGGAAAAACGAAAATAAGCTGGGCAGAAATGCCAAGCAAATGTTAGGCTAAAGTAGTGATTCTTTTCAAAAGTGAACGCGAGTCGAGCCGAGCAACGTGAAAGAGACGGAAAGTTAGGCAGGGCAAGTGCTTCGAAGTGTCAGTGCGACGGTAGGCGGTGCAACCGGATCGAGCACAGGAACGAGCAGGCACAAGTGGAAGAGTGGAACACCAGTGCTGCACACGGGGACGCAGGGCAGGAAGGCAGGACGGAAGGAAGGTAGGGTGAAGAAGCAGTAGTTGGGTCGGCTGGACATGAACGACCAGCGAAGCGGCGGCGAGGAGCCAGCCTCGCCGAAAGGTGCATCCGCGTCGATGACGCTGGCCGCAGCAGCCTTGGAATCGCACAACACGCCAGAACGTGCACCAGATGCTGGCGCCGAAACGGTAGTTGGTGCTGGTGCGGGCACAACGGGCGTTGATGGTGGTAGTGATGTATTGGCCAGTGGATCCCAGGCGAGCACTAGCACTAGTGCAGTAGGACGAGGCGTTGGAGGCGGTGCATCTGCTTGTGGCAAGCAGCAGCAACAACAACCGCAATTGAATGCCACTGATGTGCGCGAACTGCGCGAGATTAAACAACTACTTTGGGGCGAGAATGTGCGCGACGACGTATTTAAACGTTGGTCGCAAGGTAATACACCACCCCTTCCCCCCACCCCCTTGTATTTTTAAGTTTTTTTCATTTTTTCGTTTTCGAAACCATAACTCCTTCCCCACACCCGCGCGCACCCATGTGCGTGGCTTCCCCAAAAGCGCGCCCTTTTTTTCTCCCGCGTTCCAGTTCCCCCGTTTCAATCATGTTTCTTCATGAATTTTTTGTCCAGAAACTCTAACCTAATTATTAAGTTTCTCCGAAAATGCCGGGAAGTTCTTATTGGAATGCTTCCAAACTGTGAAAATGACGCTGCAGAATTTTGAGCATCATCATTATGATGATGTTTTTTTCTTTTCTGCTTTCAGAATATTTTCGGCATTTCGACGCCAGCACGGCATTGCCAACCAACAAGCTTTCCAGCATTCTCGGAAGCATTCTAACCTTAAAATTTATGATTGTTTTTTTTTTTTTTCTTGTTTTGATCATATTTTTAATTTTAATCACAATCCTTACAGGATTCGAGTTCAGCGAATTCGAATCGACCGCCTTGGTACAGAAACAGGGAGGACCTTGTGCTGTGATAGCGCCCGTTCAGGCGTACTTGCTTAAGATTATTATCATGGACATGCCAAGCGGCATAAAGCTATCGGAGGTGGGTGTACAATTATTTAAAACACAATTCCCATTATCCCATCATTTCCCTCAAAAGATTTCCTCCGACAAGTGCCAGAGCCTGTTGATCCAGGCGCTGTGCAACATCTTGAAGAACTGTCGGACGCCGCGCTATCGTATCGTGCATCTGATGCGCCGGCGTGGCTTCGCCTCTGCCGATCCGGCAACCAAAGAGCGCTCGCCATCCGCCACGTCCGAGTCGGCGGCGGCAGTGGCTGCCAGAGCAGCAGCAGCGGCTGCTTTGGAGACTGGAGTTGTGCCTGGACAGGGTGAGGGAGGTGGCGCTGACATCGATCTGGCCACGGAGGCCACGCCCGCTTCGGTGAGGGAACTGCTGCTGTCCCAGCAGCTAGACTCTGGCAACAGTCCAACACAAGTAGCTTCACACCATCCCGATCCACAGCGCGAACTATCGCCCGATGAGTTCCACAATCGCCTGCACACGCTGCACTTCGACGACTACGAGTCCCTGGCCCGCTACTACACGGACAACTACGACCAGCTGGCGCACACCTACGGCGTCCTGCTGTTCATGTACTCGGTGTTCCTCACCAAGGGCTCGGAGCAGGTGGCCGCCGAGGTATCGGACACCTCGGAGCCGCTGATACACAGCACCTATGGCTATGGCGCCCAGTCGCTAATCAATCTGATGCTAACCGGACGGGCTGTGGCCCATGTCTGGGACAACGAGCAGGACGTCGGTGGCCTGAAGCTGCGCGGCATCTGTGAGCAGAGCGACATTGGCTTCATCACCCTGATGGAGCAGATGCGCTACTGCACTGTGGGTTCCTTCTTCAAGAATCCCCGCTTCCCCGTCTGGGTTATGGGATCTGATACGCATTTAACTGGTGAGTAGTTACTCCTTGTATGCTTCTTGGAAGCTCTTTAAATGGCATTTTCTTTCGATCAGTTCTATTCAGCAACGAAAAGAGGCTTGTCTCACCGGAGACGCCCTCGGAGACGGGTCGCCGCATCTTCAAGTCGTACGACCCGGAGGGCAACAACTTTATATCGAGCACCATGCTCCGCGAAGTGCTCGCCGCTCTCAACTTGGTCAGCGAGCCGGCCTAGTAAGTGTCATCATGGCTTCATTTTAAGTCCAATTTAATGGTTATATCCTCTATTTTAGTGTAAGCCTCATGCAGAAGCGTTTGGATCCCGAGAATCTGGGCATTATCTTGCTGAACGCCTTCATGGACGAGTTCTTTCCGCTGGAGCGCCGCTCTACGCCGGACACTTTCGAGCTGTTGCACTACAACGGTATTCCCGGATCCAATGAGAATAATAAGGTGGGGTTTAATGGCTTCAGCCTTCAGTCTCTTTGTGACTCAGTCCCTGTAATCAGTATCCAATCGACTTGGATTTCGTTATCATTGTGATTTCCGAAGAACAACGACCATTATGTTTATATATATATATATATATCGTCTTTCTGTGAATGAGAATCGATTGCTTACTAATCATATGAATACCATTGCAGGTGCGCTACTACTGCGGCTCTGCCATTCTGCTGGAGGGCGATCTGAAGTCGATTTGCACCTCGAATCCGATGGTGACTTGCCTGCAGACCAAGTGGCCGAACATTGAGATCAATTGGCATGACACCCATATGCCGTCGCTGAATTGACGCCGTCAACGGAGCAGGAGCAGGAGCAGGAGGGTGAAGCACCAGTAGGAGAGCAGAAGCGTGATGAAAGGGAGGAGGAGCGGATGCGGATTGCACGTTTTTATTTCAAACACCTTTCAATTGTTTTTTTTTCCATTAAATTATTGATGAATGTGTTGGCGAGGATGTCTGCGAAGATGGAATGCACAGACACAACAAGCTACACACAACAAACTACACACAACATACAACACACACACCCCTACTACCCTAACTACTAACCAAGCCGCAGCTGGAGAGAGAGATGCAGCGGTCTGCCATGTTGAAGTTGAATCGCTGGAGACGGACACAAGCCGGAAGAAACATACGCCAAGCGTTGATACCCAAAAATCTGCATAATGAGTATGCAAAAAAATAAAAAAAAAGGAACAAAATTTATTAATTTAAAAACAAAAAAAAATCTCAAAGAATCGGGGTTAACAAGAAGAAGAACCATTTATTTTTTAATTTTCGTTTATAATTTCATTACAAGGAAACCAAGAGAAACTCGACCTTAGAATACAGGCCACACACACACTCACACACCCACAAACACACATTATAATTACTATATGAATAAATTAAACAAAACATTAAAAAAAAACTAAAAAAACAAAAAAAAACGTATTTAAAAATTAGACGAAAGCGCGAGCAAGACACCATTTGTTTTTTTTTTTTTTTTGGCCTTTTAACAAATAACTTGTAGTGTTAAACGATTTAATAAAATTAAATAAACACGGAAAAAAATTAAGGCTAAAAAAATTAAAGAATTAACATCAAATAGAAAGAGACAGGGAGAGCAGGCTCCCGTGCGAGGCGTGCGAAAGAGAGCAGAGCAAAGATTACTTCAACATGAAATAAAAACTAAAAAAAAGTAAAAAAAACTAAATAGAAATTAACAATCACGCCAGGAGATGAAGGATATATTCCGAAATGGAATGTACGACCTATCTCATTAAGGATTTAAGGATTTATCCCAGAAATCTTAAATTATAGTCGTACTATAGCCTATACTATTAGTACGAAACTACTATATTAGTTTCCCCACTATATGATACCCGGTACACACTATATCTCTTCTGTTATAACTCCTCTAAAAATTGTTCGATTTTTTCAAACTGAATTTTGAAGTATAGGAATTTTAATAATATCTTAATCTTTTATCATATATCTTAAAGAGAATGGATATGTTCTATATGGGATACGTGTTATATGCCATTAAGGAATCCTATCCTAAAAATCTTACAAAAAAGAGTTCTTTTTTATAGGGATTTTTGTTAAAACTCCACAATTAAAGATCATTTTTTTAAGGATTTAATTTAAAATCATAAAAAATGGCAGAATCAGGCACAAAATGGAAGTTTTTAGGAAATTAATTATATTATTTCCCTTATATATCAAGGTATAAAGGATATAGGATATCTTTATGATAATAATGTTCTATCCCATTAAGGAGTTATATTCTAGAAATTATAAATAAGTACTTTTGATGAGGAATAATTTTTAAATTCCACAATTGATGAGCTTTTATTTTAAAATTAATTTTACGATCTAAAAAGCTTAAAAAAAATCATAGGGACTTCTTAAAAAATTGTTTATTGTCTATATACGGTATATATTTGTACCTTAAGGGATAAAGGATACATCCTAACGATAGATCCTATGTGGTATCTCAGATCCTATCTCAGAAATATCTTATTTTTTTTTTAATGGGAAACTATTTAAATTTTAAAGTTAAATTGCAATTTTTTAAAGATAAATTTAAAAATTACAAAACTTGTCACAATATGGGAACTTTTACAAAAAAAAGTTGGAAATTGTGTACATAGGATATATAGGGTTATTATCTTAAGAAATGAAGGGTATGTCCTAGTTGGGATACTCGCCTATCTCATTAAAGAGTCCTATTTTTTATGCAAAAAACTGCTTAAATTCCATAATTAAAGAGCATTTATTTTAAAATTTAATTTACAATTTGTAAAATGACAATCTTAACTTAAAAATTTGCAATTTCCTACAACCAAATGCGGCACAGAATGGGAATTTTGAGGAAAAAAATAGAAAAGCAGGTGGGTCTATCCTATATAGGGTATATGTATCTCATATGGTTTCGTACATGTCCTACAAGATGTAGGCCATGTCCAGAATCATTTGGATTTCTAGTCGTCGGGATCTCCCACGTAGAGGCGGATGTCCAAGCTGTAGGGAATGGGCTGGACCAGCTCCACCTCTACCTCGTCGTCGTGATCCAAATGTTCTGGTTTGTCATCATCGTTGTCGTCGTCGTCCTCATCGTCGATCTCATCGTCCTCTGCAACTCTCTCACCCGGCACTCGGCTCGCCCCTTCGGGATCTCATTTGACGTCCAGGAGACTGCGCTGGAACATCTCCATGGCCAGGCTGCGCAGCCCGTCGCTCACCTCGGGAGCACTGCGCGGGAATTCGCATTCGCGGGCGGGCAGACCGCACAGCTGCCGTCGCAGCCGCAGATCCTGGCGAGCACACAATGCCCGGCTGCCGGGACCGCAGACATTGCCGACCAGACGCTGGCGTTCGGCGGCGGCCGCCCGGAGACCCATTTGCACGCAGGCCAGTGGCTCGACTTGAGCCGGACTGGCCAGCAGCAGATCCCGGTAGTCCAGCAGCGGAGTGGGTGTCGTCGACGTTGTCGTCGGCACCGGCACCTTCACTTCCTGGCCCTCCTGCTCGCGCTCCTTCTCCAGTATCAGATGCTGACGTGCCTCGTCCATCACGCGACGGGCATAATCCTCGCCAGCCATGCCAAACGAGATGCCCATGTCGAGGAGCACCCGGTGCGGTTGCCAGCGCTGCTTAGCCGAGGTGCCTCGCTGGTCTACGCCCTGTTGGGCGGCCTGGGCGTCGGAGGCCTGCTGCCGGGTCTCGGCAATCAATCCCTGCCAGTCCACACCCAAGGCATCGCCAATGCCTGCAAAGGATTCACGGGTTAGAAGGGTTTCATTGGAGATCTACTCGTGACTTACCTTTATGCCTGGCTTCCTCCTCCAGTTCACCATCGGATATCTCCTCAAAATCCAGCACCTCGTCCACTTCCTCCACTTTGATAGATGCTCCGCCCGACCCATTGAGGGCCTCGTTCTTGATCTCCTCCGCATTGCTGTCCAGGTCCTGAGACGCCTCCAACGGCAGCTCGCTCTTCGGGCGCACCTTGTCCGTTTTATTCAAGATGTCGTCGTCGCTGTCGCTGATCTCGCTCAGTTCACCCTCGCCGGTGCTGGGCCGTGCCTCCAACTTCACCGGCTCGCCCACACAGCCCAGGATCTGGGCCGGTGAGTCCTGGGCACCCAGTTCCGGTGTTCCGGCCGAGTCCTCCGAGGCTTCCTCCTGCTTGATATTCGATGTGTTCAGCTTGCTGACCTGGCGGAGGAATAAGAGAGTGAATGGAAATCTCAAATGGAGGATCATCCTCTTACCTGTGCCAGGATTCCCGGGTTAGTGGTGGCGTTGGCGGCACTTTGGGCAGCTGCTTTGGCGGCAGCCACTGCCGTGGTGGCGGCTGCCACAACACTGGCCTGGGCGGCGTTATTCGGCTTCCCGCCGGCTCCCAGGGGATTCAGCAGCGGCGACTGGGTGGGCGAGGCCAGCGGCGGGTGGGGATGTTTCTTGAGGAAGCCCGAAGAGCCGGACGCGGCACCACCATCTCTTCCGGAGCCGCCATCGCGTCCCCCACCGCCACCACCGCCGCCGTAGGGCAAACGCTTGTGCGGGAAGCCGCGGGAGTAGCCGCCAGGCGGCTGCACTGGCAGCGTCATCAGGGGCGGTGGATGGGACCTGTAGCCGGGTCGTTCCCCATGATCGCCGCCATGACCACCGTGTCCGCCACGTCGGAAGCCACGACTCGATCCCCGCTCACCACGCGAATGGACGTGGTGGTGCGGCGAGGCGGGATGGGGATGCGAGGATGGTCCGCCGCCGTCCTCATTGTCGCGCCAATCTCCGCCAGAAGCGGCGGAAGATGGCTGCTGCTGCTGTTGCCAGGCACGCGGCTTCTCCCGCTGATCGTGCTCCAGCCAGGCGGGCTCGTTCTTGATGTTGATGGCCGATCTGTCGCTGCCACCCGCATCCGGTCGATCCTCCCGATCTCTGTCCCGCTCGCGATCTCTCTCCCGCTCCCGCTCACGTTCTCGTTCGCGTTCACGTTCCCTCTCCCGCTCGTCGGCATCCCAGTCCGGCTCTGAGGCCGAGTGGTGTGGCTGCTGCTGCGATGGCGGCCCGCCACCGGGCTTGCCGCGCTTGGGACCGCCCACAAAGCCGCTGGGTCGGCCGGGAGTGCCGCTAGCTCCTCCCGGGCCACCGCCGGTGGCGCCCTCCTCGTCCCAGTCACGGTCCCACTCGGGCCGATAGTCGCCACGCGGTCTCAGGTTGCGCTCCCGCTCCCGGTCGCGTTCTCTCTCCCGTTCCCTCTCCCGCTCGCGGATCAAGCGCTCCCGTTCGTCCGGATAGAGGCCATCCTCCTGTTCCAATTCACGGTACTCGCGTTCCTGCAGCTCCCGCTCTCTGTGCTCGCGGGCCTCCAGCCAGGCTTCGCGTTCCCGCGACGAGTACCTGGCATCCAGCAACGCTCGTTTGTAAGCTCTAAGGTGGCACAAGGGACATGGCATTACTGAGATTACTTGGACGTTGTTCAACTCACCTCTCCCGTTCATCTTCCGTGTACAGATCCCGGGGGTCCCGCAGCCGCGGCTCGTAGTGATCGGCCAGCTCTCGCCGGCGGTAACGCCTCATTTCATCCATTAGGCCATGACCATGACGCTCCTCCAGATAGTCCTGCTCACGCTCGTAGGGGTCCAGTTCACGCTTGTCCCGCCGGCCGCCCCTTTCTCGTTCTCGCTCCCGTTCCCTCTCCACGGCGTCCAGAGACCGCTCCCGGCTGCCATACGGCGGCAAGTCCAAGTCGCGCCCGGGGGCGCCACGTTTGCCGCCCTGATCCTCCTCCTGTTCCTGGCGACGCAGCTTCTCGCGAGCCAGGCGCTCACGCTCCCGCTGCCGTTCCTGGCAGCGGGCCAACGCTTCGGCACGCTCCTTGTCCCGGGCCGCCTCCCGCTCGGCTCGTTCACGCTCCCGATCCCGGCGATCCCGCTCTCGCAGGGACAGGTCATGTCGCTCCCGTTCCCGTTCCCGCTCTCTCTCACGTTCTCGCTCCCTCTCCCTCTCCAGCGATGGCGTGCGTCCGCGGGCCCTGGTCTGAATGATGATCTTCTCGCGGGACATTAGTTGGTGATGCATTCGCGAGGAGGAGCTGCTGCCGCCGGGACTCTTCTGTCGCTTACCCACAATATCCTGGTGGATGCGAATCTTGGTGGTGGTGGTGGTGCTGCTACTCGGCGGGCTCCGGCTGCTGCCCAGCCGATGATGATCGCGCTCCCTGTCCCGCTGGACGGCCCGCAGTTTGTCCCGCTCCCTCTGCTCCTTGCTGGCGGCCCGCAGTCTCTTCCGCTCCGCCAGTTTCTTTAGCTTGGCCCGAGTGGCCGGTGATAGGGAACGATGGACATGACCACTGAGGACGGCGGCGGCACGCTTCTTCAGACGGGCCTCCTTTAGCTTGCGTTTTATGTGATTCCTCTTCGCCACCAGTTTCTTCTGGACGTGGTCTCGTTTGTCCCTCTTGCGGCGGGAATGCTCGTCGCCGGAGGAACTACCTCCTCGCCGAGAGCTCTTCTTTTTCCTATGGTGCCTTTCGGCGGACCGCGGATGATGCCCGTGGCCGTGCGGCCCGTGGGGATGGGCACCGATGCCGGATCCACCGCCGCCACCTCCGTTGCCGCCGCCACCAACACCTCCACCGCCTACTCCCACGCCTCCGCCTCCAACACCTACACCCTGCTCACTGTCCGTGCTGCTGTACGAGCTGCTGCCGCTGTCGGAGTCGGAAGTGGAGTCGGAGCTGCTCGAGTGGCGCGCCGACTTCTTGTAGCGTCGCAGCGTCTCCTTGGCCTTTTTATCCATCGCCAAGATGTGGATGGAGCAGTTGCCTTGTTTTTAGGCCAGTTTATTTTTAATATATTTTATATTTTTGTTATTTATTTTTGTACTTTTTTTCTTTTTTTTTGCACTTTTTTTTTCTTTCCAGCCAGCTTGTAATTTTGGTTTTTAGTGTTGGTAAACAAAAGTTTGAAATATCGATATTTTTATCGATAAAAACATAAACATCGATAAATAAAAGACAGCTGGGCTAAACATTTTACAGTTTAATTAAAAAATTTTTAATTTGTTTGAATAGTATCATTTTTTTTTAAATTACTTTAATTATATAAATATTATTTTAAAGCTTACTTACTTCTTACAAATTTACAAATTACTTACAAATTTCCTAATTTTTTTTAAAGTGGGGAATGGTTTGAAACTTGAAGGAAAATTTAGTTTTTGATAATTTTTTTTATATAAAAGTACATTATTGCAGGAATATCCTGTGAAAAATCCATGTCGATCGGACTAAAACTTGCTGGTATTCCGATTATCTTGTTATCGTGCTTAATGTATGTACTAGAGATGAAACGGATAGCAGTTTGGCCGGATACCGGATATTCGGCCGACCATTTGGCCGGATAGCCGGATATCCGGCTGCCGAATATCCGAATGTTTTGCAAAACTTAGCCGTTTGCGTAGACGTCGCGCCAACGATCGACTCGGTTCGATTTGGTTTTTTTCGTTGATAAGTGAAGTTAACAGTTGTATCCATATCCATAACCTGTGAGCTGGACTTTCATCTCTAGTCAATGCGAATTGATCGCACCCTTATTCTTGGTGGGCAGCTAATGCCCAAATTTAGCAAAGTTTGCAAAAACCTACCTTTCTTCTCCTTGCACTACTGTGTATAGCGAAAGACTTTTTTCAGAAGCTGGCCTTATTAATGAAGAAAAACGCAACCGCTTGCTACCTCTCAATGCAGAGGAATTAGTATTTATCCATCATAATTTTCCCTTAGTGCAGTATGAGTACTAAATGTACTAATTCCATTTCCTTGTATCACATTTACTTACTATTGTGTAATTTAATACTTAAGATTAACTAAATAAAGCAAATAATTAACAAAAATATGTTTTATATTATATGTTTGTATATATGTTTTATATTAAATATGTTTTTTTTAAATCGGCCGGATATCTATCCGGCCAAATCGTAGCTATCCGGTATTCGGCCGGATAGTATCATGGAGGCCGGATAGGCCGGATAACGGATAGTTGCCGGATATCCGTTTCATCTCTAGTATGTACTTTCAATTGCTTTTAGACGCGTTTATCTCAAAACAACTTTTTCCAAGTCGGTGCGTAACGTAAAAAAACGTAACGTAACGTAATGCAACGTAAATAACTCAAAAAGTAATGCTCGGATCTAAATGAAATTTTTCACGCATCCTTTATACAATAATGGCAGGCAATAATGGGTTGATTTTTCATGTTAAAATGGTACCTCCGAATTTAAGACCGCGCCACAAGTAAAAAATCGCATATTTTTCCATAAAATGTAGTTCATCCGCACAGAATATATGTATTAAATGAATCAATTCTTTTTTTATACCCTTGCAGAGGGTATTATAATTTTGTCCAAAAGTGTGCAACGCAGTGAAGGAGACATCTCCGACCCTATAAAGTATATATATTCTTGATCAGGATCACCTCCTGAGTTGATATGAGCATGTCCGTCTGTCTGTCTGTCTGTTTCTACACGAACTAGTCTCTCAGTTTTAAAGCTATCTACTTGAAACTGTGTTGCACACCCTTCTTTCTTTTGCACGCAGTATATAAGTCGGAACGGCTCGAATCGGCCGACTATATCCTATAGCTGCCATATAACTGATTGATCGGAAATGGTGTAACTTTGGTGTTTTTAGAGTTAGAGAGTTCAAATTTGACATGAGAGCTATTTTGGGCAAAATATTACGACATGCCAAATTTCATAAGGATCGGCCGACTATATCCTATAGCTGCTGTACGAGTTCAAGACATGCAGAAAAATCGTGCATTGCAGATAGGCAACAGATGATCCTATACAAACAGGTACCGCTGCGCATTTACGACCTCACACCATCTGTCAGCACGCATGATAAGGACCTGCATGCGTCATAAACCTAAGCGATAAAGGATAATGTTATCCTATTTTACAACTGTCCAAACTAGTAAACTATAAGCAGATAATAATTTGACCTAAACAAACATTAGTTCTTAAGATCTTGTATATAAAAACCCTGCATATTCCACAATAAAATCAGTACTCAACGAAAACTCGTGGTATTCACTTCTCCGAGCTCAATTTGTTTCAAGTACAGATTGCGGCAACGAAATTGTTACTGGTATCAAGAACCGGTGGCAGACAAAAGCAACTTTTCAGCTACACAATTTACATTTGGTGACCCCCGACTTTGGACACAGGATTCATTTGGAGAATCATACTTGTATAGTTGGTCAACTGGGCGACCAAACTACAAAAAAAAAAAATACCAACAACTGATCAACTTGGCGATCTTGGACATCACTGGATAGTCAACTTGGCAGCAACAAAACAGGAGAAAATCAAGCTCCATAGCCATAGTATTTAAAAGAATACCTTGACCGCCTATTTGGTTGTGAGTAGAGGCACAACCTGTCAAAGCGACAAATCAAAATACCTCCAACGGGTCAGGTATTATTTTAAATAAAAAAATGGCATTATCAAATATCAACGCATTGCTGGACAGGCAATTGATAACAGGCGAAGAGATCCAAAACGTAATAAGGAATTACAAGAAGGATTCGCCTGAACGAAAACAACAGCCTGACTATTTCCAAAAACGCATTGAGAAGTTAGTTAAGCTGTGGGAAATATTTTTTAAAGATGATTTAACTATAAAAAGTACAACAGAAGGTGCTAAAATTGAGCACAGTTACTTTAAAAATAATTATTTCAATCAAATAAGAGATTTGGTTGTATCCTACAAAGGAGAATTCAACAAACAATTATCCACAGTACAAATGGATACTGGATCGGTTGCTTCCAGTGAAGAAGAATCGGAACTGGAGCCAATGATTCGGGAACAAAGGGCTCTGCTGATTAGTCTGGAACGAATCATGAATAAAATGACGAATGAAACTCGTCAAGGATTTATGCCAATCATAAATCAGTATTGGGATAAGATAACAACTATCCACATTGAAATTTATAAAAAATTTGAGGATCCTGCAAAACTTGGATATCTCTACCAGAGATATTTAGCAGCGGAAGACGCCGTCATAGCAGTCCAAACTATGACATGTGAAGAAAGCATCTCACGTCCTGCCAACATACCTCAAATGCATGCCTCATTGCCGTTGCCGAAAGTTGAAATTCCCAAATTTGATGGGGACTATTTAAAATGGCAACAATTTCATGACATTTTCAAGAAAATGATTCATGAAGCATCATTACCCATCATTCAAAAGATGTGGTACTTAAAAACTAGCATCACTGGAGAGGCTGAGCGTTTAATACGCCATCTATCCTTAACCGAAGGAAACTATGCAACAGCATGGAATATGCTACAAGAGCGTTTTAGCAACAAAAGAGTGCTAAGTAACGCGTTAATACAAAAAATATTGGACCAACCATCAATAACAAATGATGCGAAATCCATAAAGGCAATGCATGATAATATTAAAGAAACATTATCTGCGCTTTGTAACATTGGAATTCAAACTGAAAATTGGGATCCAATACTATTATGTAGTTTGACAAGGAAATTAGATCGTCAAACTCATATGTTATATGAACAGTCAATTGTAGACTTGAAGAAACTGCAGAAACTGGATCAGTTTTTGACCTTCTTGGAACATCGGTTCCTTACATTGGAGGCTACCGGTAGTGATAAGATAAATCACACCAAAAAAGGCACATGCGCTCAGATTGGTACAGAATATACATGCTATTTCTGTAACAAACCCAATCACATTATGTATAAGTGCAACGAGTTTTTGAAGAAAACAACAGCTGAACGATTAAATTGGACTCAAAGGAACAAGCTATGCGTAAAATGCTTCAAACGCGATCATTCAGCAAAGGAATGTCAGAAGAAAAATTGTTTTAAATGCGATAAAAGGCATAACACCCTTCTACATTTGGAATCAAAGCCTGACTCTAAAACAGCAGCATCAGCAAGTGGAGTACAAACCAATTATGTACTTTTAGCCACTGCTCGAGTTATTATTGAAGGCAATAATGGACGAATGGCCGAATTCAGAGCATTACTTGACTCAGGTTCTCAAGTCAATGTAATCTCTGAAAGAGCATTAAACATATTAGCTCTCGACGTTAAAAAATCAGAGCTACAAATAAATGGAATTGGTGGACGAACACAAACATCAAAGGCACGAGTTAATGTTATGCTCAAATCACAGCATAACAACTTCAACTCTCGATTGGAGGCTATTGTATTGCCTCACATTGTTGCAGATCAGCCAGGACAGTCAATTGATATTAATCGTTGGAAACTTCCAAAACATATTGAATTGGCTGATCCCAATTTTGATAAAACAGGAAGGATTGATCTACTCTTGGGAGCAGAACACTATTACGATATAATGCAGGACAAGCATTTATCGTTGGGTAAAGGACTGCCAAAATTACAAAAAACCAAACTAGGATGGATTGTGGCTGGAAAATTAAAACACAATTCACCTAGATCAACTACCTGTGCAGCTCTAACCGAGGAAGATAAGGTAGACGAACAAATCACGAAATTTTGGGAACTGGATTCATTCTCAACTGATGCGCCATGCCTATCTCCACTGGAGAAACAATGTGAAAGACACTTTCTCCAGCACATTCAGACTGCAATTGATAAGAAATCAATTGTTAGGCTCCCATTCATGGATAATGCTTCAGCCCTGGGGGAGAGTCGTGATCTTGCAACACGACGATTCCTTTCCTTGGAAAAACGGCTATTGCGAGATCCACAAACTAAGGCAAGTTATGTGGAGTTTATGAAAGAATACGAAGCTCTTGGGCATATGAAGGAGATGCACACAAGTGAAATTAAAAAAGCACGGTACTTCATACCACATCACTGTGTGCTCAAACCTGAAAGTACAACAACCAAATTAAGAGTGGTTTTCGATGCATCTGCAGTTACGTCATCAGGAAAATCGCTCAACGACTTACTGCACAAAGGTCCTACGGTGCAAAACTCTATATTTTCAATTTTGCTGCGATTTAGGACTTACAAATATGTTTTCACGGCGGACATAGAGAAAATGTACCGTCAAATCTGGATAAATCCCGAAGACCAATATTTCCAAACAATTGTTTGGCGCAATAATCCATCTGAGGATTTGCGATACTACAGATTAAAAACGGTTACCTATGGAACAAAAGCTGCACCGTATTTAGCCACAAAATGCTTGCAGCACATAGCACAAAAAGGCAGAAAGGAATACCCTAATGGTGCTGCCGCATTGGAAAACGACTTCTATGTAGACGATTGCTTAACCGGAGCCGAAACTATACCAGAAGCTCTACAGAGGCAACAACAGCTTAACAAACTTCTGCAAAATTCTGGATTCAAGTTAAGAAAATGGTGTACCAACAATTTCCAAGTTCTACAAGGAGTTCCGAGGGAAGACATCACTTCAAATGTACAACTGGAGGAGACTTCATATGAGGACTACACGATTAAGACCCTCGGAATCACCTGGACACCAACGACAGATCACCTTTGTGGGAAAACGGAGATAGCAACAAAGGCCAACATATCAAGACGAGATTTTGTGTCTGAAATCTTTAGGATATTTGATCCTCTTGGTTTATTTTCCCCAGTTGTAATGAAAGCAAAAATTTTCATGCAACACCTCACAAAGGAGGGTTATGAATATAAAGACGATCTGCCGGCTCATCTTCAGGAGGAATGGAAACGCTACAGGGAGGAGCTAAAGGTTCTGAACACCATAAAGGTACCACGTCACGTCTACTTAGGAAAAACACCTGTGACGGCAGAAATCCACACATTTGTTGATGCCTCGGAGAAGGCATATGGAGCTGCTGTATACATCCGAGCAACATATAAGGACAAGCGAAGAACGATCCAGTTATTGTGTGCAAAATCTCACTTAGCACCAATAAATACAATAACGTTACCACGTCTGGAACTTAAGGCTGCTGTATTAGGAGCACAGTTGACTTCTAAAGTAAAGAAAGACTTGGCCATGAAAAATGCATCCACATTTTATTGGTCTGATTCACGGATTGTACTGTCATGGATTAATTGCTCAACATCCATTCGAGACAAATTCGTTGCCACCAGAGTTGCAACAATACATGAGCTATCCTTACCCAAACAGTGGAGACATGTTGCATCAGAACACAATGCCGCAGATGTCCTCTCCAGAGGAATGACAGCTTCAAAATTCGCGGAACATGCCATGTGGTTCTACGGCCCTATGTTCCTACATGGTTCATCATCCACATGGCCCGCTCCGTTTATTGCTACCAACGAGGAACTAATAATTATGAATCCGCCAAAGGTTAGTCAATCATCCGTGATGACTATCATAAAAGAGGAGGACATAATATACACAATACAACATAATAATTCATTTAACAAGCTACTCAGAATAATAGCTTACATAATGCGCTTTCGACGTAAGAAGAAGTACACAAGCCACACCATTGAGTTTGAAGAAATAATGGCAGCCCGAAAAATTGTCTTCCGCAATATTCAAAAAATCGACTTCAAAGATGACATCAAACATCTCAAGCGGCAAAGGGAGACACTAAAAGGCAGTTCAATCAACTCACTATCACCATTCTTAGATCAGAATGGAATTTTGCGTGTAGGAGGTCGACTGGAGGCGGCAAATATATCATTCGACTCCAAACATCCGATACTTTTGCCATACAACGACTCTGTTGGGAAGATGATTCTTGTGCAAATACACAAGGACAACATGCATTGCGGACCTCAAGCTTTATTGACTGCATCAAGGCAGCAATTCTGGATCCTTAAAGGAAAAACGATGGCTAGGAGCACTGTAAGAGCCTGTGTCAAGTGCACTAAAGCTAAACCAAAATTAATGGAGCAGATCATGGGAAATCTGCCACCACTGAGGGTAACGCAAGCTCGACCATTTTTCAACTCTGGCGTCGATTATTGTGGACCATTTAAAATTCACGACAAAGTGAGAGGAAAGAAGCCTAGCACAGCTTACATTGCTATATTCTGCTGTTTTACGACTAAAGCTGTACATCTGGAGCTGGTTAGCGATCTCACAACAGAGGCATTCTTGGCAGCACTTCGTCGTTTCATTGCTCGGCGAGGGAAATGCCAAACTCTTCACTGCGACAATGCAACAAATTTTGTGGGAGCCAAAAACAAGTTGCAAGAGCTACAGGAGGCTATATTCTCCGATAATGCGAAAACACAAATTCTCCAGGAGTGTAACAACAAGGGAGTTCAGTTTAAATTCATCCCACCTCGTGCACCACACTTCGGAGGATTATGGGAAGCTGCAGTAAAGTCGGCAAAACATTTATTACTAAAAAATGTTACGACAGCCGATCTTACTTATGAAGAACTTGAAACAGTTATAATCGAAATAGAGGCCATATTGAACTCTCGACCATTAACACCACTGTCCGATGACCCAAATGACGTCACAGCATTAACGCCTGGACACTTCCTAATTGGAGAGCCGCTAACTGCACAAGCTGATTGTGAACCATCGCAGCAACCAAAAACGTTAGGTAATCGATGGCAGGCCGTTTCAAAACTGAAACATGCGTTCTGGAAACAATGGTCACAGGATTATCTACAACAGTTGCAGCAACGTCAAAAATGGAGAAGATCCTCAACAAACATAAAGGAAGGCACTTTAGTAATAATGAAGGAAGACAATGTTCCTGTATTACAATGGCCAATGGGAAGAATTGTTCGAGTCTTCTACGGGAAGGACAACTTTGCACGAGTGGTTGAAGTTAAAACGACCAAAGGGATCTTTAAACGTGAAATTCAACATGTTGCTCCACTCTTTAATGAAGAAGAACCCACTGACAAACATCCAATTGAAGAAGATGAAGTAGAAGAAGAAAACAGAGCAGTGGAAGACCGCCAGCTGAGGAAAAGACCAAATCACGCTTCGATAACCACTGTCATGATTGTCATGTTATTATTATTACCATTAGCCTGGGCCCAATCGATTCAAATAACTCAGTTTGGATCAAAACCAGGAATATTTTTCGAGAAAATTGGGACAACCCAATTAGCAGTGGCTGACTGGACCATAGTGGCTTACTTCGATCTCAAACCATATTGGAGTGATATGGCTACATTTTCAAAAGGAACAAAAAAACTTGGTCAAATGTGCGCTACACTTAATGATGCACACTCATGTGAAGGAATGTACCAATACTTCCAACAAGTAGAGAATGAACTCATCATGGAAAATATGCTATTGGCCAAATCACGGAAAGTTCGAGCACCATTGGACATCGTGGGAAACATTGCAAGCAGTCTATTTGGTGTATTAGATTCTCAATATGCACAAGACATGTCGAAAACAATATCGAAGGTCAAGGACAATGAAGATCATGTCTTGGAGTTATTACAAAACCAAACATCCTTAGTTGATTCAACAATAAACGTAGTGAAACGAGATGAAATTGCATACGCAAAACGATTCAACCTAATTGAAAGTCAAATGAATGCAATAATAAAGGATAATTATCACTGGTACATTACACTGACATCACAACTTACGTTGCTCGCTACGAATCTACATCGAATGCAGAATGAAATCATCAAAGTGTTAACAGACGTGCGCCACAACACTATTAGTCCACTTCTATTATCTCCACGACAACTAAAGGAGCAATGTGATCAAATACGGGACCATTTGAAGCCTGGTCAAATGTTACCTGTTAACCAAGAAAACATACTCATGGCATACAAAATGATGCAAGCCGAAGGTACCATAGTAGATAATCATGTGATTATAAAAATAACAGTACCATTGATATCGACAGAGGTATTGCACATATACAAATTAACACCGATCCCAGCTGCAAATGTATATGGTTTTCATCTGTTCAAAATTAAAACACCATTCATTGCAATTAACAACTATCGAGATAAGTTTGTTGATATGACGACGGAAGACATAGCAAATTGTTATCCAAGATCGATAAATGATTTCATTTGTCACAGCAAGCAATCAATGTTCTCTACAGAAATGAGCTGCGAAATGCAACTATTCCACAATAAAACAGACACGTCATGCCATCTGGAAATCACAAATAAAACGTTCATTTGGCAAGAGATGCATAAAAAGAATCAATGGATATTTGCGACAAGGACGCCAATAAAACTCTCAGCTGTTTGCACCGATGGAACATCAGATATCTGGTTACGCAACACGGGACTACTGACAGCAAGAGCAGGATGCACCATACGCAACTCTCTAATAACAGTAATCAGTCAAACTGGTATAGAAACATCGACGCTCATCTCATACGCCCGTTTTGGAGAAATCGATGGTAACAATACAACGATTAAAAGACAGAACACCACATCCAGCAAAACAAATAAATTTGGTTATACCAAACTACTGGATCTTCAACGGGATCTTGTACCAAACCGAAGACTGAGACTACCACATAGACTTGAGACGATCAAGCATCACCACATCGCAATGTACATTGGCTTAACATTCATCATAATAATATTGACCATTCACTGGGTAAGAAAATGGTACAAAGGAGACAAGAGACCTCAGCAAGTCCAGGTACCAGCGGTGGCAATGAGGAAACCGATACGACTTCGAGTCCGCCGTTCACCATTAACATCGATGATTGTTGAAACTACGTTCAACGGCCGGGAGGATGTACGAGTTCAAGACATGCAGAAAAATCGTGCATTGCAGATAGGCAACAGATGATCCTATACAAACAGGTACCGCTGCGCATTTACGACCTCACACCATCTGTCAGCACGCATGATAAGGACCTGCATGCGTCATAAACCTAAGCGATAAAGGATAATGTTATCCTATTTTACAACTGTCCAAACTAGTAAACTATAAGCAGATAATAATTTGACCTAAACAAACATTAGTTCTTAAGATCTTGTATATAAAAACCCTGCATATTCCACAATAAAATCAGTACTCAACGAAAACTCGTGGTATTCACTTCTCCGAGCTCAATTTGTTTCAAGTACAGATTGCGGCAACGAAATTGTTACTGGTATCAAGAACCGGTGGCAGACAAAAGCAACTTTTCAGCTACACAATTTACAGCTGCCATATAACTGAACGATCGGAAATGACCCAACTTTCTTGTTTTTCAAGATAGAAAACTGGAACTTGGTACAGATTATATTTTTGGTCAGTTAATCCGACCTACAAAATTTCATTAGGATCGGCCGACTATATCCTATAGCTGCCATATAACTGAACGATCGGAAATGGTACTTGGTAGAAATATCAACTTTCTTATTTTTGAAGATAGAAGTTTGGGACCTTTTTCGGATTTTTCATTTTAGTTAATTGGTTTTATTATGATGTGTTCATAAGGATCGGTCAACTATATCCGATGTTTGCGATATATATCCGGTTTTAACTGCAAGGGTATATAAACTTCGGCTCCGCCCGAAGTTAGCTTTCCTTTCTTGTTTTTATTTCAAATAACACTGTGAGGACAGGTTTTACGCACCGCAAGACGACACTTTTTTGAAGCGACTTCGAGCGACTGCCGTCACGGATAAATAATAATTATTTTTTGACAACAAATTTCTAGATACTCTCCAAATATAGCCATTTAATATGTACAAAACTTGAATAATTATATTCACTCAGAAAGAAGAAAAAATTCGGAAAAATATTGTTTTTTCTGCCTCTGAAACCATTGCCCCCTTAAAGGAGTCCCCCAGAGAAATAAAAAAAAAAACAAATTCATTTTATTATTCTACAAAATTTTTCTTAATCTTTTAAAATTTAATTTTGATTTCCCATTAACTAAGGGACTAGAATTAATTTTTGAATTAATATAAAGAAGTGGTCGGCACAGCTCTATCGGGCATAGGAAATTTCTCTGCCCGTGCTCTGCACAGTATAAATGTGTGAAACGTCACGCTCCCAGCCTACTTTCTGCTTTCTGCTATACTAATACTGATGCGTTAAAATCATATCAATGTGTTAGGTGCCGACCACTGATTTAAAGTAAAGATAAAACTAAATAAAAGGCTTTTCAGCTATTATTCGTATAAAAGTTATTATGTTTATAATACGAGTATAATGATAATTAAGTAAGAAATTAAGGAAAAGTTTTTTTGCAGCAAAATCTTGAATTACCATTGCTCGAATACATAAGGTTTATGATCTCAACTACACACTTGTTAGGCATTTTCTTAAAAGACTACATTTGTCGACCAGGCTACTTTATAGTAATTGAAAGGATCATTGTTGCAAAGGTAATAATATTAAATAAATTCAAAAATAAAAAAAATTGGTATTTTCACCAAATGCCATACCCATCGATCGTTATGGAAATTGCTAGGCAATCAAAATAATAAATAGCGGATAATAATTTGGATGTTTAACTAAAGAAATGGTTGATATTGATATTAAAATAAGAAAAGAAGAACTGCATTCACGTTCCTAACGCGCTCTAGATCCCGATCGCGTTCGAGGGCAGACTCCGGTCTCGTTTTCTAATAAATTTAAATAAATTCAAAACTAAAAAAAATTGGTATTTTTACCAATGCCATACATATCGATCGTTATGAAAATTGCAAGTAAGCAAAATAATTAAAATGAAATAGCGGATAATAATTCGGAAGTTTAACTGAAGAAATGGTTGATATTGATATTAAAATAAGAAAAGAAGAACTGCATTCACGTTCCTACTCGCGTTCTAGATCCCGATCGCGTTCAAAGTTCGACTCTCGATCTGGTTTTCCAAATTCTAAAAGAAAAACAAATGAATAATCAAAAAGAAACCAAAACTGAGAGAAAAAAAGAAAACCAAATGATGGAAAAAAGGAAAGTCAATATAATATAATGAAGTTCCGATGTCTTCTCAGTAGCCAAGTTTTACCTTGGATGGTTTATAAATAATTTAAAAAATAAAAACATAAAAAAGTAAATATTGTTGTAATGCCTTCTCGGTATTCACGCTCCAGATCCCGATCCCGTTCGAAGTCGGACTCGCACTCTCGAAATTCCAAAATAAAATAATTAATAAAAAAAAAAACCAAACAAAAATAAATATTGTTGTAATGCCTTCTCGGTATTCACGCTCCAGATCCCGATCCCGTTCGAAGTCCGATTCGCGCTCTCGAAATTCCAAAATAAAATAATTAAACAATTTAAAAAATAAAAACATAAAAAAGTAAATATTGTTGTAATGCCTTCTCGGTATTCACGCTCCAGATCCCGATCCCGTTCGAAGTCCGATTCGCGCTCTCGAAATTCCAAAATAAAATAATTAATAAAATAAAACCAAACAAAAATAAATATTGTTGAAATGCCTTCTCGGTATTCACGCTCCAGATCCCGATCCCGTTCGAAGTCCGATTCGCGCTCCCGAAATTCCAAAATAAAATAATTAAACAATTTAAAAAAAAAAACCCAAACAAAAGAAAATATTGTTGTAATGCCTTCTCGGTTTTATCTTGAGAAGTTTATAAATATGAAAAAGAACAAAAAAAAATAAAATAAAAAAAACCTCAAATAAAAATAAAAAGACGTCTTGCTGCTTCGAGCAGCGGTGAAGTAATGATTTTCCCTGTGGGTTTTGGTAATAAGAAAACTTGGACAGTGTTGAAAGGTGCCGCAAGCTAAGGCCAGGGTTGACTTGAAAGGTGTTTAAGGTTGCCACCTCATCCAATAAAATTGAATTTGGATTTTTATGCATGAATGAAGACAGTTTCTGGAAATTTAATATATTGTAGAAACATTATTATGAAAAATACCTTAATTATATATATTTTAAATAAATAGGTTTAAGGTTTGCCATGCCGCGGCTCGCTCACAGAGTTTGTGGGTCTATTCCACCGAATTTAAAGATCGACGTGATTGGCAGAGCCCAAAAGTAAAACAGATAGCAGACAACTTTATAAACCCTATAAACTCAGAGGCCTTTCCAAATACAATATAGATAGCTCCTTGTTTCCAAAATGGGCTCCGCTCCGGATCCTCGCTGCTCCTCCTTGTTTCCGCTGGGCTCCTCCTGTTAGCCGTTTCTGTTGCTGTGGTCGCCGCTGCTGCTCTTCTTGCTGTGTTGCCGTTGGTTCCCTTGAATGTCGCCCTTTCGATGGCCGCACGCAGGCCTTCCTACCTCTCGGACAGACACGCTTGGGTCGTCGGGGACTGGTCTTCACCCACCTGCGTGCATACGCGCTACTGGATGAGTGATAGGTCACAGGCTGGGGGTCACTCCTCCGATACACCAAGGATATACGGGCTAGCGGGTCCGGGTCGGGAGTTGGCCGCTGACTTTCGCCTCCGCTGCACCAAGGAAACATCGCGCAACCGGGCTAGCTGGTCCGAATCGGGAGTTGGCCGGTGGGTCGTCCCGCCTCCCCTGCACCTGCGAAACACCGAGCTAGCGAGTCCGGATCAGGAGTTTTCGTCAAACACCGGGCGTCGCGCCTCCGCAACACCAAGGAAACACTGCTCATACGCGCTAGTGAATCCGGATCGGGAGTTCCTTGACTGGTGACCGGGGTCTTCCCGAACGGTTTCTTAACTGGGCGTGAGTTCACGACCCATTTGTCTCCCAGGATCACGCCTTTTAGTTGCATTTCAGGAGTCGGTAAGGAGCACGCCAAACTTGTAACTTACTCGCTTCGTAGCAAGGCTACCTGCCGTGGTCGGGAATGGCCCAACTCGAGTCTGAGCCCATATGACTGCTCCTTCTGTCTTGCGGCTAGGCTTGTCGTCTTTACTTTCCACCCATTCCCCCGTACTACAAGTTTGAAGTACCCCCTTCAACCCCACTTTCTTAACTTTGTTCAATGCCACCTGTCTCGGCGTGTGGTGAGACTTAAGTTACATCATAAATTACAAAAAAACAAAATTAATTAAAAAAAAAACACCATTTTGCATTCGCAGTTCTGCATTTTATTTATTGCTCTTGTTTCTTAAAGATATACAGCCCATATTTGGATCAAGTACTTAAAATCGATCCATTGGTATCCATCCATATTGTAGTAGCATTCATCAAGTAAAGTGTGCAGGTTTTGGCTTTGTTGAAATCAAGACAAATCAGGACGCTTTAGTGTTAATTGTGAAGCCTCGTTTCCAATCAGATATGTACATATGTAGTTATGTTCCCATTGTCCAAATTTCTAGACGATGGTGACGAGCTTCGAAACATCATTCCAAATAGCAAATGGGGCGGGGCGTTGGGCAAGCTTTCTGCACATTCGGTAGCATTGGTGTGTTGAGTGGTGTGTTGAGTGTAGCGCTCTGTTTTAAGTTCAATCAGAATTGATTTTGAATGTAGTCCCATAACGTTATGCCGTAATTATCAGCCTCATTGTGTGTGTGTCTGATGGTTGGTGACGTTTTTTCTTCATGTAAATAATGTTCTCAATGTTTTTCATGTTCGTAATAACCATAAATGTGTTTAAAAGTCCCTGTCGTCGTCCCTGACGTTATATGACTTTTTTTTAGTATTCCAAATATTTGGCAGTGTACCTTATATATCTAAAATATGTTTCCCTCCGCATGAGTTGTTGGGCGAGTTTTGAGTGTATTAGTTATTTGCCCTGGAATAGGGCGTCTGTCTTCATCTGGGGCTTCTCCTTTTTCTTAAGCCCCACGCAGAGTTGTTTCAGGGCGATGATCGCCCGGGCGGGGTTCAGGTTTTTCGGACAGGTGTTGGTGCAGTTCATGATGCTGTGGCATCTGTAAAGTTTCCATGGATCCTTTAGAAAGCCCAAGCGCTGCTCCGTGGCCTCGTCCCTGTTTGGATTGTATTTAATATAGAATATTAGTAAGTATACCAACATAAAAGTAAGGTTAGTTGAAAATAATTGGAGAAAAATAAAAACCTTGGCAATTTATAACTTCATATATAAGGTTACAATTTTAAGAAACAAAAAACTGACTTAAGCAGCAACGATGTTATCGTCCTCGTCCCTGTTTGGATTGTATTTAATATAGAATATTAGTAAGTATACCAACATAAAAGTAAGGTTAGTTGAAAATAATTGGAGAAAAATAAAAACCTTGGCAATTTATAACTTCATATATAAGGTTACAATTTTAAGAAACAAAAAACTGACTTAAGCAATACAAATTCTTAAACCATGTCGTAATTGTCGATTTAATTTGATTCTCTTCGTTAAAGCAGGAATTTATCAACTGATATTTGAACTGTCATTCAATGCAATGACCAGCAATGAGGTTTTTGTTAAAATGAAAGGTTGCCAGTGTTGAAGAGAGCAGTTCAAAGGCTTTAGTGTTGAATAGAGCGATTCTTTTCGATAACTGATTTTTTAGTGCTGACAGACGTTTAAATAGAGCGTTTTTAGAGCTGGCAAGTATAATTTCAGTAAAGTATGATTTATATAAAATTCAAAATGAAAAAATTTTGGAGTAAAAGGTTCAGTTTAAAAAACTTGAAAAGCGTGCATCTTTTCGATAGGTGCCATTTTAGTGTTGATAGGCGTTGAAATGTAGCTTTTTTAGAGCTGACAGCTATGCTTTCAGCAAAGTAGGCATTTAAAATGACAAATTGAATTTAAAAATTAAAAGGAAATCAAATAAATGTACAAGAAGTTGGAAAACTTACCTGGAATCTATGACCCATCGGTAGGCCTGCATGAGAACGGCGGGTCCCAGGTACTTGTCACTGTTCCACCAATACGATGGACACGATGTCTGACAGCAGGCACACAGGATGCACTCGTACAATCCATCTAGAACACTGCGATCCTCCACGGATTGCAGATACTGTGCCGTGCCCGCCTCGTGTTTCATATTCTTGCGCTGCAGCCAGGGCTGTATGGAACGGTATTGTTCGTAGAACTGGGTGAGATCTGGCACGAGATCCCTTATCACATAGAGATGTGGCAGCGGATAGATGCGACAGCATCTAGACTCGTTCTGATCGATGGCCGCCACACACGCCAGGGTATTGGTGCCATTGATGTTCATGGCACAGGATCCGCAGATACCTTCGCGGCACGAGCGCCGGAATGTAAGCGTCGGATCCAAATCGGTTTTGATCTTTATTAGGGCATCCAGAACCATGGGGCCGCACTGTTCCAGATCCACTTGGTAGGTCTGGGTCTGGGGCTGATCACCCGGCTTCCATCGATAGATCTCGAAGCTCTTCATACGCGGCGGCTTGGAGGCCGCTGGTGGGGGTGGTGGAGGTGCGGGTTTTCCTCCGGCTGGGGGGGCGGCGCCGGGTGGTTTTCCTTTATCCTTTCCACCTCCATCCGTTTTGGCGGCGGGCGAGGCGCTTCCTCCACCGGACTTGGCGGCGGGCGGGGCGCTTCCTCCATCGGACTTGGCGGGGGGCGGGGGGCTGGATCCCCCACCCATTGCGGCTCCTCTGGACGGTGGTGCATTTCCTCCGGCTAAAGGATTTCTTCAATACTTTTCTGGAAATTTAAAAAAAGAGAAGAGCTCATACCCTTTCCTGAGGTGGAGGCTCCTCTTGTGATGGTTCTTCCGGGGGCTGTCCTGGATCCTTGGAGTCCTCCTGCTCCTCCTTGTCCTCTCTCACTTCCTGGTCCGACTCCTGCTCCTGCTCTTTGGACTCTTTTTTGCGTGTCTCGGGGTCGGGATAGTGCGGATGCGGATACCACGGATACGGCGGATACTGGGGATATGGCGGCGGCGTTGGATAACGATGATGTGGTGGACATAGGCGCCGCAGTACCGGAAACGGGTTGGGGCACATACTGGAGAGGCGGCCACCTGGTCGACACCGGTGTACCCAGCACCGATGCGCCCAGCTGACCCTGGCCCTCCTTCCACACCGCACGTATCAACTGAAGCCTGGGCTGCCGACGCATTAAATTCATTGGCCCTTATCCTGATTCACGTTTCCCGATTCGCACACTTTCCCGATACTTTTACGTTTTTCACTTTTCGTTTTTGTAGTTTTTTTTCAAATTAAAAAAAAAATGTATTTTATTTTGGTTTTTGAAAAAAAAAAAAATAAATAAATATACTGAATATTTTTTGTTGAATATTGTATTTGAGTTTGGGTTTTGGGAGTGGAGGGAATGTGGTGTTGTTATGTCGAACAATGTATCAAAACTGAAGGTGTTGTGAGCTACGACATGATAGGAAAGCTAAACTGTAATGGCATGGACTGCTTGTTTCACAATTTTAGAAAAATAGTAAAACCAAATGTAGTTTGTTGAAAGTATAACAGGACGCACTTGTCTCTTTAAAGTCCGCCTTTTTTTCCTCCTGTCCTCGAACTTGTCCTGCCGGAAGCCCCCAGGTGTGGCAGGTGGCGTTCTGGAGATACCTCTTGGCCACTTGGTGGGGAAGAACATCCCACGGCCCCGTCGCTGCCATCGGAGTAGTTGGGATGTCTATGGTAGGATTCGCTCAGCAGCAGGTAGGCCTTCTTGTTTCGGCACATGAACCGTTTACGGTTGACAAGGGTTTTCTCTAGAAGGAGTTGAACTTGGGTTTGATCGTGGGATATTTTGGGGCTTATCCAATATTATTGAGGGTTTTATTTGTTTCTTAAATTCCATTAAGAAAATGGTTAACATATTAAGAATAAGTTGGTTTTCCGTTGGTAGTTAAATTTCTACAATGAAATTAAATTCATTTTAATACAAAAAGCATATTAAAACGACGTATAATCATTATTTTTGATTCTTCTTTTTCAAAAATATTAATGAATTTATGATTGCGGGCTATTGCTAACTATTACCCTTCTGTACCATTAAAAATTCAAACAAAACTTAATGTAAAAATTTGTTTGATACCAAATGTTAATTGATCCTAAAGCTTAAGACTTTGATCTTTCAATAAAAAAAGCAAACTCGATAAGGATTCGCTTAAGGGTTTACTACTTTGATTTCGAAGTTCCACCTCAGATCTTAAGGTCCTTTCCTAAAACCCATTCGAAAGACTTAAATTTTAAATTTAATCAACATTGAAATAACGAAACGTAAATATTAAAGGAAAACAGGACAACGAAATTCTTGTTATCCTGCTAAGATTATTAAGTGTATAAATAAGGAACTTAGAAAGGTATTTCGGAACTTTTGAATAAACAAAAATATTGCATTGAATTATAATTTTGTCCAAAAGTGTGTAACGCAGTGAGGGAGACATCTCCGACCCAATAAAGTATAAATATTCTTGATCAGGATCACCTCCTGAGTTGATATGAGCATGTCCGTCTGTCCGTCGGTCCGTGTGTCCGTCTGTCTGTCCGTCTGTCTGTCTGTTTCTACGCGAACTAGTCTCTCAGTTTTAAAGCTATCGACTTGAAACTTTGCACACACCCTTCTTTCCTTTGCACGCAGTATATAAGTCGAAACGACCGGGATCGGCCGACTATATCCCATAGCTATAGATATAAGATATAGCAGCTATAAGATATAGTCAGCCGATCCTTATGAAATTTGGTAGGTTGGATTAACTGACCAAAAATATAAGTCCTATCCGAGAAATAAGCAAAACTTCGACGAAGTTAGCTTTCCTTTCTTGTTTTAATTTTATTTTATGTAATTGTATATCGCTTATTTATTTATTTATTTTAAGTTAAGCTAGACTTTTAATTGTCAGAGAAAAGGTGACTACGACGTCATAGAAATCAATATGAAAGTACTTGCTAAACAAGTTCCTGTTGCTAATCAGCTTTCACTAATCTCCCACAACCTTTGACATCACATCCGTATACTTTTGGACTCAGCGCCCCAATTCCGAAGAAAGCACCTGCATGAAGACTGATCTTCTTATCGGCAAGCTCAACCTCTAGGAGGATTTAAAAAGCCGGAGCCGAGAGTCCCGCAGCATCAGTTGAAATTATTCCGGTGGCTATTCAAGAGGAAACCTAAAAGACTTAAACTAAACTTAAACTCAAAAGTACGAAAATGGTCCAGCCGGTGGTGCTCTTGTCTGCGATTTGTTTTATTACCGTCGCCCTGGGATCGGAGGAAGTAATACCCGCATCGAGTGTTTTTATTTTGAAAATTAATTTAAAATCTTATCCACAGTCTTGTTATTTCACTGAAGAGAAGGAGGACGACTGCGCGGCGGTCTGTCATCCGATCGTGAAGCCCCTCCTGAGGTACTTTGAGAAGATTCAGGCCAAAGAATCCCAGTTCCAAAAGGACTACTCAGAGTTGAAGAAAAAGTACACGGACTTGGAGGAAAAGGGTCAGGAACATAATGGCCAGATATCTCAGTTCCAGAAAAACTACTCCGATTTGCAGAAAAAGTATTCAGATTTGCAGGAAAGCCATTCGGAATTGCAGAGAAGAGAACTGGAACTTATATCACAGTTACAAAAGGATATATCGGACTTGCAAAAGGATAAATCGGACTTGCAAAATAGGGTGATTGAAGTCGAAAATCTACAAGCTCAAATAGATTCAAAAAATGTGGAGATCAAATTACTAAAAGATAAAATTAGTGAATTAAATAAAACAAATGAACTTGCTACAAAAATACTTCGCGACGACATTGCCAAATTGGGCGAAATAGTAAAGAATATAAATTCGGATAATGGAGCAGCCAGTCCATCACCAACCAGGACAGTCCAGCAACTACCTCCACCCTCCAAAGGTAAGTTGGCAGAACCCAATAATTGGCAAAATATAAAACATCGAATACCTTAGCTATTCCAGATCGGTGTCCGCAAAGCCAAAATGAAACTTGGATCCTCCAAGAAATCCAAATTCCAGGTTCCGATCCGTTTAAAGTGGTCTGTTACTCAGATGAGGAGATTGGTTCTGGTTGGATGATTGTTTATAACCATTGGGGTGAAACAAATTATTTTAATCGCACGTATGAGGAATTTGAAAGAGGATTCGGAGATGTCGGGACGCATTTGACCGATAAATACTTTATTGGACTCGAACGATTGCACCTCCTGACATCTAGAAACTCTCATGAGTTGAAAATAAATCCTTACAAATGCGACAGCTTTGTCGTTGGGAATCGAAGCGAAAGCTACATGGTGAAAGCTAACAAAGGGTGTACAGGACGCAAATTGCCGAACCTTAGGCAAGTCAAGTTTTCCACCTGGGATCGAGATGAGGATGGAGATCCCGATAGTAATTTGGCAAAGATAAGGAGCTATGGCTGGTGGCACGAACCTCGGTATGTATTCTGTTTTCGCTTTATATTTTCTTTTATCTCCAAAAGGAAACTTGTAATTAATTTAACTAATTTCAAAAAAACCTTTTTTTTACTAATTTTCATTTAATAGAAGTGGTGTGCACTACACTGCGTTTAGTATGATGATCCGAAGAAAGGATTAAAAAAGAACACGGCGATTCTAAGAGGATTTTGAAAAAGGAAAAATTATGAAAGAATACATAGACTATCTAAAGTGTTATTAATAATTTATGTGTGTATATACATACATATGTATTTAATATAAATGTATAAATTTAAGAATTAATTGTAATTTTTGTTAATTAAAAAGAAAAAGTTTCCATTATCACAAATATATATATTTTATGAAGATATATTTTCCACAATAATTGTACCCCCTTAAAAGTAAAAAAAAAACCTTAAAGAAACATAATAAAAATCTAAAAGTCTAAATCTAAATCTAAAAAATATTTTGTCTCAGGATTTTGATGCAGAATGGTGGCGAATCGAGTCAGAGTCGGAGATTTCGGGTCGGAGATGTCTCCTTCACTGCGTTGCACACTTTTGGACAAAATTATAATACGCTCTGCAAGGGTATAAAAATGAAGAAATGTCAAATATCCAAACAGTTGGCTGAACATAAAAATTCAGATAATATAAAAGAAGAACATTCTAATATTAAAAATCCAACAAAGTCGGATCCCAAAGGTATGGTAAGTTGGCAGATCCCCATTATTTGCAGCATAAAACATGGAATTTTTGAGATCTTTCAGATCGCTGTCCATGAAGCCAAGCCAGGATCCTCCTATACATACATCTGCCTATACTACAACTGCCATACCATTACAGTGGTTTATTACTCGAATAAGGAGATCCAGAGCTTTAACGCTCTTGACGAATGGACAGAAACATGAGGTGATTGTGTACTGCACTGCATAGCAGGAAAGCTGCAAAAATATTCTGCGAAACACACTTCTTTTTATCTAATTTAAATTTTAGCTAGTTAATAAATATAAAAAAGGCATAATAGCTTAATTGATATATAATATACTTGCTTAAAACAGAGACTTTCTGACAGACTTACTTTACCCCCCATGCAATAAACACAAAAAGTTGAAAATTAATAATTAATTAAAATAAAATCGACTTTAAAAATTAAGATTGAATGAATGATATAACATTAATAAAACTTTGTATATTATGTAACAAAATTCAACAAATTGTCTGAAAAAGAACTCCCAGAAGAAATGTGCCTGAACAGCAACAAATAAAGCTAGCATATTCAATATTGTAAATTAAAAAATAATAGCATTTAAAAGGTTAAAGAGTTAGAGAGCTATGAGAGCTGTATACCAAAAAGCAAATTCCGCGGACAACCGGACAGGCGGACATGGAAAAGTTTCAAGTCGATAAGATGGATATCTAGCACGCTGGAAACTTTAGTGAATCCTCGGAATTTTCGGTATACCCCCTACCCAGAGGCCCGGGCCCATACCCATGTCTGCTTTTTCTTTTCTGCACTTGGCGTTGCAATTAAGTGAAGAAAATGTAGCAGCTATGTGGATGTTAATGTTCGTGTCTGCACCAGACCAATCCAAAGTCAAATGAACAAAGAGTGCAATCGCATGAAATGAGCAACTTCCCACACTGCAAAAAAATATACTATTTTATTTCGAAAAGATGTTTGATAAAGGTTAAAAAAAATAACAAAACTTGTATGTAATTAGAGAAAAATTATAAAAAGTTCTACTGCAAATAAATATTAAAATTTAAAAATAAATTTTAAGCAAAGTGAAGTAGTAGAGCTGCGTGGCTGTGAATGAAACCAACTGTGAAAACGTTCTTAACGTTTCCGAAAGGGTGTTCTAAAAATAATTCCAACGAACCGAAGAATGGAAAACGGAATGAATACGGATTTGGATTTGGATTGAAGATCGGGAATCGGAATGGGCATTGGTATGGAATACTTGAATACATGAATGTTGTTTCCTTTAAAAATAACACATGTCCCCAAAAAACCCCCCACTCCAAACTTGTCAGCAGTCTCGACAAAATCGGGGAAAGCCCGGGGAAAAGTGGGAAATGTTGTCACGTTTTCCTAAAAAAAACAACTTGAACTTTTCTTGCAGATATAGAAAAAAAAACTGTTTTTTTTAATAATTTTTTTCTAGATACTCTTAAAATATTGAAATTGAAAACAATTCAAATATTCCCTGTAGGCCGTTTTTAAACCTTAACTTTTCCATACAAAGCTCGAACAGTTCATTTAAATGTCATTGAAATTAGCCCAAATTGTTGCAAGTGAGACATGTTGCAAGTCTCTCCAAAAGAGTGGCTTTAAGACAATTGACTTCCTCCGATGAATGGAATGGCAAAAAGCCAAATTTGTAGGGTACTGTCTAAACTATGTCTGTTGGTTCGAACCCAGTTCGTTTCTTTTTAATGGTGGTAACTATATGAATTTTTTATTTTATGAACGCTATATAACTCTTTTCGATAACTTTGTAAAAAATGTTAGATCTACAAAAATAAAATACTTGTAACCAATCGATCTCGTTACCCCTATATGATATAGTCTTTCGATCCTTATCCTTTCCAGATGTTGATTTTTAAACTATATGTATTATTAAACTTAAACTTTTCTTTATTCCAAAAATTTCTATTTTAATTTTATTGTATTACCTGACTCTTATTCTTGGCGTATAGGTATAAGAGTATTTGTAAGTCAGATCTATAACAATGGAATCAATAAACCACAATCTTATTGATTTAAATTTATCTCCAACATCACTCTGATCGCCTTGACAGATTCATCACAAAATTAGATGAAAAGCCATTGGATTGAAGAAGCTCCTGGGTCTCAAGACAAACTAAAGCCTGTTGATCCGGGGCTTTGCTGCATTCTCCCAGAATATTCCAGAGAAGTCTGTGTGGAGTGTGGCGGATAGGAGACAATTAAAAGGCAATTCCAGCAATGCGCCTGTTTGCACCTGCCGTCCAGATATCAGCGACAAACGACATTGTCAACAATGAGCAGACGAACATGATGATTACACTGGCCAGCAGAGCAAGAGGAAACAATTAGGTTTAAGAAACTGAAGGTGGGTGTCTTTCGAAATTTAAAAAATTGTTATTCTAATTTGAATACTTATAATTAAATCGAATAGTAGCTGATTTGATGATAAAATTGATATGATTTTATATTATTTCCAATTTTTACTAAAAGTACTGGGTAATAAATACAAGAAGCTTTATTTATTTATAATTTATTTTTTATTTATATGAATAAAAATCCATAATCCACTTTAGAAAGATTTTTCATATAATGATCTAATAGTGATATGCTGAAGTTATGATTAAACTTATATGATTTTAGACTACGCATTGTTTATTCTTATTTTATCAAAAATAAAGGTTATTTTATAAAAGTTGTTTATGCCCATAATTATTTATTACAAATATTTACATATATATATGTTTTTAACTTGTCATTTTGGTCTTATTATTTTGAGTTTAAAATTATTTCGTCTAACTTAGACAAGATAAGAACATAAAACTTGCTGCCTAGTGTTATTAAAAATAAATATATCACAAACACAGTCTCGCTTGGAAATACTTGAGGCAAATTATGTGGGGCTGGGTAGTGGTTCTTGTCGCATTTCCAAGGCATTTCGGTTCTGGTGACAATGTGGAGCATCTGCCCCATCCCTCCTGGCGACGCCCCTGTTATTATTTAAGCTGTTAAGTCCTCGTTGACGGCTGACAGGTGGCAAGAAGTAACTACAACAACAACAAAATAAAATAAAAGAAAATATTTCGTCATAGACGCGTGCTGGAATTAGCCTGGATTGCCAGGTGTGACTTGAGTTGTATGGTAGAAAGAGTAGCTAAAAAACCATAGTACTAATATACTAATTTTCTTTATAAATTAAACAAAAAATACCAAATAAATTATATTAATAATTAAATTAAATAAGAGTAATAACAAAAGTTGATGGACCTTCAGTAACCTTTTTTATTTTTGATGACAATTTTCAAGGCTAAAAATATGGCTAAAATATAGCCTTAAAATTGCTAAATAGACTGCAATGGGGGGGAACCCATCATCAATGATTGCCACGCTGTTGCATGCCACAGATTTACGGATCAGAATTTATTGGTTTTAAATTTTCATTCATGCCAGGATCTCATTGATGGGTTTTGCATTTAAAGTCTCATAAAGTCTCTCAAGCTAAAATAAGGCCCCTTAAACTTAGATAGTAAAAAAACATAAAAAAACTATTACAAATTTAATTTTCTAGAAGTTTTTTTAAGATTTTAATATATCTTTTAAAAAAGGTCTATAAATATTTCTCAGTTTAATAAAACAGTTTCAATTATTTCAACTACTCATTAAAAGGAAAAGATTTAATCTGAGAAAAGAATTTTCTCAAATTTTCAAAAATCTCCAATATTGTTAAAATTTCTCATTATGACTGTGAAATGCAAAAATAGAATGAAAATATATTTTCGAAAAAAAAGAGATTAGAGAGCTTATTGAACTTATTTTGTTCAATGACAATAGCGACTCACTAAATAAATATTTTAAAGGTATTTAGCTAAAAAATCTAAAGAAAATATAAAATTTGTAACAGATTTTTATATATTTTTTTCATCAATAAACTATTTTCTGATTCTGAAAATCTAATTTTTTTTTAAATGAATTTAGAAGCTTCTTTAAGGTGAATACCATTTTCTTTTGAACTTGGCCGATAACTTTGGGGCCCGAAAAGCTTTTAGTCTTAACCCACGCCAGGGCTACATCTCTCTCACTCTATCCCTCTGTTGCTCGCTCTCTTTAGTAGTACAATTTTTGGCTTTTCTCTCTATCTCTCTCTCTCGTGGCTATAATATGTAAATGAATTACTCGTAAATAGCCAGTGTAACTATGAAAATATTTACATATGCGTAAGTGGGTGTCGGCAAGCCAGGCAAACAAACAGACGCCAAAACAGAGTTAATACACTGGAAGAAATAATGTTAAGTTTCAAATATTAGTAGAGATATAATTACCTATTTACTTATTATATTCTTGGGTAATTATATATAATTAATAGGGGAACTATTCTTAAAATATGTTTTCCTTGAAAGAAATGCTAAAATCCATTTCCATCTTAGGTTTGAGTTAATAATTGAGTAATTTTTTGGTATTTTTTTTCTACACAGATCTTTCAAAGGTAAATTGAATATTAAGAATATAAAAAAATAGCATTCTATAAGTTTCTAAAGTTTTTTTAATTTTTTTATAGAATATTAAAATTGAAATTAGTAGATTAGTAATCAATTCCCCCTTAGACCAGAGTTTTAACTAGGTATAATAAAATAACAAAAATAATATATTTTTTTAAGTGCAGAGAAGGCACGGTCGCCACGTGTAAGAGCGCCCCGTAAAGCGTCGCCTCCAAAGAGAGAGGGACAGTTAGCTGGCGTCGCACAGCCAGAGAGAGCTTCGTTAGGGAGCAGCGGGTTAGGAAGGTGGTTAGAACCCTCGGCAAAGGGGGGGGGGGAAGGTTTGTGGGCGGCGAAGCTTTAGTGGCGGTGCCTACGTCACAGTGGAACCGCTTTTCGGAGGCGAGCAAGAGCTTTCGGACGCCTACAAAACAACCCCAAAGCGGCATCGCGAATCAGTCGCAAAAAAGTGTCCGTCGCCAGAACGCCAGCAAAAAACAGAAAATAATTCAACACAAAATTAAATCGCAGACCAAACGAAAAACAAGTAAATAAATTCGAAATAGAAATGTACTAATACTTTTAGAGGCAAGAGGAAGAGAGACCAAGAGATAGAGTGCCTGCCACCAAATAATAAGAAGAAAATACAAAGAAAATTAATTAAAATCTAACAGAAAGAGAGAGAAAGAGAGGAGATTTCGTGACAAAAGTATTTAATGTCCTTAATATTTGATTTTTTTTTGTTGTGTCTGTCAGTGTGTGTGGTGTGTGGGTGTAAGTGTGTGTGTGCCTCTACTTCTTCTTCTTCTCGCATTTTAATCTTATTATCCAACTAATAAGTAAACTCTTCAAATCAAGCTTCGAACCAAGCTGCCCAGGACCTACGACTTCACCGTAACCTCCTTCCTCCATCTTCAATCAATCCATAAAAAATCAACAAAAACATCCCGAAAATCCAGGTTAAATCCAGGATAGCAAGGTGACGAAAGCAGGCGAGCGGTAGCAGGAGTGTGAGCGAGAGCGTGCGACAGAGCGAGAGAGAGTGTGAGGGAGCCAGGAGCAGGCAAAGGAGCAGGATCCACCAAAACACAACAAAAAAACACACACAAACAAACACAACAAAGATGTCATGGAGATATGCGGTAAGTGGAGGAAAGGGGCTGAGCGGGAGGTAGGGGCAAAAAGGGGTCACTCATACAGGAAGTGGGGGGAATAGTTAAGTATCCTGTACACTAGGAGAATTCTTAAGGGGAGTATCGGGAAATTAATTTAAGAAAATAAGGAAATCATTTTTGAATATTTTGAAAAAATTTTTAAAATCCTGTTTGTGGCTTAAAATTTTCAAAATAACAAAGGACCGTCAACTTTTAAGGATATATATATTTTGTATAGGCTTATCCTGTTAGATTATTAGTTAGTTTAACTCATCTAAGTTTAGTTAGTTAAAATTAATTAATATTTTGTCTGTTTACTTAAAAATAGGTTTAGAAAATGAAGTTTTTAAAAAACTACATAAAAATTACAAAAGTTTACAAGCTAAACCAAAGCAATGTTATTAATAAGTTTTTAGTTAGAATAATAATAAATTTATAATAATATAAATTATAATATTTATATAATAATATAAAAATTGTATTCTACTTTCTTACTTTAATCCTGTTATTAATCATAAAAATTATTAACTGTGTAATGAGCTAAGGACAATGACAGGGGCGTAGGCCCAAAGGGGGTGTGACTGTGTGTGTGTGCTTGGCCGTCAAGTGCCGCGTGGCAGACTTTGCGACGCTAACTTGGCCATCTGTCAGTGGCAGCTGATGGGCAAATATGATGATGACCTTGACTTGTGTCTCCATTTTCCCCATATCCTCACAGCATTCTGGTGACCCAATTTTTTTTACCACACCCCCCCCAGCACTTCACACACACGGTCATACACACTAAAATGAGGTACAAGAAAAGAGGTACATTTTTTAGCCAAAGAAAATAGAATTTGTTCTATTTTTTGTTTGTGGGGACAGTGGCCTTGGCACATGTGTGTGTTCTCAGCCCACACACCGACCACTCCGCCCACTTGAAGGCCTCTAAATGCAAATGCAAAGTTCAAGTGCCTTTCCAAGGCGTGGCACTAGCACCACCACCACCACCACCAACCACCCACTTATGGCCCAGAAAGCCACAGAGCCCCACACTTTTTGTCATCTATCGGGCGATTATCCTGGCATTAACTCGGTTTTGGCGCCTCACTTTTTGGGTCACCAGCGGAGGGTTCTGGGTCACCTTTTCTGGGTTTGTTCCAAATGTAGGGCCTAGTCCTTGGCTTTCTAATACAAAGCCATAGAAAAGGCATTATTTTTTGGGATGGGAGAGAGACTTGAGTTGTTTTTGTTTGGTATTTTAATGTTTAATTAATAGTTTAAGATTTTTAAAGCATTTTTTTAAGGGGTCTAGTGTTTATTTTATTGCTTTCTATTTTGTTACACAATAATAGTGTTGGAATTGCTGAGAAGCGGTTTAGTTGGTAATATTGTTGTTGTCTTAATATTTTACATTTTTATGACTTTATATTAATCTTAATCATTGTTTATTCAAAGAATTCATTAAAAATACATGTTCTTGGGTGTATTTCCTTTAAAATTGAACTTTTGTTGCACTTAGGCTTTGAATTAAGGCTTACTTGGAAAGTTGACTTAGGATATACAATGTATATGTATATACTTCAGGGCTGTCACCAATATTAATTTAATAACAAATATTTTCTAATCTTAAACAACGAGTAATATATCAACGAAGTAATACAAAAGTTCTAATGCCCGTATCCTATGCTGTTTCTTTTAAGCTTTTTAAAGTAGATTACTTTTAAGCCACAAATGTAGATTCTAAAGTATTATAAAATGTATATCTAAATAGTTGAAATATGTTTCAGTTAATCAAGTTCAAGTTAATAAAGCATATCAAGTGTTATTTCTTCCTTCCTTTAAGTTTTCCGAAAACAGATTACTCATACGCCACTTGGGCTTCAACTAAGTGGAAGAAACAAAGAGCCCTTAAATAAAAAAAAAAGTCTCTTAAAATGTATAGTAAAAACAAATATAACATCTACTTAATTAAACCAAAATTTAAATCAAATTCAAAGCCAATGAAGCGTAGCAAGTGGTTTCCTCCTCCCACTCGACAAAAAAGTGGCTTGAATTAATTGCTCGGCTTCCGTGTAAAGGCTATTGTTAAGCATTACAAGCCCTATATATACATATATATATATATATCTATTTATCTATTTTTTGTTGTTGTTGCAAGTATAAGCCCAATAGCTTAGCTAAAATGTCAATGTCATCAGTGTTTTCCGCTGCTATTGCCACTGAATTTTCTACTGGCTCAGTGTCAAGCCCATCGGGAGCGCTAATTGAACAATCGATAGAGCACTGTAGGCTTACATATTTATATATATATAAACAGATATATATATATATATATATATATATATATGAAGAGATGTATACGTATGTTAAGTGTAGGCATATACTATATATAGACTATAGCTTTGAGTCGGTTGTGGGCGTGCCGCATCGCAGCTGTTGCGCCTGATTGAGCAGAAAGCGAAAGGCAAACGCTTCCAGTTGCACTCGGAAAAAATGTATAAGATTACTAATCAGTTAATTGTTCATCATTGCCTTTTCCGGGTTTTTCTTAAAAAGGTACAGATTTAATTGGAATTTTTGTTTCATAATTTTTAACAGAGAAAAAATTGAAAACTTATCAACATTTATTTGAGAAAAGTTTCTAATTTTAAAATTTTAAGAAAGGTTTGAAAGGTATTTCTTAGAAAGTTTAGAAAAAATACAAGGAAATAGTAGAATAGAATATCTTATTATTTTACTATATAACAGTGCATAAGCGGGCACTTGAAAGCGTTTTCCCCTTTTGGTTGTGAGCCGGAGCAGCCCACCCAATTTTTTTTGTCTCAAGCTCAAGGTCGATCATTGGCGATCTGTATAGATGGCCTTGAAAAAGCTTACAATTATCGTGGAAACCAGAAGGGAAAAAACGGAAAAATGGCCATTTTTCAAAAGTTAAATGGCCTGACATTTAGTCATAATTTAAAAAGTTAAACTGTCTCCCTTGAATGAGTAATTACTTTCAATACCTGAACTGACATACAACTGCATAAATTAATTTTCCGTCATTTTGCATTTATCTTTAATTTATAATCTACTCAGAAACGAAAACGAACAAAATACCTTAAAAGGCAAATTGCGCATTTAATTGAAAAGTAGTTTTTGGTTTTTGGCTGATTTTGTAGATTTCGTGGCTGCCAAAGTGGCTTTTTTTCTCACTTTTGAAATATCTCGAAATCAGGCTAGAGGAATTTCGTACATTTTAAGAAAAATGCTGTTTTCATAATTATCTAGAGAATTTTGTTTACATTATTGTTTTTGGGGGCAGGGCGGAAAGTTATTTCTTTTTGTTGGTTCGTTGACTGTTAAATCAATAAAGGAAAAAAAATGAAAACAGGAAACTGACTTGCATGTCAATGCGATTTGCAAGGGGGCTTACAGCCCAAAAACTATACAGATTGTACAGATATATGCAGAGATTTTATAGATATATATACCTTTAAATCTATAGATATATCAATGCCAAAAGTCAGACACAAAATACTTGTAAATTTTCTTGGTCGATTATTAATTGTTGCTCTCTTGATGCGCCGATGTTTCGGTTGTTGATTTTTATTTTCAAAAGCACATCAATTTTGAGCAGAGAATTTTCACACATTTGGGAATAAAACAATTTCTCGGTATATATTTTGTATTTTTCTATTTTGGGAAATTTTGTGTTTTGAAGGCCATGAGCCAGTAATGCTTTAGAAATTAGAAAAGTATATACACTGTTTTTAAAGGCAATCATAAAGCCTTAAAACCCATTGATGTCCTTTTGAAAGCGGTTGGTCTTTATCCAACGACTGACCCACATCCGCTCCACATGTTGCAGGTTGCAAATATATCAATTTTTCTATTATTTTTTCGCAATACTCGTGCCTCGTGGCAATTGCAACAGTTGTGCAAAGGCTTGACCTCTGGGCCTCTGACACAGTTCTCTGGTTTTATTTTTCCTCTATCTGCAGGAAGTGCAGCAAACTAAATGGTAGCAGAAACGCAAAAAAAAAACGAACACAAAAGGGAACTGTGTCAGGGGGGGCCTTTGGACTCTGCTAGGTGGCAGGGAGGGATATCAAGTGGCGGCTAGACAATGCAATCAACTAAATAAACTCGCCGAAAGGAAGGGCGTTGTTCGGCAGGAAAGAATGGAGGAAAAGTGTGCGGTTGCTCTTGCCAATTGACTTTTCATGGAGGTTTTATAGGTTCCAGAGGTAAAATAAGAAGTTATAGCATTTAAAAAAATATTAAATACAATTATAAATATTTCTTAAAAATAAGAAACTCACATCTAACCATATCTGTATGGCCATTAAGATGTCTGTTAACTGGTTTGTTAGTGCCTTTAAATACCTGGTACTCGTTTAATAACTACTTAGTATTACGAGTTTAAAATGTATTTTTTTAAAACCCCAAAGTTTCTTTTTTCTAATGAAATATTTTCTTGATCAAAATAAATCCTAAAATAATAATTTGGTCTAGCTTTCTGCATCTATACGTTCACTTTTCCGGTAGTGTCTTTGAATGTAAATAGCCGGTACTTAGATATTACCAATTTATGCTTCATTGTTAGGATCTTCGTTAAGATAATACAAGATAAGATATTGTGTAATATTTTTTTGATTAGAAATATACCTGATCAGAAGTAATCCTATATAGCTTTTTGCGGTTGTCCATTTGGTTTTCCGTCAATGTTTGAAATTATATCTTGCAATATTAATACCCGGTACCTGGTGATCAGGTTCCAGCTTGTACATTGTTTTTTTAAGCTGAAGTAAATTTTAAAGATCTTTTTTAGGAATATACATATGTATGTCTGTATATGTATAAACTCCATTTATTTACTAGTGGCTCCCTGTCCATTAAGCTGTCCGTCTCCATATTTTTTCGCCTATGTCCCAAAAATGATGTACCTTTTTGTCATAAAACATATTTTAAAATCTTTAACTAAAATAAAAACTTTATTTATCAAAGGAAAGAAATAGATCCCCCTTTACTGAATCCCCACCCACGACTCTGCTCTTTTGTTTCCCATTGCTCACCTCTCAGGTATTTTCGGATTTATTTTTCCTATCCATCGAATGTTTTGTTTCAAGCTTTTACTTAATCGCTTTCAAAGTTAGTTGTCAATGGATTTAGTCGCACGAGAACAGACAAAAAGCTATGGGTACCGGGTGGGGGTATTACTAAATATATAGGCTATGGGATCTATAGGTACGAGTCTGCATATATGCTGGCGATTAGTCGACATGCCATTGCCTTTTGGCATTACGAGTATTTTGTATTTTTTTTTTTGTTCTCCACCCCCAAAAAGCCCGAAAGTGGGAAAATATATTTTTCGTGTCCAGCTAATTGTCTTGTCATGCGGGCTTCACCTTTTGAAAAAAAATATACATATATATATTTTGTTTTCAAAAAAATATGTAGGGATGGGGGGCGTGGGATGAGTCATTCACAATAACTTGTTTCCAATGCATAGGTGAGTAATATTGTTTAAAAATTTTTTTCCTCTCTCACTTAATTCTATCAAGTATTTTTAGATGCAAATCAGGAGGGGGTGATGGGTGGCAAATAGCCGCCCGTAATTTTCTTGGCAAGGGGGACAAGGTCAAGGCGATGTCTCCGCAGCTTTCTATTCTCACCTGAAAAGCTTTTTTTCCGCTTACTCTATTTCCGTTTTTAGTTTTCCCCCCCATTTTCCGTATTATATTACGAATTTTTCACTTAAGTTATTTATTTGTTAATTTTAGTATTTTATGATTTTTATAAACACATTCTTTTCAGCTTCTCACCGACAGATACAGCAGCAGTATTGGCGATAGATATAGTCCCCACTATTATCAGGTTTGATGAAAAGAACATTTTCATTGGCATGATTTTGTTTTTGAGTTAAAAAATGAAAAAAAGTTAAAACTAATACGAAAATTAACCTGATATAGGCCAAGGCATCAAATATAGGCTATTTTCGGCCAAGCTTTCATCAAAAAATATATTTAGAACAATTAACACACACCTTGCTCTCGCTCTATATAATTCTACCATATATATTTAGACATATATACGCCACAGATCAGTCACAATAGATCAACGACAAAATGTTAAAGAACTTTCGGCATTGGATGCTGTTTCAAAATTTTCACATGATTTTCTATTTGGGTTTTTTTTTTGTTCATTTTCATTTTCAGGGTCGCATGCCGGCAGAAAAAGCAAAAGTTTTTCTGAAACGTGAACACCTTTAGTACCTCGGATTGTATTTTGACAACTCAGACAGCCAATATATGTACATATATATCTATAAAAAAAATGACACAAAAAAAGACAAACATGAAAGGAACTGTAAAGAAGCAAAGTTTTCACTTTTTTGTCCCTGAAAATATTTGTCAGACAACCATAAAAAAATGGCCTTTTATTTTCTTGTTGTATATATTTTTTTATTGGTTTATTTTATTTTTCCTTTGCTGTCTGATTTGTCATCTTTTGTAACCAAATTGCGACCTTCGCCTTGCCATAAATCTGCATTGTAAGCCATTTCTTTTGCCGGTTATTTTTTTTGGCAAATTGACGCTGTGATGTCATTCTTTGTATGGGAATCCTTACAAGCCTACCAAGGGAACGAAAATACCACACAAAATCTAATTATCAAAAAGGACATTTGTGTGACATAATGGTTATGGGGGTTTTAAGGCTGGTATATACTGAAAAATATTTTGGAAAAAAGCTATCTCTTTTTAGGGTTTTTAACCCAAAGAAAAACGAAGTACTCTGATTTTCAATTTGTATTCAGTTAAATACCAAATATTTTTTATAGCTCCATGGTTAGTGGGCTTTAAAGGAGTTATGTACATTCTTTAAATGGTATTTTTTTAAACAATTTCAAGTGGTATTTTTTCTGATATCACAACTCAATAGGTGATTAAGATACCATAATTCAAAAAAATTGACTTTGCTTAATACTAACTATATACTGAAAACATGTCTATGTAAAAGTTTATGTCTGCTTTCTAATTGTTCTATTATTGTCTAAGTCTTAATTGTTTTTCGCAAGATTTTATATATATATATTTCATTGTTAATTGTTTTTGCTTTGCTGTTTTTAAGTTTTTGAAAAATGTTATGATTTTATTGGAACTTTGGATATTTGTTTCATTCTCAGCTTCGAACTCTGCTAACTTTTCTAGCAAAGAACTATTTACTATAAAACATGATTTTGAAAAATACTAATAAAAATAAATATTTTTTTTGCATTTTCAGTCGCCCAGCCGCTTGGAATCCTCCGAACAGACCACAGGACGCCAATTGCAGCGAGTCCTTCATTATTCGATGGCTCCTAGCCGGGCGTTGCCAGGATTAAGGCGTGCCGAGTGTGCCATTCATGATGTTGACTGTGATGAGGTCTACCCGGGCATCTACATTGGAGATGCGTAAGATAATAAAATCAAAAAAGTCATTAAGTATATATATAATATAAAAACATCCTTTACAGGGCGGCGGCCAAAAATAAAACGTATCTGAGAATGATGGGCATTACACATGTCCTGAATGCGGCAGAGGGTTGTCGTTACGGCCAAGTGGACACTGGCCACAGTTATTACAGGGATATGCCTAGCATCAGGTAAGGATATCTAGGATATCCATGGAAGACCCACCCACAAAATGCAACAATAATGAACTATGGAAAGGCACAACTTTCGTTCAAAATTTGTTCATTTTTATTTTCGTAATGAATTTATTATTTATTTTTATCACTCTCTTGGCACATTTCAAAATTTCTTTCTTTTATTCTCATTTCTTTCTATTTTCTTTTATGTACATATCCTTTTTGGCACACACTCAAAAAAAAATCACATATTACCTTTAAACATTTCACTTGCACCTTGATTTTGGCTCAACTTTGTTGTTGTTGCTCTTTGTTGTGTGTGTGTGTGGGTGTTTTTGTTGTGTTTGTGGTGTAGACGCAACCATAAGGACTGTGTTTTTAGGTATATGGGCTTCCCCATGATCGACGCCCCCACGACAGACATCTCCCGGTACTTCTATGTGGCCTCCAAATTCATCGACAGCGCCATCAGCAGCGGTGGTAAGTGGTTCGGTAATTGGTTCCACAGTAATCATATGGGTAATTAATATTAGTGGAGCTGATTTTTTCTTTGTTAAGGATATGAGGCACATTTTTATTTCATTTCTTTTACACAATAGTTCGTCTTGTTCCTAAGGTTTTTTATAATTGTACAGAACATTTAAAAAACTTTTATTTAACATTAATGTTTAGGTTGTTTAGGATTTCGATTGCTTAAGATCCTTTTCAATTTGAATAATTTTTTTTAAGGCAGTTTGTGATGGCTTTAACTTTTTGGCTGTAATTATAATTTTTTTACCCGGTACTGAAGCTCTTAAACACATTTTACCAATTTTTGAAACGTTTCCACTGTCTATTTATAATATTTATGAATTTTTTATAAAATCCCCAAGAAATTACTGAGGAACTCTATCGTTTTCTTTATAAACAAAATTCTAATATTTTAATAATTTTTTAGGAAAAATTCTGGTACACTGTTTGGTGGGAATGTCGCGTTCGGCCACCTGTGTTCTGGCCTACCTGATGATTTGCCGGAAAATGTCCGCCGTGGACGCGATACGTACGGTCCGGATGCGGCGTGATATTCGTCCCAACGACGGATTCCTTCAGCAATTGGCCGACTTGGATATGGAACTCAAACGCAAAAATCTGTATCCCTATTAAAAAAATGAAATATTTGGCTAAAAAAAGAAATGAAACAAAAAAAACCAAAGATCAAAAAGAGAGGGAAAATCTATAAGGGGTTTTATTGGGGAGTGTGATTTTTGATTCCCCATTGATCACAAAAATATAAAGGAAGGGAACTTTGGATCGCAACCAAAAATGAAAATTGATCCAGCAAACTAACCAAAAAATAAATAATATTTAAAACAAGCGTTGTTCTGAACAAAAAAAAAAAAAATAAAATAATAAGATATTAAAGCCTAAAAAGCTAACGACTTATTATGGTAACTTGGTCTTCTGATATATAAAGAAAACGGTTCATCCCAAAAAAATGAAATTATATAATCACTGCATACCCATATATACATAGTTATATATATAATTATATAGCCAGAAGGGAATCAAGTTATCTTCACTCTCACCATACACAGGAAAAAAAGAAACACAGACACACTTAGCGACCTAGATTGTTAGAACCACGATCGAAGCAATAATTGGGCTATCCCAGATCTATATATATGAGAATATATATGTCGAACCTATATACCTTGCCTATACCTAGACATACAGATTTATATACATGTATTCCGGAACCACAACTATACTTGAATTTTTTTTTAGATTTTCTGTTTAAATCCATTTCCTAGAGATTACTTACATAAGTATATAAGATGAGCTGAAAAAACTAGATCAAGATCATATATACATTATATATACATATATATATAAAGAAAACCATTAACTGATATATGAAAACTGTGTAACGGATATACAAAGCATGCGTTATATACACCTATACCATATATATACGACGATATATATATACATATATATACACATACACCAAGTGTGAAAACCAAAAGTGTAACAAAAACCAAATTCATATTTTCTAGAACATGTATGAAGTGCAAGGATCGACGTAAATCGAAAAAATGAGAACAAAATAACTAAACCAAAAATCAAATGAGCAAAAAAACAAGAAACTAAAACCAAAAAAACTAAAACTATGTTTAAGAAACGATTAATAATACAAAATGAAAAAAATAATAAAAATTCAACAAAAAAATCAAGAACAAAAAGAATGAAAATATTCTTAAAACTACTTTTATTTGTAGGTTTTTGGGGTTTTCGTTATTAAATCTATAATATTAGGTTTACGGGGTAAACTTACATATGTACATATATATTGTCGTAAGCTTACATATGTATAATTCTTTCAGCTCTTATTTTTAGGTTACTTCCTTAGGATATCCCAAGCACTCTACTTTTTCTTTCGGAATTAGACGACTTAAGCTTTCATTTAATCGACATTTGAAATGGGTCAATATTTATGGTTAATTTTTCAAAAAGCTAGGAAAGTATCCTTTTTAAAGGATTTTTGTCTACAACGGATTTTAGTTCCAAAATGGTATAAAATTTATACTATAAATATTTCTTTAATTTTTCAACCATTATGATGGTCCTACATACCTCAAAAACACCTGCTCTTTAAAGCTTTCCCTCACATGCTTACTTTCTGCAGTGTTCCTGTTTCCGGTTTTATTTTCCTTAATATTTGCTTCAATGTGTTTTTTAAAAGTAATATTTACATAAAGATGATTTTCCCAATTAAATTAGATGTGAAATGGCGGTAAATCCCCTGAGTATCAGTTCTTCGCTTATGTTTTTTGAAAGAAAGTACTCTGATACTTCGTAAAAATAAGTCGTTAATAAACTACTATATGTCCTTCCATTTTTGGCTAGAATATGATAATTATTTAATACTTTTTTTTAAGTTTTTAACTAAAATTCCTATGGAAAATTTAATGGCGGCTGCTCCTTAAGCGCATGCGTGTGGGTGTTTGCGTTTATCTACATTATGAAAATCCATGCGTATGAAAATTGGTGAAAAAAGACATGTGTAGATAAACATTTTACATCAAGGACAGTACATCCTTGCAGGTGAGTTTTAGTAATTTTTGCATTGAAAGAAATTAAATAGTTATTAATATAGTTTTTTTTATTTAAATTAATTATATTATTAATATGATTTACATTATTAATACCATTAATATTCATAATTACATACATACTTCCCATCGAATTAGTTCAAAACTTTCAATAAAATATCTCACCTCCCGTAAAGTGTGAAGAAAATGGAAATCAATTTCCTTTGAAGAAGAATGTTCTATTTTTTTGTTAACCCCTACCATTCTATATAATCCATTGGATTTTTGTGGGGTCTTGACCATTAAATGCGCCTGCTAACTGCCTTTGAAAAACACCTGCAGAGGCATATTAGAGCCATCATCTTATCGTCTTCTGTATGGGTTTTGTTTTTGTAGCTCACCTCAGTGCGTAATTAAAACAGATGATATTGGCTACCTGGCGCTGGATCTGGATATGGGCTTTAATACTTTAACTGAATCTGAAACCGCATAGTTGACCCTAATTTGGAACTATCAATAACTGATTCCAGAATAGAAGGAACGAACAAACCGACCAAAAATAAAATAAAAGAACCGGGAAGATTTCGATCGTGCCCACAGTCAAAACAATAAAATTAATGTCTCCGCTTTCGGGTTCACGGGGTTTATGGACTGGGATGGACGGGGTCAGAATCAGCGGGTGCCACTTAAGTGATCCCGAAATGGAATGCCACTAAACCCTAAACAGGTAGCAGTTGTTAAAAGTCGTTGAACAACAAATGGAACATCACTGTTTTTTCAAGCTGCATGTGGATCTTATTTTGAGCCAATGAACCAAAAATTTATAAAACATTAAATTTTATTTAAATGTTAAAGAAAAAGTTTTAAATATTAAAGTCAGAAGTATAAAGAACATAGGTACATTTTTTTAACATAAATTGTATATATTTTTAGAATGGATTATATAGTTTTGGTAAAAAGAATGGCAAAAGAATTAGTTTTACCTCAAAAAGCAGTTTTATTTTATGTTAAGTTTGCAAGAAAGGCTTAAAATTTCTTTAAAAAAAATCAGTAATATTGGTAGATCAATAAAATTCTGAAATTTACCTTTTAGAAATGTTAAAAGTGCATTAGACTGTGACTTAATAATAGTTTTAGCTTAGAATTAATATACCTAAAACTTTAGTACAGCTGTTTAGGACTAAGAACTAAGACAAAAATACATAAGCTTAAATATATTTGATAAAAAACAAAAGAAAAGTATAAAGAAATTTGTAGAGTTAATTTTTAATTAAAAAGGAAGGGTATTAACCACCTCGTTAAAGTTTCTGTAAAGGTTTACCCTCACTTTCTGGTCAAATGCCAAAAGAGTCGATGTCCAGCGGCGTTGAATTTTTCGGCTCGACTTTTTTTTTTGTCGAGGGAGTGGGCATTATGGATGGTTAAACTAGTTTTTTTTGTTTGTTGGTTTCCCAGGCCCCTAGACCTACACTCGCACTCGTCGTCGTAAGCCGCTAAAAATCATTTTTCAAAGCGCCCATTTAAGACCCGCAGCTGCCCCCGTCTGGCCGTCTCTGTCGCACAGCGCTCTATCCATCTCCCTCTGATCCGGAGGGTGACACATGTTTGGATGGCATTGGTGGGGGTAAATAGATGGAAGGACTTTTGTGCACATGAAACAATTATTATTATTAATAAGTTAGTTTTCCTCCACGTGCTCCACCTACCTACCATTCGTATGTGTACTTCCCAGCCCCCCCTTGGGTTATTCCAAAAATTGCGCTATAAGATTAAGCATGAAAAATGTTACGAATTTTCCTCTCTCATAATTAATCTTCATCTAGGGTTCTGTGAAAATAGTGGCCAGAGGAGTGTGGGGTGGTGATGGTGATGGGAGAGGGAGGGATAACATGCAAAAGAGTTAAATAATTATAAGTACACACACACAACATACATTTGCAGACAAACAGTCACACAGCCACATGGGGATGAGGTTCTATACAAACCCTTTAAGGGCACTTGGAAAAAATTGTGTTTTTTTTTATAAGTAAAAGTTAAAAAAATAGTTAAACCTAAAATAAGTAATATTTTTATCTCTGGTTTGTTTATTATTTTAACAAGGAAAGTATAAGGCAAGTAACTACAAAATTTGCAAGAGCATTCGTCAATGGTAATTTAACAATATAAAGTGAGTAATATTTCCACCTTTGGGCTATTTAATATACATGTTATTATTTATTTATTTAATAATTTTAATAAAGACAGAAAAAGGTAGGTAATTACTTCGAAGCGATTGCAATAGCATTCGTCACTGCTAATTTTACCTCTTGAAAGTGTTCTTACTTAATTTTTTTTTAAAGAAAAGTTTTACATTTTAACCACCACTAAATATTTTAAGGAAAGAAATCTTAACCCTTAAATTAAGCAGATTTTTCCTCCGTGTAGCTTTACATTCTGTCGCCGTGGAAATTGTCCTTTTAAGCTCTCTACAAATAGTTGAAGGACCTGCAGCTGGGTCCTGTCGAATCAGGAGCAGATAGATGGCACTGCCGAGTCACCAGGGGGACTTACCTCGATATTGGCTTGTTTGGAGCACCTGCAAATGTTGGCACAATCTCCACGCATGCCCTTTAAGTTTACATTTTAAATATTAATATTTAAGAAATAAAAGGAGCAATTAAGAGAAAGGCCAGATTGCACTTTAAGGGACCTGGAATGTTTTTAATTGAAAGCTTTTAATTAAATTCCATTTGCCTTTTGTTTTTCATTTAATTTATTCTTTTTAGAAATTATTAACAAGCCCTGGGACCTTTGGGGCCTTTTTGGGTAAAATGCAAAAATGCATGAAAGACTTGGCCAGCTTGGATAGCTTTGGCAAATATTAAATGCATTTTTCGTTACAATACAGTGGTCATTGAATAAAAAGGGAAAAGTTGTGTGTGTGTGTGTGTGTGTATGTGCTCGACCAAGTGAAAAACAATAAATAATGCAGCCAATTAAAAGTTTGGCTGTTTCACTTCAAATTCAACAACACCAACACCAAGAGCTATAGCCACAGCCACAGCCAACAAACTACACTACCCTACACACTCGCACACACAACTAATTGACAAACAACAGCAAATTGAATGCAATAAAGCGCATGGCATGTGGGTTAACTTATATGCAGCACTGTACTCTACGTTGTATATCGCAAAACATGCATTTATCTATGGATATATGTACTACACGAAAGCATGTTGGGATATATGTTATGGTCATCTATCTGGTTGGCGTGATGTGATGGACTGACAACAATCAATTAAAAAAAGGAATAAAAAATAATCAAATAGCAGAGAACACAACATCAAGAAGACAAGACGAATAAGCTACATACTCTATTTATTTATTTTGTAGAGTTTTTTATCCAAAAATCATTGTTATTTTGTAGTCCTTCCTATTCAAATTAAACCTCCTTGTTATTTTTCATTGTAGATCTCACCAATCACTACTCTCATATTATTTTAGAGTATTACTATAAAAGAGCAACAAAATAAACCAGAAAAATCAATGCAATTTGACAGGAACACGGCAACCCAATCCAGCATCTGATCGAGAAAATAAAAACCAAAAAAAATCGAGTTTTTTTTTTTTGTAAAACACAAAAGCAAAAGCAACATCAACGGGTCGTCCAACCTCTCGGCTACTCGAAATTATTATTATAAACTTCTTCACTTTTAATGGAATTGTTATCAAAACACATTAAAAACGACAGACAAGCAAAATGAGTGAGTGCTGGCGAAAAAAAGGGGTGAGCGGCCAGGGATGTAGGCAATCATTTTTTTAAAAGGGGATTAAGTAAGTTTTTTTTAGTCATGGTTTTATTTTGTTTTGTTTTTATTCAAGTTTGTATAAATTAATTAAGCTGGAGGCAAAGTTGAAAAAGGGGAAAGACTTAAGGAAATGTACCAGGTATCATACACTTTAGGCATTGTTTAAAGCTAGTTAATACCGCTGCAAAATTATTAAAATATTATGATTTTTATTGTAAATTCATATTATTATAAATCCCTTTAATTATGATCAATGATTTTTATTAGGTTATTATAATTATTATTATGTAGAAAACAGGGTCAAAAAATGCATATTTCTATAAATTCTTAAAATTATAATATTAAGAATAATAAATAATGCATGAAATATGTCTAAAAAAGTACCATCAATGCTGTACCAGGTATAGTATAGCAATAAAAATAATACTTATACTTATAATACCAATAAATGTATTTAGTTTACTAATAATACTAGTTAATTTCATAAAAAAAATAATTACAAAGCTTTTTATTTTTGCCCAAAATAGTACCCTCTTTTTGACTCCACCCATGGGTCTGAGTATAAAGGGGGGCAGATGGGTAGCTATAGCTGTTGCACTTGGCTGATGGAGGGCCTGGGAAGGGCAGGGGGACTGAAACGGACACGCAACCCGAACGCATCGCAACGAAAACCAATCAAATGCACTTTGTCAATGCCAATTCACACAATAAATCTACAGGCAGATAGCAAAGTGCCGGGCAGGGTATACGGAAGAAGAACGGGGCCTGATCCAGAGCGGGCCAGGGAAGGCCACAAAAGGGGGTCTAACAGCGGGAGAAGTGCTGGCTTGATGGAGACGACTTTGGCAACACAAAAAAAAGTGAAACATGAGAAGCGACTTTCGGGGGAAGAAGCTCTTCTTCATCACAAAAAATCAAGTTTCAACAATAGGAAAATGGTAGATTCATTTTAGAGGTATTTTGAACTAAAAAATAATAATAAAAATATAAATAATAAAATCTATTATTTTTTAAGAAGAAAACTCTAAAACTTAGACTACAAACCTTCTTCTTATTTAAAATTAAAAGACCTTTTTGCCTAAAAAATCCTGACCAGCCATTGACCCCCGAAACATCCTTAAGTATAGCCACGTGCCCCAAGGCTACAGGATTGGGAGTCTGTAGCTCCAAAAAAGCCCACCACATGGCATACAAACTCCAATTTTTTTGGGGATTTTGTTACCTGTTGCTGCAAATTGCTGGCACGCCCCCTTACCTGGGGGAAGATCAGCCTGCTGACACCTTAGATTTTTTTCAAGAAGGGGCTGTATGAAGGGGATACTGGGCAAGACAGCTGCGGCCATTAGAGATCATTATGGTCTGGCTGCTTCTGTCAGGGCCGACACTCTGTTGATTTCTGCACTGACATTCTGTGGATTTTGCACTTCTCATTAATTTTCCCCAGTCGCACTTCCCCGCCCGACAAAAAAAAATGAAAAAAAAACTAACAAAACTTGGAATTCGACACGCTTCGTCGCCACAAGAAGGGAGGCGACACACACAAAAGAACTGTCTCTAAATTAATGTTGAAAATTAAAAACTTCACACGCACCTTTCTCGACCATGAATTCACTAGCGAGTGGCTGGGGGGAATGGGAAATAAAACAAATGAAGTGATAGGAAAATGGAAAAATGCCAAGATAGATGTACCAAGCCAAGGTCCAAGTCCAAAAGCCCACCAAACTTTGATCGACGAGACGACAACTCGATAAGAACCATAAACCTAGGAGTCCGAGAAAAAGGCGGCCATAAAAATAGGAAAATCAGATGAATATCTTAAAGTTTGAGTTCATTTACACTTGAGGTGGTGGTACTTCCCTAGTTCATTACAAATCTTTAACAAAATAATGTCTTGGCAACAAAAGTTTACTAAGTTGGATAGTTTTTGGCTTGTTCCTCATACACTTTCAACAAAACTAAGGCTTAAAAGGGTATATTTACAAAAAACTATAAATACCGGGTACGAGTGTCGTTTTATTTGTTTATTTTAGACGAAATTAGAATCAATTATTTCAGACTATAGATATAACAGGCTATTAATATTTATTAATATTCAATATAATACCCATTTCTAATCAGGTATATATAGAAACTAGTTTAAATTATATGATATCTGGTACTTCTAAGGTTTCTTAAGAAAGTGAAAACAAATAAAGGTAATACCCTGTAATTTCCCATATTAAAAATAATACTTTGCTGATCTTTAGTCAGAATTCTTCCTCATACATATACTATTCGTTTAATAGATTTCTTATAAAATTTGTGAACTATTTATTTTTTAAGGTGCAGAGCCTTGAGGCCTTCTTGTGCTTACTAATTAACCAAATCGACGGCAAGTGCGTGTTCCACCTTCGCATCCGTTCCTGTCAAGCGGCAGGGATGGCTGGTGGCAAGTATACACTGTACAGGTGGGGGTGTCATGCGTCAGCGGAGAAAATGAAAAAAAAAAATAGAATAAAATATACACTGAAAGGTGAAAAGGGGAAGTTACATACATCGACAAAAGGGAAACAATGAGAATGCGTGTCTGATGAATTACTTGCGTGGAGTGAAGTGTGAACAGAAATGGTTGGAGGGAGGTAGGTGGCTATAGCTCTAGGTTATAGCTTTGGCCAGTAAGTAACACCCCAACCACTGTCCAGAGCTCTCCTTTTTTCGCCGCCGCTCTTGTGACGAATTGCTAAGCTGCCCCTGAAAATGCAACGCAGCCTTTGAGCTTTGAAAGTGCAACAAACGTAGGAAAAATGAAGGAAAGACTAAAGAAAGACTGAAGTCATTCTTCTTATCTTTGATGGGAGCCTCTGAAGGAAGCCTGAAACTGAACAGAACAGTCAGTTAGTCATAGTTCCACAGTCAGTAAAATAATATAGTTTTGAAAAAAAATTGTTTCTCAAAAACAAAAATTCTTTTAAATTCATTAAAAAGTATTCCATTAACCTTTTAAAAATAAATAATTAGACAATTTAGACAATATATTTACAAACCCCAAGCAAGAAAACACATCCTGTTTGCAGTATATAGGTTTCTTTTTCTAGAACTAGGCTTATGTTTTATTTTAAAATGTTATGAAAATTTTAAATCATTATCAAAATCTTGATAATAAAGTAACTAATTTCATGCATATTTGGTTTCAATGTGTTTCCGTATAATTTTTCCCTTTCCAAAGTCTGCGCAGAAAGCTGTTTAGTCTGTTCTTCGGATCAGCAATATTAAATTTTTAGTGCGGGTATAATTTCTATGTAATGAAAATATAATTTTTTAATAGAATAATAAATGTATATATGTATGTAGTAGATAAAATAAATGGTAATACAAAATTAGAATACTCACTGATCAAACCACCAGCCATATCCTTTTTTCATTGCCAAGTTATCAGCATGACCGTCCTCATCTCGATCGAAGGTGGAAAATTTGGTGCCCTGGCTAAGGCCCATCGTAGATCCACCGGTATACCATCCAATATTCCTCAGCACATATCCCTCGCTTCGATTGCCCACCACAAAGTGGTCGCACTTTGTGAGCCCTTCATCGTAGTATAAACTAGCCTCGTAGGGCTTCTCACTCGTCAGAAGGTGTAGTCTCTCGAGTCCGATAAAGAACTCATCATCCGCTTTCGTTGAGACCTCTCCGAATCCCCTTTCATAATCCTCATATGGACGACTAAATGCAAATGAAAAAGAAACTTTATTGTAAACAACCATCCATCCAGATCCAATATCCTCATCTGCGAAACAGTTCACTTTAAAAGGACTTGTGCCTGGAATTTGGATTTCCTGAAGGATATCGCGATAGTCTTGGCTTTCTGGGCAACGATCTGGAATAATAGGATGTTTTATTTTGAAGATATTTTAGTTTTTAGGTTCTGTTCACTTACCACTGGGTTGTGGTATCACCTTGGTCTGATTACGACTATTATCCTCTTGAGTTGTTGGAATTTCTTCAGTTTTTACTTCAACTGTCTCCGTTTTATTATTTGAGTTTGTATTTTCTGCTGCTTGTATATTCTCCTGATTATCATTATTCGCAACTTCACTTCTGGGCGGTTCTCCATTCTTTACTATTTCTGCCAGCTTGGCAATATCTTCGCGAAATTGACTTGTTAACTTTCCCAGCTCACATTTTTCTTTTAGTTCCCCAATCTGATATTTTAAAAGTTCGATTTCCTCCTTTTGTTGAGTTATGAAAGCTCTAAGAGTGTCAACTTCCAGAGGCTTTGGTTGCAACTTGTCATATTTAACATTACAATCGTTGAGTTTCTGCAGCACTTCCGTATATTTGTTTTGCACTTCCGAGTGAACTCTCTGGCACTGAATTATCTGGGCATATTTTTCCAGATTCTTTTCCTGCAAGCTCGAATGCTTTCTAAGCAAGTCAAGGTAATTACTTTGGCACTGCGATACCAGATCTTCCGATCCCAGCGAAGGGGAAATCAAAAAACTTCCACAAAGGAAGATCACCAGTAGGATCATTTTCTATTTTTCGGGTTTGGATGGAGATTTCTTCTTGAAGTTCCACTTTCAACTGATGCTGCGAGACTCACGACCCGACTTTATGAATCATTCTTGATTTTAAGAACGAGCTAGAGCTGGAGAGTTTCTGATAAGAAGATTAGTCTTCATGAAAGGGCAGTCTACAAAATTCGAACAATCGACTCAAGAGTCAAAATATTTCTCAGACAGAGTGCTATGAGGGATGGGATGTAAAAGGTTATTAGAGATTACTGTAAGGTGATAAGCAACAAGAACCTATTTTAATATTTATGCATTCAAATTGTTGCAGCCATATTATATTATATTGCAGCCATATGTATTGATTAAGTTTACATTTAATGAAAATAGAAGTAGAGAAAGCGCTTCAAAAAATGTTCCTCCACGTCTGTGGTTCTGCTGCAAGCGTCGTATATTGTACTTACATCCCTACTTAACGATAAAAAGGGGACTATGTTCGGGATCTGGAGTATTTCGGCAAAATAGAGTGGTTTTGAATATTAAGAAATATAGTTATACATACTATATAGTTATATAGTTTATACACTTTATTATTATTTCCCAAAATAATAATACCCTCTGCAAGGGTAAAATAAAATAAGGGGCATGGGCGACCTCTAATGGTGATCAATCTTGGGAGCTTTGAATGGCATTACGTATTTATATACACTTCTACCCTGATGGCGGATTAGAGAGAAAAAACTAGCAGAACTAGAAAAAAAATTAAAGCAAGAAAACTAATAATATACATTTTTCATAACAATTTTTTAAGTTCTTTAAGTTAAGAGTTCTTTCCATCACCAAGTTTTTATTCTATAAGCAATAATTAATAATTTGACAGGACCTTTGATGGATGGTCTTGGATAGAAGTCCTCCAAGCTCTCAGTAATAAATTAGTTTTGGGAAAAAAATCCCCCACCAAATGTAAGCTGTAAATGGCACAAAAACTCAACGAGCGACAAATGCAATTTCGGGAACGCATTTCGGGCGTGCAGTTTTTGGGCCCAATTCGAGTTGGCCAGCTTGCCAGTTTGCAATTCGCAATTCTCAGTTTTCTGTTTCGGAGTTCAGAGTCTGCCTTAATAGCCATTAGCTGGGCAATTTTCTCAACGCAGACAGTCATGTGTATGTCGAGTATGTATGAAAAATTGGCAGAAACGCATAAAAAACAGCGCGAGAAAGAAGCAGATATTTTTTTTAAGCAAAAAGTGTATGCGTATGAACTAGGGGAGTACTGTGGAATGTCCAGAAAAATTTTGACATTTTTTTAGATAAGCTTAAGATGGAGGCAGTTTGTTGAAACAAGTACCGGGTATCATATAGTAAATTTCAGTATATTGAGTATCTATTATATTAAATATATTTCGTATATCTAGTATCTGTTATATAAATATGTATCTTGTGAAAGATAGCCGAAGATGTTAATTCTTTGTCCATAATATGTGGATGTTGAGTACCGGATATACTCTTCACAAAATAAATACCGGATAAAATGGTATATAATAAGCTAAATTAGGAAAAAACATGTATGTATATACAATTTTATAAAAGAGATCCTGGAATATGAGTATTTTTTTTTCTTTAACGTGATAAGTACCTAAGTACCTGGTACCATAGTTTCACGTAGTTTCTTGATAAGTAACAGGTGTCATATAGTACATTTAATATTATTTTACATTTTTTTGTTAAAAAAAATTAAAATATATGCCTTAAACATTATTAATAAGGTTATAATAGTCATGTTTTTAAGTCATGTCATGTTAGTCATGTTTAGCTCATTGAAATGATGTAAGAAAATAAAGTACCCACTTGAAGTTTGCCATTAAAATCAAGATGATGATTAAAAAATGTTTAAGGAATATTGTTAGATGACATCTGACTCCATCATACCCCATAAAGCCTGAAAAAAATTTGTCCAGGGTATGAAAACAGTTGGGGCAACCAGATATCCTCGACCAGCTGCAATCTATCAACCGACAAAACGCCTGCAGACAGAAACAGAAGGAAGCAAACTGCACACAAAATAAAAACAAAAATAAATGCAATTCAAACAACAAAATAACAAACAAAAAAATAAATGATAAAAAAAAGTAAAATTTAAGCAGAAAGAAAATAAAGAAGAAAGCAAGTATCCCTTCGCATGGAAATTGTGGCCAAATGGGATTTATGTAAATATTAATAAAGTAACAAAAATTCGGCCATAACAATTTGTATTCAACGACTGTCTGTCCGAGTGACAAATATGCCAATTAAATAAATGCCAAAAAATGAAGGGCTTAATGCCAGTGGAATATGCAAATAAACATTTATGTTATGAAGCCAAATCACGCAGTAAAATACACAGCAAATCGAAAAAAAAAACTTGGAATGGAATGGAATGGGTGTGTTATGGTTTTGATTTAAAAATATCATTATTCTTATACAGGTTTTGGCTTAAAATCATAATTTGTATGTTAAGTTTAGACAGGTTCATTCAAAAACTCATTTAAAACTAATTCTTGTTGGTATTTAATATTAGTTGATTGCAACTTTGTTAGTTTAATAAATCAAATGATTATAATCATTACATCATTTCGGTTTATTTTTTTCTGGCGCCCCTGAAGATTCCCAATAACTCCATAAATTTTCAATAATTCTCTATTCAAATGATAGTTTCTTAGTTTTACAATAGTTTTACAATAGTTTTACACAATAGTTTTCAAATGTTGGGCTATTAAATTGAAATTCTATTGATTGAGTTACGCTATTGGTATATTGAAAAAAATATTCGTGAAAGTGGTCGGTTTTTTTTACAGAAATTTAAGCTTAACTTAGCATATGTTTAGGTTTAAACTGTAATCTTTACAGATTTTTGTATTATATAATTGTTATTCTTTTAAATTCAATATTTTCTTTAATTTTTGGGAAGAATTTTAGGACAACTAATAGGGAGCGAAAGTCAGACTCAAAGATCAACTATAATTTGTTCTTAAATTTTTTATTTCAATTTTTTGGTTTTTGAATTAATCTTGTTTTGTAACAAATCTTATTGTGATAACGCATTAAATACTTTTACACACCTTTAATTGAGAGTTGGATATATTTTAGGATAATAAAGTGTAGGAATTACTCATGGAATTATAGACACAGTCTTTTGTTAAAGGAAGCATGTGTCAGAATGGAGTTGAACTCCTCCTCCTCCAAAGCTTAGAAGGAGAACTCTTGGTTCTAATTAATTTCCAAGATTTGCAAACTCAAAGGCTAAAACTCCAAACACTATGCATTCTTAATTCTTCATTACTTTTGGTTCTTTGTGGATGAAAATGAAATTCCTCGATGGGCCAGGCTTCGGATTTTGTGCCATTTCAGCTATTTTTTGTCTTCAGAATATTTTTTTTTGGTTTTCAGTTCATTAAAAGTTGACTTGAGGTCTATTTTTTGTTGGTTGGTATCTGGATCTAAGTGCGGCTATAGCTCTTAGCTATATGGCCCAGTATTCGCCTGTGGCTCTGTATCTGTGGGTGTCATTTGAGCGCCATTTATGCGGCACATTCAACATTATCAGCATTTATTCCTCTCTCCTTTCGGGTTTTATTTTGCTATTTTTGCAGCGTAATTTCATAGCCCAGTTAAAAGCAGGGATAACCAAAGGGGGGCTGGAGGGTGTTACGGTGGTGGGATGGTAGGGTTATAGGGCAGTGTGAGGGTGGTGTGGCATGACAAGTGCTTGTGGTGTTGTCCTTTTCTCTTATTTTCGCTGATAACAATGTTGGATGATGAAAGCCATTGATGGAAGCTGCTGCACCAATCACGTCAATCATCATGACAATGACAATCATGATGATAACGATAATGACGATGTCTGGCACACACACTCAGACACACCACGCCACCCAGAGAGCTCCATATAAAACATATAAAGTTGCTTTTTATCAACAATGTGTCCAATTTATGGTGGGCGAGAGGCATGTACACTGAAACCAACAACTCTACACTCTAAAAAAATAAAATCAAATAAATAAAATGTAAAAAAAACTAAAGAATATAGAATATAGAACGCTCAATATAAAGTTTCATAGAATAATATTATATTTTCCATCATTTTCTGATAAAAAATAAGAACAGAGGAAGCAACCTGGCTAAGAAGCTGGCCAGCACTGATCCCCTCTACCATACCCTACCACCACTGCCATTCCCAGCAATCTGGCACTCTTTCGACTCGTTCTTATTATTTTTATTGCTCGTCTCGGACGCACTTAGGAAAAGTGCAGTAACCCTGACACCCATGCCCCCACTAACAGCCCCACCCCCCATTACTTTCGACGCCCATTTACAGTTGTCACGTGCAGGGGTGGAGGACGCGGTGGACCCAAAAACAAAAATAAGAGAAAAGAAAGACACAACTCGAAGAAATCAGATTTCTTTGTAATTGATTTCTATGATGCGCAAGGCAAGGAGATAAAAATCAGATCTACTTATGTGAGGAATGAGTAATACCTATCAAAAATAATATATATTGATCTATGTATATAGGCCCGGTATATAAGAAAACAAATATTTAAGAGAAAAAATCAAAAAGAAAAACTATGGAAAATGTTAAAATAATTAATATAAAATAATATTATTATAAATATTAATAAAATGTAATTTAAACTTTTTCAAATATTTAAATTAAAACAAGAAAGGTCGGCTATGGTCGAGTTTCCCCGACTATATTATACCCGGTACTCATCTCTTCCACCCACAATTTAACATACATTTTTAATTCAAACTTTAACGGTATGGATTCTCGGAAACATATTTTTGTTGCATACTTTTCCGGGAGTGGGCATGGAAAAATTTTGGAACAAACTTGAACTGCGTGGGCATTGTAGGAGTCTCCATGATTATATAGTCTGCAGCTATAAGATATAGTCGGCCGATCGTTATGAAATTTAGTAGGTAGGATCAACAATGATAAATCTGTACGAAGTTTCAACTTTCTGTCTTCAAAAAAACTAAATTTGGGTCCTTTCCGATCAATCAGTTATATGGCTGCTATAGGATATAGTCGGCCAATCCCGGTCGTACCGACATATACTGCATGCAAAAGAAATATGGGTGTGTTAGCTCCTTCCAGGAGAATTGCCTCCTTTTGATGTTAAAAGATTGAAACCAAAAGGTGACGTTTTTGGATATATTAGTTGTACATATGTCGGATGTATTTTTATTTCAAAAGCTTTTACAGAGTGGTTTCTGGTAAACTAGTCCTAACGTGACTCCATTTCTCCAAGTATGTGGTTATCCTTTTCCTTGGATCAGGTGGAGCTCCTCCCGTTGCGCGAATTTCGCTTTAGCCGCTTCAAAACCCTTTCCTTCTGTTTTTCCACTATCGCAATGGCACTCCTTGAGATTAGGTCCTCCTTTGAACCAAAAAGTCGGTGCATGTCGTCGATATCGAAGACCCTGAAGAGAGCAACCAACTCCAAGGCCACTAGGATAAGGGACGCTGCATTATCCTTGACTCGCTTGAACACCCAGCCTCGTCCCCAGGGCCAATAAAGACATCCCATTTTAACGAGGTAGTGAACAGTTACGCTGAGGGGAAACCAGGCTACGACCAAAAGGACTTGGACCACTATGCAGAGGATCAGGACTTGCGCAATCTTCTCCCAAACAGTGTAATCCACATCTTGGCTAAGGATTTTATTCAAAGCCAGCACGGTGAGGAATATGAACACAATCGACTCCATGGTGCCTTCGATGGGATTGTAGAAGAGATTGTTCTTATGGCAAAAAAGGGAAATCATCCATGCAATAATGTAGACTTCATCCATGCTGTCCAACTACAAATAACTACATGTATTATTATTATTATTTTTTGGTTATATTAACTTACTTACTTCTCGGTAGAATCTTAAGTTATTTGTAAAATTGTATGTGTTAGATATTTTTAAGAGCTAACTAAAATTTAGAGCACAACTGAGCAGTAGGAGCTCCTTTTAGAAATGGAGTTGTGTTTGGGGCGATTAGTTTTAAATTCTTTTCATCGCCTACTACTATTGTTAGGAATTTAAGGTCGATAAATATTCTGCTAATTTTTATAAAAGAAGTTACAATTTTTAATGAAAACAGTCTTTTTTGATGGGCTACCTGGTTCTGATCGGATTCGATTTGGGTGGAGATTACCGCAAGCCGGAGGACTTTCAGCCAATTTTCGTGAAAGTGTGGGAATGGAACCCTTCATCAGACGCACCTTTACCGAGAACTACAGCGACTGGAATGGTAGGCCTCGCAATTGGAATGGCGGTAACGGTGGTGGGCAGGATATTCGTCCTTCAGGAACCCTACAACCGCCGCCGCAAAATCTGGAATAGAAAAGTCCCAGTCCTCGGCGTAATGCCTCTCCGATGGGACCGGTTGGTAATCCGAATCCCACCATGCATACGAAGGGGTACCGCAACTTTAATATTTAAAATAATGTAATATGACAATGACAACATGGATCTGGTGCGGATCTATCCACAAGAGCCGCCGCAGAACTTCCGCTACTTGATGCGCCAGGAGCCCTATCTGAGAAAAAAGCAAAACTTCGACGGGGCTCGTGACCAGAGCTTCGGATACCGATGGGTATCGTCGACCCAATTCGGGCTTCGAAAACCGGAATGACTGTGCGAGATCTTTGGCTAATTAAAAGAAAGAATTAAAAGAAAATTAAAAGAAAATTTAATTTTCCAAACAACTTGCCCTCTTTATAAAGCCTCAGCCAGAACTGGTTATAGGCATAACCTGTAACTGGTATAGGTAAAACGATAAATTCATTTTTATACTTTCCTTTGCACGCAATATATAGGTCGGAACGGCCGGGATCGGTCCACTATATCCTATAGCTGCCATATAACTGAACGATCGGAAATGACCCAACATTCGTGTTTTTGAAAATAGAAAGCTGGAACTTAGTACAGATTCTATTTTTGGTCAGTTGATCCAACCTACCAAATTTTATAACGATCGGCTGACTATATCTTATAGCTGCCATATATCTCGGAACGATCGGAAATGGTTTTTGGTGGAAATACCAACTTTGGTATTTTTGAAGATAGAAGTTTGGGACGTTTTTTTTTAGATTTTTTATTATAATAAATTGGGTTATATTATCATATTCTCATAAGGATCGGCCAACTATATCCGATGTTTGCGATATATATCCGGTTTTAGCTGCAAGGGTTTATCAACTTCTTCTCCGCCCGAAGCTAGCTTTCCTTTCTTGTTTTAATATTATATTTTACAATTGTATATCGCCTATTTATTTATTTAATTAATAATCACACATTCCATATAAGTTAAGCTAGACTTTTAATTGTCAGAGATAAGGTGACTATGACGTCATGGAAATCTATATAAAAGTACTTGCTAAACAAGTTCCTGCTGCTAATCAGCTTGCACTAATCTCCCACAACCTTTGACATCACATCCGTATACCTTCTGTCTGTGGGTTTTTTTGGACTCAGCGCCCCAATTCCGAAGAAAGCACCTGCATGAAGACTGATCTTCTTATCGGCAAGCTCAAGCTCTAGGAGGATTTAAAAAGCCGGAGCCGAGAGTCTCGCAGCATCAGTCGAAATTATTCCGGTGGCTATTCAAGAGGAAACCTAAAAGACTTAAACTAAACTTAAACTTAAAAGTACGAAAATGGTCCAGCCTGTGGTGCTCTTGTCTGCGATTTGTTTTATTACCGTCGCCCTGGGATCGGAGGAAGTAATACCCGCTTCGAGTGTTTTTATTTTGAAAATTAATTTAAATTCTATTTCACAGTCTTGTTATCTCACTGAAGAGCAGGAGGACGACTGCGCGGCGGTCTGTCATCCGATCGTGAAGCCCCTCCTGAGGTACTTTGAGAAGATTCAGGCCAAAGAATCCCAGTTCCAAAAGGAAAACTCAGAGTTGCAGAAAAAGTATACGGACTTGCAGCAAAAGGGTCTGAAGTCCCTGAGAAACTACTCCGATTTGCAGAAAAAGTATTCAGATTTGCAGGAAAGCCATTCGGAATTGCAGAGAAGAGAACTGGAACTTATATCGGACTTGCAAAAGGATAAATCGGACTTGCAAAATAGAGTGATTGAAATCGAAAATCTACAATCTCAAATTGATTCAAAAAATGTGGAAATCAAATTACTAAAAGATACAATTAGTGAATTAAATAAAACAAATGAACTTGCTACAAAAATACTTCGCGACGACATTGCCAAATTGGGCGAAATAGTAAAGAATAAAAATTCGGATAATGGAGCAGCCAGTCCATCACCAACCAGGACAGTCCAGCAACAACCTCCACCCTCCAAAGGTAAGTTTGCAGAACCCAAGAATGTGAAAAATAAAACATCGAATTCATTAGCTATTCCAGATCGGTGTCCGCAAAGCCAAAATGAAACGAGGATCCTCCAAGAAATCCAAATTCCTGGTTCAGATCCTTTTAAAGTGGTCTGTTTCTCAGATGAGAAGATTGGTTCTGGTTGGATGATTGTTTATAACCATTGTGGTAAAACAAATTATTTCAATCGCACGTATGAGGAATTTGAAAGAGGATTCGGAGATGTCGGGACGCAGTGGGACGATAAATACTTTGTTGGACTCGAACGATTGCACCTCCTGACATCTAGAAACTCTCATGAGTTGAAAATAAAACCTTACAAATGCGACAACTTTGTCGTTGGGAATCGAAGCGAAGGCTACATGGTGAAAGATACCAAAGGGTGTACTGGAGACATATTGCCGAACCTTAGGCAAGCCAAGTTTTCCACCTGGGATCGAGATGAGGATGGATATCCCGATCGTAATTTGGCAAAGGAAAGGAGCTATGGCTGGTGGATCGAAACTCGGTATGTATTCTGTTTTCGCTTTACATTTTCTTATACTCCAAAAAGAAACTTTTAACTACTTTGACTAATATCAAAAAAACCTTTTTTTTGTATTTGTTTTCATTTTATAGAGGTAATAAGTACTACACTGCGTTTAGTATGATAATCCGAAGAAAGGATTAAAAAAGAACACGGCGATTCTAAGAGGATTTAGAAAAAGGAAAAATTATAAAAGAATACATCGAATATCTAGTGTTATTATTAATTTATGTGTGTATATACATACATATGTATTTAATATAAATGTATAAATTTAATAATTAACTATAATTTTCGTTAATTAAAAGAAAAAGTTTCCATTATCACAAATAAATATATTTTAAAAAGATACATTTTCCATAATAATATAAGTATATTTTCCTCTTAAATGTAAAAAAAAACCTTAAAGAAACATAACAAAGTGAGAGAATAAAATAAAAATGAAAAAATATATTTTATTTTAAAATATACTGGAAACAAGAAGGGAAAGCTAACTTCGGGCGGAGTTAAACTTAATAAACCCTTGCAGTTAAAAGGCGTCTATAGGGAAAAGCACCATTTTCAAAGGATCCCACTACGAAAAATGGACAAAAAGTCTAACAGATATTTAGTCTCGGGATTTTAGGCAGAATGGTGGGGAATCGATCCAGAAGGTGTTAAAGCTACTCTACTTGAGAATGGGATAAGAATTGGGAAAGATATAACCATCATTGTGGAGTCTATAGGGGAAAGCACCATTTTCAAGGGATCCCACTACGAAAAATGGACAAAACATCTAACAAATATTTAGTCTCAGGATTTTAAAGCAGAATAGTGGGCAATGGATCCAAAAGGTGTATAAGCTACTCCGCTTGAGAATGGGATAAGAATTGGCGAAGATATAACCATCATTGTGGAGTCTATAGGGGAAAGCACCATTTTCAAGGGATCCCACAACGAAAAATGGGCAAAAAGTCTAACAAATATTTAGTCTCAGGATTTTAAAGTAGAATGGTGGGAAATCGATCCAAAAGGTGTATAAGCTAGTCCGCTTGAGAATCGGATGGGAATTGAGGAAGACATAGCCATCACTGTGAGCCATATAGGGGAAAACACAATTTTCAAGGGATCCCATCACAAAAATGGACAAAAAATCTAAAAAATATTTTGTCTCAGGATTTTGATGCAGAATGATGGAGAATCGATCTAGAAATCGTTTAAGGTACTCCGCTTAAGAATCGGATAAGAATTGGGGAAGTTATAGCCATCACTGTGGACCATATAGGGGAAAACCCCATTTTCAAGGGATCCCATCACAAAAATGGACAAAATATCTAAAAAATATTTTGTCTCAGGATTTTGATGCAGAATGATGGAGAATCGATCTAGAAATCGTTTAAGGTACTCCGCTTGAAAATCGGATGGGAATTGAGGAAGATATAGCCATCACTGTGAGCCATATAGGGGAAAACCCCATTTTCAAGGGATCCCATCACAAAAATGGACGAAAAATCTTAAAAATATTTAGTCTCAGGATTTTGATGCAGAATGATGGAGAATCGATCTAGAAATCGTTTAAGGTACTCCGCTTGAGAATCGGATGGGAATTGAGGAAGATATAGCCATCACTGTGAGCCACATAGGGGAAAACCCCATTTTCAAGGGATCCCATCAAAAAAATGGACAAAAAATCTAAAAAATATTTTGTCTCGGGATTTTGATGTAGAATGGTGGAGAATCGATCTAGAAATCATTTAAGGTACTCCGCTTGGGAATCGGATAAGAATTAAGGAAGATATAGCCATCACTGTGGACCATATAGGGGAAAAACCCATTTTCAAGGGATCCCATCACAAAAATGGACAAAAAATCTAAAAAATATTTTGTCTCAGGATTTTAAAACAGAATGGTGGGCAATCGATCCAGAAGGTGTATAAGCTACTCCGCTTGAGAATGGGATAAGAATTGGGAAAGATATAACCATCACTGTGGAGTCAATAGGGAAAAGCACCGTTTTCAAGGGATCCCACTACGAAAAATGGAAAAAACATCTAACAAATATTTTGTCTCGGGGTTTTAAAGCAGAATGGTGGGGAATCGATCCAGAAGGTGTAAAAGCTAGTCCGCTTGAGAATGGGATAAGAATTGGCGAAGATATAACCATCATTGTGGAGTCTATAGGGGAAAGCACCATTTTCAAGGGATCCCACTACGAAAAATGGACAAAACATCTAACAAATATTTTGTCTCGGGGTTTTAAAGCAGAATGGTGGGGAATCGATCCAGAAGGTGTAAAAGCTAGTCCGCTTGAGAATGGGATAAGAATTGGGGAAGATATAACCATCAATGTGGAGTCTATAGGGGAAAGCACCATTTTCAAGGGATCCCACTACGAAAAATGGGCAAAAAGTCTAACAAATATTTAGTCTCAGGATTGTAAAGTAGAATGGTGGGAAATCGATCCAAAAGGTGTATAAGCTAGTCCGCTTGAGAATGGGATAAGAATTGGCGAAGATATAACCATCATTGTGGAGTCTATAGGGGAAAGCACCATTTTCAAGGGATCCCACTACGAAAAATGGACAAAACATCTAACAAATATTTTGTCTTAGGATTTTAAAACAGAATGGTGGGGAATCGATCCAGAAGGTGTATAAGCTACTCTATAGGGGAAAGCACCGTTTTCAGGGGATTCCACTACGAAAAATGGACAAAACATCTAACAAATATTTAGTCTCAGGATTTAAAAGCAGAATGGTGGGAAATCGATCCAGAAGGTGTAAAAGCTACTCCGCTTGAGAATGGGATAAGAATTGGGGAAGATATAACCATCATTGTGGAGTCTATAGGGGAAAGCACTATTTTCAAGGGATCCCACTACGAAAAATGGAAAAAAACATTAACAAATATTTAGTCTCAGGATTTAAAAGCAGAATGGTGGGAAATCGATCCAGAAGGTGTTTAAGCTACTCCGCTTGAGAATGGGATAAGAATTGGGGAATATATAACCATCACTGTGGAGTCTACAGGGGAAAGCACCATTTTCAAAGGATCCACCTACGAAAAATTGACAAAACATCCAACAAATATTTAGTCTCAGAATTAAAATGCAGAATAGTGGGGAATCGATACAGAAGGTGTAAAAGCTACTCCGCTTGAGAATCGGACAAAAATCGTTTTAGGTACTCCGCTTGAGTATCGGATGAGGAATCGAAGAAAGCTTCACGATTCTGAACACTTTTTTGCAGAACAAAATTAAATATTTTTGTTGTGGGTTTTAATTTAGAGTTAAGAGGGCTTTTGTTTTAAAACTAGTTGATTTTTATTTTAATCAAAGTTTCTTAGAGTTTCACATAACCCTCTAACTACAGTTCATCAAAAATAAATTCATATTAAATTTCAGGGTTCTAAATATCCCTTTGTCGAAAAAGTTGCACTATTTTTGTTTCGATTACGAATTACGAATCAATGTACTTAACATTTCCTTTAAAAAATATTTGGGCTTGAATCTGAAACTTATAGTACCTTACTACCTTACGTACCCCTCTGAGTGCGGGTCAACTACTTTTTGAAAAAATAATTTTATTTTGGTTACAATATTAAGGGTTTTAAAGATAAAAGTTCTAAAAGTTATGATCTAACAAGTAATGGATTTTGAATTAAAATGTACAGTTCCTTGCAGTCATATATACCCCTCTAAGTACAGGGCAATAAAAAAACGAAATGAACCGCCGGCTTCTAAACACTTTTTTGTGGAAAAATATAAATTTTTTTTGGGTCTACAATTACTAGTTATGAGCTTAAATTAGAGCAATGAAAAACAAATAAGGCTTTAGTTTTGATTTCTCACTGGCTGCTGCGACTGCGACGTCGACTGAAGCTGCGACCGAGACAGCGACGTCCGACAGATGCCGATGGCAGTTTGTCGTGGCTGCCGCTGTCAATTAAGTCAAATATGATCGAGTGCGCGGCGTCATAAATCTCATACAACTGTCAAATGTTAGACAACTTCAGACTGCGACACAGTGCACACTCTACACTGAAAAAAATGTATTCAATTTTCTGATGAAAATCACAATTTTCAGCTTAATATTTAGAACAATCATAAAGTGCTTTTTGAAACTTATGTTTGAATTTTGTATTATTTAATATCTCTATTTTTGAGATATTTTTTTGCAGTGTATTTTCGAGTAGTGTGTCCAAATGCAACACCCAACTGTGGCCAAGCAATTGCAACTGCGGCAGCAACTGCAGGCGCCCATTGGAAGCAATTAAAGCCAAGACATAATCAGGGGTTAGTGGCGGACCAAGAGGGGTCAGGGGTTGCCTGAGTAGGAGGTTGGTGCTGGGCTAGGGGGCTTGGGGCCCTGCGGGCTGAGAGGTGCCACACATTGTCTGGGAATCGAAACGCAAAATGTGTAATAGTTTTGACTTTTGATTTATTCGATAAGTTGAAGTGCTTGGCGAATGCATTTCAAGTCCTGGGAATATTTAAAAAAAAAAAATTTCAAAAAAGAAGCTAACTGCTAAATGGAAAATAAAGTATAGATTCTTTCATAATTTTTCCAATAAGCTAAAATGTTTTAAAAATTATGTTTCTTGAAAGGTGATGTTAGTTAAATGGACTTCTTCAGAGAATCAAATAATTAAAAATTAATAAAAGTACATCTAAAAATTAAATTATAAAATAATTACATTTAAATTAATATTTATATTCGATATATTTTCTTGTAATTTTTCATTTTTCAAGTCCAAGAAGGTTGCTTTTTCCTTCAGTCAGCTCTTCGGATAATAATCCCTATATCACCACCATCGTAGGTGTAATCATCTCTATAAAAAAATAAAATTAAAAAAATTGAAGAAATTGTTGAAGATAAAACAAAATTTAAAGTAAAATCGGAATACTCACCTAGAATCGAACCACCAGCCCAAGCCTAATTCCTTTGCCCAATTATGATTGGGATTTCCGTCCTCGTCTCGATCTTAGGTGGAAAACTTGGTGCCCTGACTAAGGCTCCGAATTGTTTTTCCAGTACATTTGCCAATACTCTTCACCATATATCCTTTACTCCTGTTTCCAATAACAAGGTTGGCGCAGCTTTCAATCGTTTTATTGGAAATTATTTTCATCTCATAAGGATTTCTATTCGTTAGGAGGTGCAATCTTTCAAGTCCAATAAAG